CGTAGACAAAAGATTGTAAGTGGTTATATACTAAATCAACCGAAAAAATGCCCCTGTCTGCGTCTCAAAAGGGACATAACCTGCTCACTCAAGCTCTTCGCTGGGTGTTTCATGGCTACATTGCTGTCGTGATTCGACAATTAATGTATGTCACTCCCTTTTCTGGTGAACAAGTCAAGCTCTTTTACTTTAGAAAGGATATCTGGTGCAAGATCAGTGATCGATTTCTGAAAAAGGTTGTAAATCAAGAGTTTTACAAGCCTGTTGACGCACATACTCTCCATACTATGAAACTGGGTATAAGTAGAACGAAGCTGGTCCCCAAGAAAAATGGATTTAGACTGATTGCTAATATGAAAAGAACAATCACTTTTGTAAACACTCCATCAAATGATTGTACACTTTCTTCCAAACTCACTCTGACCTTTAGACACAAAACAACAGGCCTGAACAGGGCTCTATCAATAAGAAATTAAGCCCAGCATTACCCATATTCAAGTTTGAACAGGTACGGTCTTTTTTTCTTTTGTCATATAACTTACTTTTTGTATTAGCAACAACCAGGTCTATCAGGAAGCGCTGTCACCACAGCCCAACTTTTTGAGAGATTGAGAGAGTACAAGCAAAAGATGCGAGAAAAGATGCAACGTGGGCTGGTTCAAGAAAAGTAGGTCACCTTCGCATTTGATAAACAAGCTGACATAAGCCATAGGTTATATTTTGTCAAAATTGATATTGCAAACTGTTATGATACACTGGATCAAGACTTACTGGTGAAAATACTAGAAAATATTTTAGATTCTGTAAATTTCTCTCTGGTCTATAGGAGCGTACTTACTCATAGACTGATTTAGAAAGAATATATTCACAAATACCTGGAGGTATGGCGTGGATTTTCATTAACGACCATGAGGAGAGTAGTTGGGACACCAGGTACAAAAATAGATGATGACGCCTAAAATATAATTGGCTTACCTTTCTTGTAAAGATAAAATCAAGACAATAGACTTTTGTTCAAGAGAAATACGTAGCAGTAGCAGAAAAAAGAACTCCATTATTGTTGATATGGTAATTGCATGTTCACGAGCTTTCAGTTCACTGACGCTCTAGAATAGAATCAAGGCTATACAAAGCGAGGATCAGAAATACTGAGATTGGTAAAAGAGAGCATTAAGAACGACGTGCTAAAGGTTGGGTTATTGCGATAGCTAAAGAAACATGCTGACATTTTATTATAGATTGGCGGTAAATATTATCGACGGCAGAGAGGTATATCGCAAGGCTCTTGTCTATCCAATGCTCTTTGCAAGTAAAAAGGCTATATAATCTTTTATATCTTTAACAATGACCCTTGACACATATTTATAGCTTTTTCTTGGGTGAATTTGAGAAACATAAATTAGGATTTTTCAAAAAGAACAGAGATGATGTAAGGCCTAATGACTTTACTTTATCTATCTAACCTTTTTAATAGCTTTTATTTCGTTTTGTGGATGACTTTATTTATATTACTCCTAGTAAAGAACATGCTCAGCAGTTTTATCAAACAATGGTAACAGGTAAAATAGAACGAATGGAAGATAAAAATACAAGATAACGACGGTTCAAAAGGGTTAACAGACTATGGGATTACTGTCAATGAAGAAAAATGCCTTTCAAACCTTGAGAACGATATGGATGAATTCCCTTGGCTGGGTTATCTTTTTAACACTCGAAATCTTAATGTCCATCTTGACTTGGCAAATGCCGCCTATTCAGGTTTGCTCTATATTTATACAAAAACCTCCCCATTTATTAAATAGAATAGACCTCGTCTCTACGGTTACGGTCGACTATGTAGGTAACATTGAAAAGACTTTGCTCAACAGCCAAGCTAGGTAATTGACGATAGTATATACAAATAATACAATGGAGGTGCTTATAGCTATAGAAATATCAAAATAAAAATGAACAATATGTTGATTCACACCGACCTCAACACGATCAGAGCAATATCTCGAAATTTCAAAGACATCTTTTATCTTTCGGCAAGAAGGTTAGAAATACAGACAAGCAAACTATACAAAAGTCCTCGTCGCTTCTTTAACCCCCAATTAATTTTGAGTAAAAAAAAGCTTACTTTGGTCTACCATATCGTACTTACTTGCCTTCATAGACACTATTATAAAAACTGCTAATGTCGTCGAAAAAAGTATACCCAAAACACTAAAAAAGGAAAAGGTGATGATAAATTACTTTGTGATCTATTGGATGGTGTTCCGAAAGAAACAGCTGTACAAGGAAATATGCGATGGATTGGAATGGGAAATCAGAGGTCGAAAGTTGGTTGAATAAAGCTCCTCACGTTTAACAGAGAGATGATTTCATATACGTAAATAAAGCAATGATTTTTAATAGCATGTTTCTTAAGCATGAGAACAAAGTCCTTCGCTTAGGATGAGTTATGTAGGATGATAGTAATAGCGATGGTAATAGTATGTATCCTTTGCTTGATAAGGAGGCGGTGGCGTAAGCTCGTCTAGGCTTGGTACCTTTTGTAAACGTATCTCAGCGTCTGTTTTAGATCGTGTATAATTCAATAGTTTGACCTCGGGCCTGTCAAGGGCCTCAGTAGATATCTTCCTATGTCTATGATACAAAATGATGCCTTCCAGAGCAATGCTCTATGATAAGAAAGATAAATGCACGCTGGTAATACACTTTGGTTTTTTTTTTTTTTCTTTTTTACTGTGGTTGCTAAAAGTACGGCAGAAAAAATCGTATTCAAATGAGCTTGTTGACATATAATAGAAGCAACTAAAAGTCAGCTGTGAGGAAAGAGGGGGCCGGGTAATGATACACAACCCATTTCATGCAAGGAGGTTCTATCATCAATTACCTATTAATAGAACAAATGTAAATAGCTGGTTACGATGAACATTCATTTGCTTAAGGAGAGCTTGAATACGTAAACAAAGTAAAGCACATGAAACTACAAGGACGATCAGTCGTTTCACAGTATGTACTCCCTGAAAGTAAACAGCAGAGATGAGGTTGCTGAGTTGATGGAACGGTTCCATTGTGTCCTTAACTTGACGATGGATTAAAATGAGATCATGTTGTAATAACTTTGCCTCTGAAAGTGATTGATTCATGATCAGATGAAAGCCTGTACTCATGCGATATACCGATTGGTTCCATACATCTGTAAGTTCTCTTTCGAGATTCTATAGTTTAAAATAAGCTCCATACATATGACGTATATACACACTTTTACTTTGGTAAGCAAGTTCCAGCTCTCGACTGTTTGCTCTTGTAAAAGCAGAGTACGTTCCACATGTTGATTTAATGTATTCGATTTGGTGAGCAATGAGTCAAGTGTTTCATCTATTTTCATCGCTTGATACAAGAACGAATCCTGCAGAAACATCTGTACTTGTTCAACGTGACGACTGACCATATCATTATACTGCAAGATGGATAACTCTGTCTGGTTTTGCAAGAGTACGAGTGTTTCAAACAGTAGCTCAACCTGATGAGCCATTCTCTGATAATACATATTCGTTTTCTCCACATGCTCAAAGATGTCCAACTGTGACTCCTTTAACTTGTCTAGTCTCTTGAACTCTTCCTCACGCCACTGAATAAGGTACCTTTGTTGACTTGAAAGGATGTTGAAGTTTTTGACTTGATTTAGAGTGATGTTTTCATGAAGTTTTTCAAGAATCTCTTTCTCCATTGGATATTTGATGGCAAAGCATATCAAGACTAGATTCAGATATGAGCATATATACATGGTTAAATTGTTTTTATACCAATGTCACGAAAGTAGCCTATTCTTACAAAAATTTAAAATGAACGCATCTATATATCACTGTGTAACTTTACCACTATAAGTTGTCCATGTCTGAGGTGACAGAGAGAGTTGTCTATGACGTTGAATAATAAGAAAGATATACTTTATTATTATTTGCTTACTGAGTGCATTGAACAACTTGTTGATGAGTGTTTAGTATATTGCACTCACTTGGTGCGTTGATCTTGGCCGACAAAAGTTCACATAAAGTAAGCATGATTGCATCTATTGATAAATAATTTACTTTATTAAAAAAAATATTATTTATCAATTAGCGAAATTACACTTCATATTGTCAACTGGGTTATCTCCTTCTAATGATTGACATCCTTTGGTCAACTGAAGTGTCGCTTTCTTATAACAGTCATTTTCGTTATTTTGTAAAGCCTTGAATAGCTCTAGTTTGTATTAGTTACACAAAGCATAAAACAGGTTTTATTGCATGCCTAAACCATGATTAAACATGATTTGTTCTTTTGTAGAGAATACTACTGCTTCTATGTGATTATTAAGTATACAAGCTCAACTATTCTTACTTTCTTTAATAAGAAGGGATGGTTCAATAAGAAGCAAAAAGATAATCAAGATCAAAGCAGGACTCATGAAGAAATGAAAAAAAGAAAAAGAAAAATATAAAATTCATGAGGAGATGAAAAAGTGTAATAATAAAAAGGGAAAAATAAAGGAGCTATTTCTCCCCTTTCTTTTTCTTTTTCTTTTCTTTCTTTATAAAACGTATGGCCACTTTAATTAAAAAAAGGCAAAAAGTGAACAAAGTGGTATGTTCAAGGAGAAGGAAAAAAAAAAAAGGGAGTTAAGCTAACATATATTATCACAGCCACAACAGCAACAGCAACAACAACAACAACAGCAACAAGAAGACTCTATCATGAATGATCCAGTCTTGTCTAGTCTCTGTCATGAGCCTGTAGAGTATCCGATTATCAATTGTCTTTCCGCTGAAATGATTGATTCTCTTCAGTCCGTAAAACACATATGTCTTCAAGTTCTTGATGCATTATTAAAGCAAATGGTCGATACATATTCGCCTCAAAGACATCGTTCATCCATGTCACTGTTAGATTCTATCTCTCAAAGTACTAGCCTCCTATCTACTTTTCAGATGACTCGTAGTCATTCATCACCAGCAAATATGTGTGATATACACAAGGCATTAGAAAGCCATGCACTGAATTCCACTCAGGATTATACCCTCTGCTGTACATTGGCAGCCTTCTTGAATGATATTTATAGACTGTTAGAATTAAACGATATTTCAAACCAAGAAGAGACCTCATCCGATGGTCAAGATACCTCTTTACTGCAGCTCCAGCAGCAAGTGACTATCCTTCAAAGCAAGAAAAAGGAGGGACTCAATTATGGTGCTGCAACTCAGGAAATGCTAGTTATTTGGCAAGAAATGGATCGTCTGATGGACATTGTCTGTCGACTGATCTCTCAAGAAGAGAAGAAGGCACCTCCTGCATATGAAGATACTGAGCAGCCTCCTGCTTATAATATGGTTCATGATTCGACATTGATTGAATCAAATAAAGATGACCTGGATGACTTATTAAACGCCATTCAACAATTATCCTGTGTTGCACCACGATTAAACAATCAGAGAGCTCATTTGACGAATAAACAAGTAAAGAGACTTGCAGAAGAGACGCTATTTAAGTCAATAGAACGATTACAAGGTAGAAGAATGGATAATCAACGTGCTAGCTTAAAACAAAAAGACATGCTGCAACATTTAATACAGCAAATTGAACTATCTGCGTCAAGGTCATTTGATAATCAGCGAGTTCAATTAACGTCACAACAGCAAAAGTTTTTTGATATCCATCACATCATTCATCGTATGCATAAGCATAGATATACCAATCAGGTAAAATAATACCAAGGTTTATAATTGTATGTATACTAATATAATAAATTAGGATGCTGTCTCTTATGAAGAAAGACTTGTAAATGATCTTACACGTACAACAGACTTGCTGGTCAAGTCACTTCATCGTCCGGCATATTCAAAGCAAAGATTTCAAGTTAGAACAAGTCTTTTTGACATGCTTCGTAAACAAAAAGAAGACAAGGAAAAAGACTTGGATCAGTTATTTCAATTCATTCATAAATCTACAAAGCATCAGCTTAACAACCAAAGAGCAAGTTTTACTCTTTAATTCTTGTTTGTACATGCATGCATAAATAAACAATAAATAAACTTGGCTGATCATTTATTAATAATCACTTGTAAAAAAAAAGAGAGAGAGAAAAAGTATCCATTATAGATGTATCAAGTGACAAAGTAAATACTATTGTATTTTCGGTTGAATTAGGAACGACATTTCGAGGCATCAGTTAATAAAAATTATTAGGAGACAATTGCAAAGCGTATTAAGGCGAGCTTTTTGAAATGGTAGCATTATGTATCTTCAAAGGGTGGATTTCATTTTCATAAAAGGTGGGGTATTTATATCTCAAAGGGCGGCATTAAATGACTACGTATTTTTTGATGAGGGTGGGCAGGGAGGAGTTCTTGATGAAGGGGGAAGGCGTGATACTATAGATTGGGAAGAAGAAGTAAACCCTTATCATTTAGCACTAAATGATTATACTACCGTATTATTCTGGTATCAGCTGTATCAAAATGATTACAAATAAAGCTTTTATTATATTTTTACAATGAACAACAGTATATATTTAGAAAACAACACTAAACATATCAAACTGCTAGCATTTTGCCCATATTTATAGAAATGGTGGTTGCCCGGACGTGATCACGAGGGGGTAATTAGCAATCCACATCCAAAACGCGTACCACGAAAGCAAACCACATGTCATCCACAAAAGATGACCGAAAGAAAAAAGATACTAGGGTATAAATTTTTGGACTTTGAGAAAGATCATATTGTCGTTTTCGGTTAGCTGTATTGTCGCCTTGATTTTCATTAACGAAGTTTCTTTTGCCTTTTATTTGAGCCCACTTTCCTTTGATTCAAATTACAATGTCAAATGTGTGTTATTATGAAGATGGACAAGGTAATTTTTATGATGACCAAGAGGGATGAGAGTATAGCATCCTTTTTCATTAAATAAAAACCTTTAAGTCACTAAACTAAGGATGAGGAGTAATAGTGATAATGCTACATAAATCAAAGGGTATGTTTATGGAAGAGCCTATTTTTAAGCTAGGAAACCAGGTTCTTCTTGTCCAATTTGTTTCCGTTTCAGCAATGTCATTGTCATTTGACGGTGATCGCCGATAAGATGAACTCTTCTTTTTTTTTTTCAATTTTCTCTCTCTTTTGATAGCACCATGTAATAAATGATCATCTTTGATTGAATGATACTAATGTTTTTTAATGTAATGGTGAAGTAGAAGAAATATATATATTATTTACCTTCATGAATTTCAAACGGGGGATGGGCTTTACTCTTAAAACTGATAAATCGTGAACAAGATAGGGTATATCAACAGACACAAAGTGCCGTACGGTATAAAGACCGGACGCGACGGGTTTCGTTAGCTTGGTTTCTCCTTCCAAACTGTTCGCTTCGAAACTAGGAATAATTAACCGTCTTGCATCTTTTGCTTGCATGAACTCTTGGATGATCATGTCACCCAATATACCTTTAGATTCTCGTAAAACTTTTAAATGATCTATAGTGAGTTTTCTGGGCCCAAGCTTGTCATTTGCAAATTCACAATTAAATACATTATGATAACTGTCATCGACTCTAGTTGGCACACACAAACCAATACGATCACCCACAACGCTTTCGTCTGGTAGTGCTCTTTTTTTTTTTTTTTTTTTTTTGCTAAACTCGACGACTCGATATTGAATCTCTCCTGTTTATACATTAGCAACTTTATATACTACAACATCGATATGTAACCTTACCACTTTTAGAAGAGAGATTTGTAGCTGAATATGCTAGCGAGAATAGGGGTCCATACTTCCCCTACGAAATCCTGCTCTGTTGCTGTCTCTGATTTCTTCTTCAAAATATTATTACCTCAATTTAACAGAGAAGCCCTAATAAAGATCATCAATACCGTAAATATTAGGTAAACACTTAGTGCACTCAAAAATGCACTCAAAAATAGATTAATACTATGGGCGCTACCTCTACCCACTGCCTGTGATGTTGCCCAACAAAGCTTTTCAATGTGTAGCGTTAAGCTAAACATGAGTTTATGAAGTTACCATCTGAATTGTCTCTTTTCAAGAAGAAGAAGGAGATAAAAAAGAAAATGTTGTTATTTCTTTATTCTAGTTTTATGTTGCTAGTCTATCAATAGAGAACCAAGATCAGTCGCGTGTAATTAGGATAAATTCGTATTTTATATCAGAAAGAGTGAACTGGACAGCCTTAGGCTAGATAGAGACTTTAGTATTGTAAAGTTGTATAGTGACAATATAGATAGCGCCCCAAGAAAGCGCTCGTAGCATTAGTCTATCTTTGAGTGTATGTTTGAGTGCACCAAGTGTTTACCCAGTCTTAACGTACGTTGTACTATAGGTAGGCGTGATATATTTCAAAAAAGAGCGCAATCCATCGAGGCATTCGCCAACAGCGCTCTAAAAACTCCGCGCGGGCGGCATTTTCAAATTCAGAATTTAGCTGTTCAATTTTAAACTTCACATTTCTCTGCAGTAGATGAACACTATGCGCACAAGGAAATCCACGAGAAGGCTAATGCTACGGGCGCTTATTCTCCTATACATGTGGCGCCACTGTACAAACTCACACTACCAAAGTGCCTACCTAACCTAAGGCTGTCCTGTGGGGTATCCTTTGATGTAAAATACGTACATACCATAATTACACGTGATTGACCTTGGTTCTTTGTTGATCAAACTGACAACATTAAAACATTAAAATACAGCAATAGCGACATTTTATCTCTTTTTTCTTAAAAGATAGCTTCTTATCCTATATTAAGGAACATGGAAAGATGTTTGTTCCTGAACAAGCTTAACGTGATGTTACACATTGAAACGTTTCGTTGACAACATCACAGGCGGTGCTTGTAACATTAACCCTTTCGTGGATTTCCTCGTACGCGTAGTGTACACCAAAATAATAGAATTGGGCCCATGGGAGTTATCGACCTTACTGCTGAAGATGTAGTTAGTATGTTGGAGGAAGCGAATGAATACGAAGATATTATGAAGGCTTCTGCTTTGAATAATGTTGTCTTGTATAATCATGCGCAAGAAACCTTAGATTCCTTTAGAGTTACAACCCCCTCTGCCAAGACAATTTGAACGGGAACTCGTACTTATGGAAACCCAATAGGCTTTGATATATTTGAACACAGACTCTGGATTTATCGAGGTAACAACAAGGCATTTAGAAGTAGATTGTAGCAATATCCTCCTTTTTTATTCTCTAATTAATGTATTCTTGTGTTCATCAGTCTTGATCTTATTGAAAGCCCTAGGAATCCTCTTCTCAACAGGTTACAAGAACGTACAACAGCTATTTATACGACCACATTCTTATTAAATCAGTTGTTCTTATTTATTGTATTCATTGGTTCTCTACATATCTCAATACAGCTTTACCGTCAACATTGGATTATAAATGTTTTACTGCAAAGACTATAAAGTTCATTCATCATTTCTAAGTCAATATCTATTCCTTATGATGTAATTCTTCATCAGATCTAAAGTAAACCTTGCCCACATGAGTGACGCTGTTCAAGCTTTATTATATAATTTATGGTTTATTATGTCTAACTTATAACACTAGATAAACCACACTTAAGTGCAATTATAATAAATTCGTATCATACATCAAAGGATATTCCACTGTCTTACATCTATTGTCTAGAAGAAGAAGTGCGCGTAGCACTATACAAAAAAAGAAGAGAGAAAAATAAGGTTAATTTATCAACTATCCGAATGACCTTGCCCTAAACTATATATTTGTGATCTGTCTAACGGAATAGGAAGAAGTGCTGATATGTCGACGACCAATTTTGAGATGTTATTACATGTTGATTTTTCGAAAGATGTACTTATCACATGATTTCTAATTCAAAGTAAAGTAACATTAATACACGCATGATATATCAGTCATAACAGAGTTAACTTTACTTCCCTTTCGAAAATTTCTTAAACACGAAATACTTATTTTAGAGTTCAATGTGGGTTTTAATTTAGTCATATTTACTGTTTCTATGGTGATCAGGTCATTGTCAATGCTAGGAAAAGAATTCCTCTATTTTATTGATACATTTATGTTTTGCAAAAAAGAAAGAGGGGGCTTTTTCCTTTGTAGACTCTTGTGATACTTTGTATCCTTGTAAACAATTTAGCCTAATGTGTCTTTATTTGCTCATACTGTTTCTCGCTATGCTGATGTATCTGATAAGACAATAAAACTTAACTCTATGATACCGTTTTGTAGCATGTACGTTCTTTGCTTATGTGATTTTTTCTTCATTTTTGTCTAAAAAAGAGCATAGGCTTTGTGTTTATGTATTCTATTTAAATCACAGAGAGAGATTTTGCGTATGTCGTACTTCCTCCAGAGCAGTGCTTGACGGACATGTGATAGGCAAGGTCTGAGAAGGAAACCATATTCTTCCGGTTAAAAGAAGCCAGGCAGAACTAATCGTCAGTGTATACAACGATAATGATCTGATTTTGGACATGATAGAATCCAAGGGGAAGCGATCGACAGTATTTGGAAATTAATCCAGGGCTTTGGCTCTGTTAACGTTTATCCGTTTGGTAGCCATGCATAAGGGCGAGCATCAAGGCTTTTTGTTAATGAGGGGTTCCCATTTTCTAGAGAGAGGAGGAGTCTGAAAAGGCAGCGGCCTGCGCGTAATTTGCGCTTTACGAAAAATTCTCAATATACTCCCGTTCGAAAAAATTTATAAACTTGTCGAGGCCCGCAAAGATGATAGTACTTTACAAACATGCGACTGACACTCTCTTTTATAGTATATGTCGCTTTGCTTCTGGGTAGTGTTTGAATTGGACTTAAATCAATCTTTTTATGGGAAGCAATGACTTTGGACCAAGCAATATCCTTAGCATAGCTTTGCGAAAAAGGCTTCTATCAAGATCAAGGGGCGAGCCACTCATGAAGTGACTATAGACATTATCAGTTATTCATACGGTTGTTATTATGCAAGTTGATGTACCATACATTGTATCTCTATCAAGTTTGCCGATGAGACCTAATTAACAACATGTACATAATAATAAAAGAAGGACACTCAAGATGATGGCGACGACCGATTGAAAAAGAGAATAATTGAGTAAACACAAGTATTGACTCTATGGCTGATCATTGCCTGCAGCTCCGATCGAATTAATTTCCAGGTGCAATGGTCGGTCATTGAAATTTTCTGCCTTTTTTTTTTCTTTTTTGTAACTTTTTTTATTCCAAAGACTTCTCTATTAAATATGTCTGTTTATAATCATAGACCCATGGGTCCACCTACACCCAGTCGTCTAATGGAATTGCTAGATGCTGTCAAAAACGAATACGATCAGCTTGCTCAAGAAGTCATGGTTTGCAAAAGTCAAAGAGATGAATATGAACATAAGAGTACATTAATACACTTTTTATAAACAAAAGGTTAACTTTCTCTTTATTTTCTTAGTGAACAGTCAGATTCAAGAAATGAATTTGTTTCAACAAAACTTGATGGACCTTGAACGAACTCAACAAATGATCAAGAAACAGTAAGATTCGTTTTCTTTTCTGTTTTCATTAATCTCACACCAAGAAAAATAGATATGAAGAAGAGATTGCTCGTCTTCGTCAACAGTTGGAACAAGTAAGAACGTATACAAATATAGTTAAATAGAGTGACTAAGCGCAATAAAAAAAAAGGTCCAGCATTCGCAACATAGTGGAGCACCACCTCAACCACCCGTAGGTAGTGCATCATATGGAGGTAACATCAACATATTCAATGTCTATCTTTTTTTAATTTTTTAATTATAATATATAGGTCCTGGTGGATATCAACCACAGCAGCCACCACCATCATTAATGGATACAAAGCCCCCAGTACATCATCCTGGCTATCCAGTGGGACCTCCACCTACGGCAAGTCCGCATATTCCACCCAATACTGCTCCAGCACCTCCCCATCCTTCGGCTGGAACACCTTATATGAACGGTGGGTCACCTCTTCCTTCTAGTGCTCCACCACCACAATGTAAGATAGAAATCATTCTTTATACATTTACTTACATTGAACAGTACCAAGAGGAGGTAGTCTTACGAAAGGTGGAGCTGGCCCTCAAACACCTAATGAACCATTAGGTGATATCAATCCTGAAAGTGTGCCTGCCAACATGAAGGTGGAAGGCCAAGATTGGTTTGCATTGTAAATGTCTTTTTTTTTTTTTTCAGAATGATGACTAGTAACATCGTTATTATAGATTTAATCCCAAGGCAACCCGTTACCTAAAGGTTGATCTTCTTCACACATTTGACCATGGTAGTGTTGTCTGTTGCGTCAAGTTTAGCTCTGATGGCCGTTATCTTGCTGCAGGTTGTAATCAGGCAACTTATATTTATGATACTCTTGCTGCCACTCGTGTCGCGTAAGTATGCTTTATGTTCCCCCAGTCTGTTGCTTAAACAATTCCTAGTGTTCTTCAAGATGAAAATGCAGGACGTGAAGGCGATTTATATATTCGCTCTGTCAGCTTCAGTCCTGATGGAAAATATTTGGCAACCGGTGCTGAAGATAAGCAAATCAGAGTAAGTTATTTATGACGTGAACCATCATGAAACTTATAAAGTTTAGATTTGGGATATTACAAAGAAGCGCATTCGTGGCATCTTATCTGGACACGAACAAGACATTTATTCATTGGAGTTCAGCCGCGACGGACGCATTCTCGTGTCTGGATCAGGAGACCGTACTGCCCGTATTTGGGACTGGCAAACGCTTCGTTGCTTGCATGAACTGCGTATTAATGATGTTGACCAACAGGATCTGGGCGTCACTAGTGTAGCTATATCACCTGATAGCCGTCTTGTAGCCGCAGGCAGTTTAGATAAAGTTGTCCGTGTCTGGGATGCGGTCACTGGTCAATTACTCGAACGTCTAGAAGGACACAAGGACAGTGTTTATTCTGTTGCGTTTATGCCAGATGGAAAGACATTAGTGAGTGGAAGTTTAGATAAAACACTACGCATGTGGCAACTTGGTACAGGTGAAAGAGGATATGACCGTAGTAAAAATGCCTGCATTCAAGTGTTTACAGGCCACAAGGTAAACAATACCTATAAAATAAGATGTTGGCTGATCTGCTCCCTTTAGGACTTTGTATTGTCCGTTGCAACAACACCTGATGGTAATTGGATTGTATCTGGTTCAAAAGATCGTGGTGTGCAGTTTTGGGATCCACGTACGGGACAAACACAATTCATGCTTCAAGGTCATAAGAATTCAGGTTAGGAATACATATATACAAACATGTAAACAAAAAAAACTTGCGTCCTCAAACCATTTTCTTCTAGTTATTTCTGTTGCTACCAGTCCTGGACATAAGCCAATGTTTGCTACAGGCTCAGGTGATAATCGTGCACGTATTTGGAGTTATGAGCCTTTAGGACCTTAAATGATTTTATGTTTGTTAGAGAAGTTGATAATAATAATAATAATAAAAAAGGATATAAATTTTTTTTTTGCTTTTACTCCCACGCGCAGGAAAATAAATAATTTTTTGTGTGGGGAAAATCAAATCAAAAAAGAACTCTAGGACCAGAGTATGACAAAATGAAGCAAGTATCATTTACAATGCAACATGCATTCAATAAAAGACGTGTAGAGTGAATTAAAACGTTCATATTGGTTTTGCCTAGAGACAAGGTGTAAGAAGAAAGACTGTAAATATATGCATACTTCATGTGATCGTAAAGGGAAAAAAAAAAAAAAAAAGATTGTACTCGATACAAAAAGAAATTTAAACTTTTTTTTTTCTTTTTTCTTTCTTTCTTTCTCTTTTACATACTAAAACATGACTGTGAACGAAGCAAATACTCGTATGAGCGAAGAAAAAACATATCCAGTTCCATCCAGATTATTAAATGACAAGCAACTCCCCAAGCCATTTATTTCGAGCTTTGAGGAGTATCAGAAAATGTGGGAAGAGAGTGTGAATAATCCGAATGCATTCTTTGGAAATGTAAAAAGAGAGAAATAATTATGTTGTCACACTTGTTTACTTATATAATATAGCTTGCCAGAGAATTATTACATTGGTCAAAGCCATTTGAAACAGTTCAAAGTGGTAGTCTAAAGGAGGGTGATGTTGCTTGGTTCTTGGAAGGAGAACTGAACGCTTCATTCAACTGTGTTGATCGTCACGCTTTGGCTACACCAGATAAGGTTTGTTTGTTTTTTTGTTCTTGAACACGAAGCTTATCTATAATTAGATTGCCATCATACACGAAGGAGATGAGCCTGGAAATGTACGAAAGATTACCTACCGTGAATTACTACAAGAGGTCTGTCGTGTTGCCAACGTGCTCAAATCACTCGATGTCCGTAAGGGCGATAATGTAGCTATTTATATGCCCATGGTTCCAGAAGCTGTCTTTGCCATGTTGGCCTGTGCTCGTATCGGCGCTGTTCACTCTGTTGTCTTTGCCGGTTTCTCTTCAGAATCTCTCCGTGATCGTATCAATGATTGCGGTGCTCGTATTATCCTGACATCTGACGAAGGACGACGTGGAGGCAAGAATATTGCTACAAAACGTATCGTAGATGAAGCTCTCAAGAATACTCCCACTATTGAACACGTCTTGATGTTACGTCGTACAGGATCTGAAGTTCCATTCACTCCTGGCCGTGATCTCTGGTGGCATGAAGAAACCGTAAAGGCTCGTCCCTATTGCAGTCCCGAAAACGTGAATGCTGAGGACCCATTGTTCTTGTTGTATACATCAGGATCCACTGGTACACCCAAGGGCGTTGTGCACACCACGGCTGGTTACTTGCTTGGTGCTACTGCTACTGTTAAATATGTCTTTGATTATCATCCAGAGGATATCTATGCTTGTATGGCTGACATCGGTTGGATCACAGGACATACCTATCTCGTCTACGGCCCTCTGTCTGTAGGTGCTACTTCCCTTTTATTTGAATCTACGCCTACGTATCCCACACCTTCACGTTTCTGGGAAACTGTTGAAAAACATCGTGTGACACAATTCTATACTGCCCCTACTGCTATCCGTGCCCTCCGTCGACTGGGCGATGAATGGGTCGACAAATGTGATCTGTCATCCCTTCGTGTGATCGGTTCAGTAGGCGAGCCTATTAATCCTGAAGCCTGGGAATGGTATTATGACAAAGTGGGAAAACGACAGTGTGCGGTCGTGGACACCTACTGGCAGACCGAAACAGGTTCAATCATTATCACGCCCTTACCTGGCGCAATAGCGACCAAGCCAGGATCAGCCACATTCCCATTCTTTGGTATTAAGCCTGTGATATTGGACCCTACCTCAGGCAAAGAACTCGAAGGAAATGATGTGACAGGTGTCTTGGCTATTTCTCAGCCTTGGCCATCCATGGCACGCAGTGTTTACAACAACCACAACAGATACCTTGATACCTACCTTTACCCTTACAAGGGCTATTACTTCACTGGTGATGGTGCTACACGTGATAAGGATGGATTCATTTGGATCCGTGGTCGTGTCGATGGTAAATTCTTTCTACATTGAATGTCACAGTCATGCTCATATTTTTATAGATGTCATCAACGTGTCGGGTCATCGCCTTTCAACTGCAGAAATCGAATCAGCCTTAATCCTTCACCACTCTGTAGCTGAAGCAGCTGTTGTTGGTGGCCATGATGACTTGACAGGTCAATGCATTCACGCCTTTGCTACACTCAAACCCAACATTGAAGATTCCGAGGGCCTTGAAAAGGAACTGGCCTTACAAGTACGCAAGGTAATCGGTCCATTTGCTACACCCAAGCGTATCTATGTGATCAGTGACTTGCCCAAAACTCGCTCAGGTAAAATTATGCGTCGTATCTTGCGAAAGATTGTCAATGGTGAACATGATTCCTTGGGCGACATTTCTACATTGGCTGATCCTTCTGTTGTTGAACAACTCATCAAATACGTCCATGGAAAGAAATAAAAAAATTCTTTCATGTTGCATATTCATAAAATACATAAAAATAAAAAACAATCGAGTGTATATCATTCATTCTGTCCTTTTCTCATAGATTACGGTCTTGTGATGATCATGACTTTGTCTCTCTTGATTTGGTCGAGGTCGAGTCATATTCAAAGCTGTTGTATATATATATATGACATCAAGAAAAGTACCAATAATTGTATTCATTTGAAATGCATCTATGGTTTTATTTAATGATTTCCGCATTTCGAGGCAACTATACGATTGTATTCACTGTGATCTATGTTACCTTCAAATAAAAGAGAAAACCGTCCAAAGGGAAGAGGAAAGGTGGAAGAGGAAAAACGAATGCCACTTCACTCTCTCGTGCGATATACTCAGTACTTTCTAAGCTCGTATTTTAAAATATCAGTAAAAAATTTACATATTTAGTTCATTTTGATGTAAAGAATGGACCCAAAAGATGTATTCTAGCTTTGTCATTTTCCTCTGTTAATTTCAAGATGCTTGGGTTGACTACAGCATCTAATCTCTCTGCTAGAGACGTGGAGAATAGATGCTGTATAAGCTTACTGTTATGTTCTTGTTAAAGCTCCATTATCTTGTCAGTAGCTTCTTCCAGCAAGCCTTTGTAAAGTATAAAATCATTAGCTATGTATCTTGATAACATTTTTTTTTTTATAAAACTTACTTTCACTGCCTAGTAGAAGCTTATTAGATTTAATAAGTCTTCTCTTCGTTTTTCAATTTGAGTCTGCAAATTGAGCCAAAGCTTATACACTGTTCCTTCGTCTTCACGCCTTAGGCTCCGCAAGTATATGGTTTTGTCTAAGCATTTGGCTTTTTAAAACTTTATATATTTAGTAGAAGCAAATTTTTATACCTGCTGCATGGGTGAAAAGACCAAATTTTTGAATTGACCCGTAGTAATGTGTCAACTGTTGTCTTCAGCATCGACAAAACTCCGAACGATCCCTTATGATGATCAAAAGATATCTTGGAACGATCGTTGCAGCCAAAGCATGACGATGTCTCAAGAAGTAGATCTCTAAGCGACAAATGTCATGTAGTTTTATTGGCCTGCATTATCTCTGCCCAAGCTCACAGAATCCAGCTGAGTTGACATTGCTGCCAACGATGTTTCTCCAACGCTGAACTCTGCTCTGCTATTTTGTCTAGCCCCCCAACGAATCAGCTACAATATTCAAATAAGGATATACATACAAATCATTAAAGGTTGCTTCAAGTTTGGCGATGCTTTGGTTTATCTTGTATAAATTATAGCTATTACAGCAAACTATTATTAGATTTAATAGTGTATTTACGTGTTTTTTTTACCTTGACTTAAATATTCCTTCCATGAATCTTATTGCAATGTAGAATATGCATTTATAGAGCTCCCATCTTGGTTTGTATCTTTTCAAGGAAAAAGAGATAAAAGATGATATTTAGTTTAATTTATGTCAACAAAGAACCAAGATCAATCACATGAAATTTCACTGGACAGCCTTACATGTAGTGCCTATAAGAAGAAGCGCCCCGTAGCATGTAGTGTTGTCCTTACTTTACGCGAAAACGCTGTATGTAGCTTAGCAAAAAGGAAGCCTATTATTAGATCTATCAGCACACCCACTGGTGGTACTCTGTGACTGGTGGGCCATTACTATTCATTGCTTACTAAATACACTTTTTTTTTTAACTTTACTTCCCTCAAATTAACATGACCACAAAACAATTACCTAAACTTGGTACTTAACAAAGAGTTAAAACTGATCAAATACTTATTCTCATTCAGTATTTGTCACGGGCAACAAGAACAAGCTGAATGAAGTTCGATACATTTTAAATGGTGTTATTGACGTTGAGTCTCACAATTTAGATTGTAAGTTCGCCCTTGAGTATAGTTGACATGTACTAAATCAATATTTCAAAAGTACCTGAACTTCAAGGAGAGACCCAAGAAATTGCAAAGCAAAAGTCCAAACTTGCTGCGGAAACAGTAAGTCGTACTATTCTGAGCTAAAAAAAGACTTTTGACACTCTTATAGTTAAAGGGTCCTTGTATCACAGAAGACACTGCTTTATGCTTTAATGCTATGAACGGTCTTCCTGGCCCTTATATGTAAGAGGCTCATACTATAAATTTGACCCATCTAATCACTCTATGAAGTAAATGGTTCCAGAACTCTTTAGGACATGAGGGTATCAATAAAATGCTTGCAGGCTTTGAAGACAAATCTGCAGTTGCTCTCTGTACTTTTGGATACTGTGAAGGCCCTGGACACGAACCTATTATCTTTGAAGGCAAAACGACTGTAAGTCTCGATACGCTTGCATTGAACCGTGTGTTCATTTCTTTTTTTTTTTTTTTTCAGGGCAAGATTGTACCTGCACGAGGACCAGGCACCTTTGGCTGGGATGCTATCTTTCAACCCGATGGATATGACCAGACGTAAGTAGACTGTAGCATGAAAAAAGTTATTTACTGATATATATAATAGCTATGCTGAGCTGGATAAAGATATTAAGAATTCTATTTCGCATCGTTCAAAAGCCTTGGATGAACTAAAGAAATACTTTGAACATAAGAAACAATAAATGTTTGAATATAGACACATAGAGTAACATATAAAGTTGTTAATACCTGTAGCTATCAAGAATTTTCTGCTCTAAAGGAAGGAGGGCGGCAATAAACATCTATTGATCAATCGGGTGACTGATGCTATTTAACTGAGAACAGTAGCATTACATGAGTCTTGCTCAACAGGAGAGATGAACAGTCGATTTATCCTCGTGAAACCGCTAACTCCAGGAAAGAATATAAAATGGTTATAGCAGGGTTTGAGAGAAGATGGTTTATTGTAGACAGTTCTCATTGAAGAGCGTTTAATATACCAAGTTCTGTGGAATGTCAGATTTACACGAATTTTGGTAATATTTATATTGTCAGGCGCTCTGCTTTATAATGATCACTGCAAAAAATTGTCACTCGAATAAGCATGCTGTTCACAATTATTGCTTTGATTTGACTACGTTGTCTAATATAATAAATAAGAACAGCTGTCCATATGTATTACGGGATAGTTCAACTATCCTAGAGTGTCCATATAAGGTTGCCGCGCTTGATGTCAGAAAAGGTTCTATCCTTTAAGAACTCGACAAAAAATGACCTCGATGTTTTAACAGATCAGCCCATTTTTTGAGCCAAATAGGTTAAGGATCAAGTATTCACGAACCGTTACATGTGCTCCTAGAGGGCTTCTTTTGGTAAAAACATTGCTTACTTATTAGGGAGTTTATTTTTTTCCCTCTGAGGGCTCCTTCTGGAGCTTATATAATCTATTTCTTGTCCTTTCAAAGGGCAAGTTGGATTTGATTGCCCTTATTTGAAATTGACTGATGTTTATAGGAGCCATGGATCCAGACACATGGCTGAATAGATACGTTTCTAGTGTCTGTGCATTCAAACTGTGGCCTTAGTTCAAAAATAAACGGTCAATTATGGTCTCTCTTCTCTTTTTCTTTTATTTTGCCTGCGAAAACAGCTTTAGCATTTTGCTCGGTCTTTGAAAGCCAAAATTCGACTGCTAGCACGGCTTGTTAACAAAGAGAATAATAATGAAAAAAGGGAGGAGAGCCAAAATTGACAAGCAAAATTATTGGGAGGGAACAACTCAATTATCAATAAGAATATTGAAAAAGCTATTTGAATAAAGGAGAGGAAATCAAGTGCACCTATATCCTCTAATGGCAATCAAGTGGCTGTTTTTCTTTGTGAGTTTGGATCGGTGATTGTAAGAAATACAACATTTCTTACTATCACTCCAATCTTGCATAACTTGTATTTCTACGTTTATATAAAAGAAGATTACACCCTTTGACGTCATATAATTAATATATATATTTCGTACAATGGACTCTCGATTATGGAATACAGCAATACAGAATATTCGCGATATTGGAATACCATTTTTGAAGGACTTCACAGCCACCGCTTTCATCTTCCTGCGATGCTTACTTGAATTGTCGATGTATAAACGTTATTACGAAATATTATTGATTACGGGATGTCATTCGTGCTTCCGACAGATATTCCGGTAGTCTAGATCTACTGTACACAATCCAAGGTCATCTTAAATATTAATATAATACCTCGTACATTGATTCCATGGTATCTGTAATCTGCAGTAGTTGATGACGCGCCATATCTAAGGTGTAATTGGTTGACAACATTTATTCTTGCATATGATGATCAATTTCTTTTTCTCTCAGGAATCTCTTTCTTTGTTCATAAATCATTTATTCCATCATGGCGTATTCTTATGTTTCTGGATTAAGTTGTTTGATGTTACAGACATATCAGCAAAGCAACTCTCAAATGCTTGCCAGTTGTTGCTTAACAAAATTTCCAACTGTGCAGCAAGCTCACTAGTCATCAGAAGGGTTATCAAATTGTATGCTTTGCCTTTGAAAGAGCCTTTCGATCTTGTACTGCACGATAACTTAATTTCACAGAAATAATCTGCGCGCACTTGTATGTCATTCAATATATCAGTTAATACTAAATAAACTAACCCCCTAAATTTAAATTTTATAAATATAGCCTGAATCTGATAGAAAGCCCAAGGATCCCTATGTAACAACCACAATTGAAATGCAACACAGCACTTCTTACAACCATACCAATCTTGCACAGCTTATTTGTATCACAGCAATGATTTGATTGATGTACAATGGTAAGTGTGTGTGCCATTTTAACACTAGCCAATTCTACAACTTATACACGATATAGAGTGGAGAAACAAGCAAGCTCAACAAGAAATGTGAAGTGGGATGGTGCTGCGTTTTTGGTGAACAATAAGAAGGTTATACCACTGTTTGTTGAGCTGTCCGGTAGAATAAACTTCAACAGTAGTCCAGACAAGGAAAGAAGTGATGAAGGAAAGATTATCAAGCAATTTTTTTTTTAAAAAAAAAAAAGCTGAACACAGCAGTGCCTTGTCAGTTCTATATGAGATATCACGGTAATATAATCATCTCCACTATATACCCCAACATTGAATAGCTAGTTAACAAGAATATCGTTATTTTCTAGACTTGAAAATATATTTCGAGTCGTTAACGTACTTTTGTAACAGTGCCTTGCCCGTCCATTCCTTTGGAGCTTAAAATGTTTGCTGAAAAAATCCCTGGCGCATTTCAATGTCGTCAGGGTATTCTTGATTAAATATATAAACTAAAATATGAATATGAAGCTCCATTCAGCAAAAGAAGCTGACTTGGTTTTGCAAGACCCTTGACACTGGTCTCGACTCCTTCTTATACAAAGGTTATGTGGTTGATACTTTACTTCTTTTAATAGTGTAAAAGGATTAGAAATTCAAAAAAAAAAAACATTAATAAGAAGTATGTTTGACTTTAATTCTAAATAGCTTTATAGATGTATGTTTGAGTGATGTTAATTGATACTCACATCCGCATGCTTTACAGGCGCCTCATCTACTCGGTACCACCACACAATGTATTATCAACTGTTAGTTTCGACTTCCCTCTTTTGGAAATAGTCGGTGAACAAGAAATAGCTGAGAGATTTCTCAAATTCTTCTGAATTTTGAAGCCAATTGCTAACGTTTAACTTTTGACAAAGGCAGGAACAAGGATCAAATTGATGCATGAACTACAAAGAAAAATGCGGCCAATCAGATCGCTCTCTCAATGAGCAGTAGTATGGCACACCTTATTCAAGCTCTCATAAGCCTCCAGTCTAGTTTGTAAAATAGTTTATTGCTAATTCCTTATTGTCTGGACATTGTGAAATGACACCCATACAGCTTACTGATTCAACCGTGGGTAGTGGATGTAGAGCTTTTTTTTTTTTAGCTTTCTGATGGTTACAGTAGATTTAAAAGGTATATATTTCTTCTAAAAGCCTTGACGTAATCTTCCAACGGATTATATGAAATCAATTCAAGGCGCGCTTAGTATATGGGGTCCCTTTGAAGTATTGACTATAAGCTTTTAACTGAGCTTTCGATTGTTACACGCTATGTGACTTCAGCTCCTAAAATAGCAGGGTTGTTTGGTATATCTTACAATCACTAATCCAAACTCACGAATAAAATCAACCATTCGATTACCATTAGAGGACATAGGTACACTTGACTCTCCCTCTCCTTATTAGCCTGAACTAAACGTTATTGATGAGCTCTGTTCAATTATTAAAAATAATGTTGCATGCAGTAAATTGGATGATAAGGCTCACGATGATTGTTGGTTGAGTTTTAATGTCTATCATCAGCGTTGGCTGTTTCTTCAGTAGATACATGATTCTCCGCTATATATACGCTATAAAAGGGGGGGGGGATAAGTTGATGCCATTTGGGATCATGGAGCGTAAGAGAGGGGAGATTAAATTAAATATTATGAAAAGCTGTATTGAACTCCTTATCAAGAGTATAAATCAACCATGTCTTTTTGTCTCTTTCTTTCTTTCTCCTCGGTTTCTTTTATTCTCCCTGTTATGATTAACTTCATTAGAAGAAAGTAAACATGCGCTGAAAAAAGTGTCCTAGAGCAAGTCTGGAGTACTCCTGAGCATATAACCTTCTCCTTTATTTTCTAAAGCTTAAACCGATAAAGTCTGCCGCTTTATCTCTCTCTCTCTCTCTCTTCTCTTTTTTCTTTTCTCTCTTTGCTTTTGAAATAATTTATATATATATTTTTTCTTTCTAAATACTTTATAATTCATAATAATGACTCACTTAAGTGACTTTAGCTTTCTACGTAAAGATGATAACTATTTATCAATGTGATGCCTTGTACTGATTTACTTTGTTTTCTAGAACGAATGGTATCATTCGCGTATTTGTATATATGGTATACATATAGAGTCTGGACAACAGATCGCTTCAGTTGTTTACACCCAAAAAGATTCCGACAAGGAGAGCTAAAAAGTATAGTCACCCTGCTAATATTGTTCATGATACCGTTTCAGCTATTTTATGGTATTTAATTTCTTTTATATATAGTACCGTAACTAACATTGTATAAAGATATAACATCTGTAAAGATTAAATACGAAGAAGGCTTTGCTAATGTTCTGGGCCACATCTTTACAAAGCCCGAGTTGATGTGGACAAAGGCAGATCAAAACCTTGTCATACCTACAGGTACATACATGCAATGCAAAGTTCCTTTTGAATACATATCAACAGTAATCAATAGAATACAGCTTATGTATTGGCTTCTCCTTACAAACGTATGTTTAATCAATTCATAAAATCAACAATTATTGATCTCCCTTATCTTAGAGGAACGCTCGTTCTGTTACAGTGCTTTTGGAACTACCTTGCAAACTCAGTGGCAAAAGCTAGCTTTATGAGTAGTAAGGAATTCATGTTTTATATCTTTTGGTATATCTTTAAGCATGTTTCCTCTTTATACTTGACAACTAACTATATCCTTTTAGGACCTTTACTAGTTTTATCATCTTCCCAGTGCTCCAGTATAACTTTTCCCGTGACATTTATGAGCCAACATACAAGGAAATTATGCCCGAAATGGTGTACGGCATTGAACTTTTCATTGTTGGCTGTCTCGGTGTTGTTTCGCATTTTCGATTCAAGAAGCTTTTGAACAGTTCCCGTGATACGACAAATGGTAGATCCATTATCCAAAAAATTCGTTATTTTCAAGAGGTGAATAAAGTGCTATCCACTGTACTCTTTGGTCACGGAACACTGCTTACTATTCTCAGCTGTGATGGATTGACAGGCAAGAAGACATTGAACGCACACAAATTTTCAGCAGATTTTTTTATTTGCAACAGTATGTCTATCACACAATGTCTAGCGTATAGATTCTAATTTTTATGTATATATAGTCAATATGTGTGCTGTTATCACTTGGTTCTGTATGATCTTGATTTTTCATCCAAAGCATAATACTAATCCCAATGGCTCTGCTGGTGATGAAGACGCATATGGAGACGGCCACACCCCATTGAATAACAATAGCGGCATCAGTAGCACCTATGGTCAAGCAACTACTCTTGTCATTGGAAATTCTCAAGCCTCTAGCGACTGCATGTCTTATTCCAAAGGAAGCATTCACCCTTTAAGCAAGTCTGGAAATTGCCCAAATTACGATAGTGGTTTTCATTTTGGTCCTCTCCCTATTCCTCCTGACAATAATTCCCCTGACTTTAACAATCGCAACAACACCTCATTTTCATCCACTGCACCATCCATGACAACCCTTGTATCCCAAAGTGCTGCCAACTACGGTAGTCAAGGAAAGGGCCGCTCAAAGGGGTATAACCACTTGGACTATTACGAGGTTCCCCTGACTGTTGACGATACATCCATAATGGCCACTCCACTTCAACCTACTCCCAGTAAACAGAGTCACCTTCACTCTGAGAAAATACAACGGCCTCAAGTATCTGTCGAGAGCATTCCAAAGAATAATAATTACGCTAGCCCTAACGATGAATACATCCCACCCCCTCTTTCACCTGCTCGTAAAGGCAGAGAAATCTCAACCATCACGCAAACAAGGTCCGAGCTGGCTCGCAGGAAATACAGCCATTCCATGACACCTTCTTCATGCAATGAGGACATGAGTGACTTTGGCGCATCTCCATATCCTATGCCTGATGTAACTGATTTGTCCGAAAAGACACAGTACCAAATGATGAACGGTAGCATGGAAGGTATTCCTGGTATAGGCGATCAAGTAGATGATTATCACCATCATTCAATGTCTTATAAGAAAACAAGCAGTTTCCAACCTCAACGCTACCATGATGATGCCATGTTATCTAGCTTCCGAGATTTTGGTCCTCCTCCTATCTCTCCTTTACTCACAATGGATGGAGAAATGGCAAAGTATCAGTCTTATAGTAAGCAGTCTTCATCTTCTACTTTACAATCATTTGGTGTAAAAGAAGACGCCAACAGCAGAAAGTTTGATTTACTACCACCACCGCCTTCTTCTCTTCCTCCACCTCCTCTATAGTGATATTTGTTACTCTGATAAAATAAAGTCCATATCAGCCTTTCTTATACTTCACTTTTTTATTACTGTCATCAATTAAATGTTTATAAAGTGCATGTACGCTGTATTGCTTTTTATTTAATACTGCTATTGGTCTATTTGAATGGTAGTCCCATAGCTTCTTACAGTGTTATTATTTACATCGTTTAAAGTCTAGTATAATTTAGTTAAATGATTATATATAATAAATGCTAGCTAAAATACCTTGCCATTGTTCTGACTGATTGTGTGCGATAGAGTGCTTGTTATAGTCTTTGATGCTATAGTTCCAAGATAAAACAATGGGATTGTGACACCATGAATGACAACAGATGATAATATCATAAAGTATATGATCGGCTCCATCAGCGTACGTACGTTATCGTTAATATTTTCTTCAATTGCCATTGTATAGTAGAATAACGCTCCTACTCCGATCGGCCCAAACCAGCCCATAAAGATTGCCTGTCTCCAGTTCGATATGCCGGGTATATAATGGTATAATCCAACAACAATAGGTAGCCTTCTAAACAATAACACACCGATGGCAAGACCAAGCAATTTCGTAATACCTACTTTGACAAATAGCTTCCAAGGCTACAAAGTAGAGTATGTCAGCAGTGCGCATTCGTAATGAACAAAGCGTTTACCATCGTTATGCCAATGAATACAAATATACTCAGGTTCGACATCATATCTACAACCTCCGTTATGCGTGCATCATCTGTCTCTTCTTTAAACCACTCATCCCAAGTGAAGGCATTTCCAGCAATGAAGCATGCCAAGAGATCATCGCTTCCGATTAATCCAACACTTCCCATCAAAAATAGCTACGAAATAATGAGTCGTCTTGCCCTTTAGTTATTGCAAAAGTGACGTTACAGTAAGCGCAATAGTATAGACCAAAAATGACTCCTTGTCGATCCATTCCCTATATATAAATCCAGGTTCATATACATTTCCCCCTTTCTTGTTTGATTCACATCTCACCTCTCTTCGGACAGACGCAGTAGCTTTCTAGCCATGTATCCCGTGACAAATCCAACGACGATGGAAAGCCCAATGTCATAACCCATGATACTCCCGGCCCATTTATAAATAGCTTCAGGTTTGCTTGGTATCTGTAAAAGGTAGATCGCCAAGAAAAGAAAAGGGTACCCTAGACCATCGTTCGCCCCGCTCTCAGCAACAATCAGATTACGAATGTTGCGTGGAACGTGCGTTTCTGCAAAATGCCCTTGAACGATAGAATTTGCAAGCACCTGCATTTACTATTGTTAACAAACAAGTCATCTTTTCATAATTATTAACCTACAGGATCTGTGGGTGCGAAACAGGAGGCGATCAAGAGCGATTCTAGCTACAGCAGAGGTTTAACGCTTTTTCTGCGTGTATGTATATAACTTACAAAACTAAGAGAAGGGAAAAAGTATTGTACACAGAGTCCACTGACGAGCCACATGAATATCATGACGGGAACAAGCAACATAAATAATGATTTGGCCTCTTTACGTAAATAGGCTTTTGGTAGTGAGACTCCTGCTGCCATGACCTTATTTTTTTAAATAGTAAATACATGAATGCTTTTATAAATCATGATACATACTTGGATGGCAATAACTATTCTTGTAAACTGTCGTAAAAAGTCTTGTTTAGATGCCCATTGATCCATATTAATCCAATTGTTCCCAACCGGACCACAGATGATACCATAAAGAACAGCAACGACTATGTAAAGTTTAGGGGTCAAAGACAAGATTGTATAATCTGTGATCTCACATGCTTCAGATATGTATAGTTTTTCCTTGATGACAAGTGAACATACGCCATAAAGTAAAATGAATCCTCCAAGTGCTGCAGCAGTGACAGAAATGTTTGTGTCAATATCCATTTATTTACAGAAAATTTGAGTGGGGGACAAGATATAAATTAAATGAGAAAGGGTCTTTTTGTTCACTGCTTCTATTCTCACTTTCTCAATCCTTTTATATAAAAAGGCACAATCAATAAAGAAAAAGAGGAAAATGAAATTCGTATTTATACTTGTTTGGAGAAATGATTATAATGACTTTTGACTTTTTCGTTTGGTACCGGAGTTGCAAGATAGATACAAAGTGGGCCATGCATATCTTATCATAAAGAGTAAATGACATCGTATGAATATTGTCATTTACTTTAAGAACGAGCTAATTTTGCTAATGGCTGACCATCTGTCCCTTACTTGTTGTACACGTGAGTATTATTCTCATTTTGTAGAACAGTTGACAATGAAAATGAGCTATTTTTTTTATATTACAGTATCTAACATGTGGCACTGGTCAATGGCTGTATCCATGATTCGGCATTCTAGCAGGTATCTATGGTAACTCTTAAAACGCGGGAGGAATGTATCTTGGATTTTAAAGAAATGTACCATGCATCTTACTATGGTAGCTTAATGAAAATCTTTAAATTCATCGTTTGTTATCTTTTATCTGCAATAATAATAATAGTAATAATAATAAAAAGAAGACGACAATCATGATCTTCCACCAGTGTCTTTCTGGCCCAGTGACTGCTGAAGGAATTAAATTAAAGCAGAAAAATAAAAAAATAAAAATTTTCTTTGACAGATCTATAATACATTGATCAACCATGAAGTTAGATGCAAAAGCGCTTCGATACATGTCCTCTGAGGATTTCAGAGTTTTAACTGCCGTAACTATAAACCGCAAGCTAATATAATGTAGAATTAAAAGAAACTGCTGTAGGTTGAAATGGGCTCAAAAAATCACGAAGTTGTGCCTACTTCCCTCATTGCTCAAATTGCTCAATTAAGACATGGAGGTGCACACAAGATCGTAGGCGAGTTAGCTAAAAGGAAGCTTATTGCACGAGTACAAAACATGTCTTGTAAGTTAAAAGTACGTCAAGCATATGATCTATGCTAACCAACTCTAGATGATGGATATCGTCTTACTTATGGTGGGTACGATTACCTTGCGCTCAAGACATTCGCCAAACGAGGCACTGTGTACTCGGTTGGTAATCAAATCGGTGTAGGAAAGGAATCAGATATTTATATTGTCGCTGATGAAGAGGAGAATCAACATGTGCTAAAGCTTCAACGTCTCGGTCGTATGTCCTTCAGAACAATCAAGTCAAAACGAGATTATCTTCAAAAACGTAAATCAGCTTCCTGGATGTATATGTCGAGATTAGCTGCCATGAAAGAATATGCGTTTATGAAAGTGTTGTATGAGCATGGATTTCCTGTACCTGAACCCATTGATGCCAACAGACATTGTGTCGTAATGGGGCTGATTGATGCTTTCCCACTGTAAGTTGTTGAACTAGGCCCTTGAAATTGTACTAACATGTCTCAAGTCGACAAATAGAACAGGTAGCCGATCCTGGCAAGCTTTATTCAGAATTGATGGATTTAATTGTCAAACTAGCCCAGTATGGACTTATTCATGGAGATTTTAACGAGTTCAATATCTTGATCAAGAGCGATGGATCACCTGTGCTCATTGATTTTCCTCAAATGGTGTCTACCTCACACGCCAATGCTGAATATTACTTCAACAGAGACGTTGATTGTATTCGTACCTTTTTCCGTCGTCGATTTGGCTATGAAAGTGCGTTATATCCTAAATTTACACGGGATGTCAATAGAGAATTCAGTTTGGATGTTCAAGTGGCTGCAAGTGGATTTAGTAAAAAGATGCAAAAAGAATTGGAAGACGTAAGTCTATTTGATTGAAATGTAATTGTATACTTATCATTGCTTTAGTATCAAGAAGAAGTCAAAGAATTAAGTGACGAAGAGGAAGAGAGTGAGGAAGAAGAAGAAGAAGAAGATACTGAACATATACCCTCAACGGAAATGACCGAAGAAGAAAAATTACAGGAAAAATTAAGAAATCTTCGATTAGGCAATACAGAGCCTTATGATGAAAATGAATCTGAAGAAGAAGACGACGAAGAGGAAGAGGAAGAAGAAGAAGAAGAAATGGATGAAGAAGCTAGATTAAAGGAGCGTAGTGAAAAGATTGAAAGATTAAACAATAGAGACTATAAAGCATATCGCGATAATTCTACAAAGAAACCAAGTACAACAGAAAAGAAACTAAGTGCAGCAGAAAAGAAAGAGCTGGAAATCAAGAATAAAGTTGCTAGATCGCTAAAGAGTCAAGCTAATGGCAGCAACCGTGGATCACGTGGCAATATTCAAAAAGGCCGTGGAAAAAAGAAGAATAAAAATGATTTAAAAGGGGGTGATATCTTTTAATAAAAATGTGTACAGTGATTTACCTTTGATATTTTAACTGATTTCTTATCCAATCTCCAAATGTTTTGGTGAACACTATTGACTTAGAGTTTTAAGGAAACACTACGCGCATAAGGAAATACACGAGCAGGCTAGTGCTACAGACACTGCCTCTACACAATACCTGTGATATCACTTTACAACATCATACCATCAAAGTCACTATCTAACCTAAGGCTATCCAGTGGAATTTCATGTGATTAATCTTGTTTCTTTGTTGATTGAGCTGACAACATCAAATTAAAATAAATGAAAAAACCCTTTTTCTTCTTGAAATGAAACAAACCAAGATGGTTGAAAAGCTTTGTTAGACTACATCATAAGTTATTCGCTCGTTCTAGTAGATTCCTTTGCACACGCAGTGTCTTCCGAGCTTTATTGGAAAGAGTGACTCAACACTACTCTTGTTTCTTATTATTTATCTCATTCAGGAAGAAAATCTGGCACATGTGTTGGATGATTCTTTGAAGCAAGTAAGTATCTCCTGTTGTTTAGTTTAGTTCTTTAAAACATGATTTTATTAATTCTGTATTATCAATATAAGGTAGATAACCTGACAACTTTACTTGTATACCAAGCGAATAAATGGAAAAATGCTAAATTCAAAACGTTTACTGAAATTGCCGGTGTTCACATTATCAAGAACAGAACATCACTTACAACATTACGCCTTTAAAATGATCGTGAATTTCGATTTCAAGTAGACTGTGAAGCTATGTTGCCAAGAAGTGAGAAGGAGAAGTTCTAATGGCTTTCTGTTTATGAATTACTTTCAAAGCTTGGCGTAGGCTAACACCACATGTACCAGAAAATAAGCTAATACTATCTTGTGCATTTTCTGGTGCATGTAGCGTTTCCCTTAGAAGGTATTTGACGAACAACAGCAGGCTTTGGGGTGGCTTCAAAGAGAACGATGTAGATGGGATGCTATTTATTTTAAAGAGACAGTCATAAACACAATTGGAGATCACTTTGAAAACCCTTAATAATCAACGAATGATTTGATAATGTGAAATAAAATATATGGATTTTTTTATGATTATACTTTTAAAGCAGGCAGATCTTACTCTTACTAAGAGCGTTCCAGTGGCTCTTGTTATGTAATACTTTATAAGACATGAGACAAAGACAAAAGGAATACTCTTTGAGATTAATCTTTACTCTGAGATAAAGGCAGAATGAATGTGTAAATATATTAATGATCTACTCTGTATAATGGTGTACATTACGAGAAAATCCACGAGAAGGTTACCTCTAGGCACGATCTGTGATGTCGTCAACAAACCTTTTCAGTATGCAATGCCAAGTTAAGTTTGTTCAGGAACAGATATCTTTCCATGTTCTTTGATGTAGAATACGACTTTTATAAAGTTTCAAGAAGAAAGAGTTAAAGAATTGCTTTTATTGCTGTATTCAGGCATCTGCCGCTGTTTTGTATATCATTTACTAATCGGGTAAAGGATATTCACTTATCCCAACTGGGAATCATTCTTACCTGTATTACATATTCACATAGATATCATTGTAGTAGTAACTCATGATGCAGAGTTATGCTAAATGCTGTTATTAACAACATAGTGGAATTCTTTCTGAACCTATGCTCATCACCCGACTATCAAATATAGCAATATGATAGGCTATCTTTTTTTATATTTGTATTAGCTCTTTAGAGGTTAGCTGTGGAAACTCTCGTTTAAAAATACCATTTCTTATTGGACAATAACTCAAAGAATTTAAGAACCGAAGGAAAAAAGTTCAACAGCAAATCATCAGGAGAAACAATGTAAAAAGTGTCTTCTCTTTTTTTATATATTTAAATATTTCACTTGTGTGTGTAATTGTTTTTTTTTTTTATTATAAACAGATACACTTTGGGAATAGTGAGCTTTGTTCATATTCATGTCTAGACCGCCACCTGTTTCAGGGCAAATGGCATCACCCAAGGATCAAGCAATGCCTACAGAAAAAACTCTACCACCAGTCAAGTATTTACCATTAAGGAAAAGACTGACCATTGAAGGAATGAAGACACCAAAGAAACAATGTGTAAGACATGAACTAAACCACCAAGATCAGACAACATTATCTCCGCATAAATACTCAACAACAACAGAGAAGGATGCTCTAGAAGATACAAATGCTATAAAAAATACACCATTAGCTAAAGTATACAAGACTGTGGTCATTCAACAAAAAATGGCTTTTGGTAAAGGTCCTTGCAATCCTTTATTATGGAACAATGAGGATGCCGAAAAGAATGTAAAGACAAGAATACAATCTACTTGGACAGTTTCATTAAAGCACACATACATATATATAATATATATAGGCGCCTTGGATGGCAGTAGAAGAATCCATAAACTCATTCAAATCTGCATGGTTTGAAAGCGATACGAATGAAGACGCTGAAGTAGAAGAAGAAGAAAAGGTAATAACTGACTAAGAAAGAACACGTCTGTTAACCTTTAATAAAGCCAATAAAGAAGACAGCCAAAAGAGGAAGACCATCATCCAATTCAAAACAGCGGTCAATAGAGTCAGACCCAAATGTACCAAAGAGAAAGAATAGCAGTCTATCGACGAAAAGGTCTGATCTTTTTGACAGTAAGCTATATTGTATTTGCAGACAACCTTATGATGCTACAAGGTTTATGATTGCCTGTGATCGATGTGATGATTGGTTTCATGGAGAATGTATCTCGATTAGAGAAATAGACAGTGACTTTGTTGACCTTTATTTTTGTTCTAAATGTTCCCAAGGTAAAATAAAAAAAGAATAATATCAATATTGCATAATAATGCATAATGTAGCCACTGGAAAAAAGACATCATGGAAGCCCAAATGCGCTAACCCTGCCTGCTGCAGAGCAGCCAGAATTAGTTCACACCTTGGCTATTTATCCAAGTACTGTTCAAATGTATGTGGTATGCAGGTTGCACGAGCTAGGTTAGAATTACTGGAAATCAAACGGCGACATGCAACTAATGCCAACCATTTGACGCCTATTTCAGAACTGGTCTTAGCTAAACAGAGGCAGTCAAGGATAAACTCATGTGCAGATAAGGAAGATAGAGAGAGATTGATACAAATACGTCAAGAGCAAAAAGATATAAAAGCTGCTGTAGACATCTTGAAACGAAAAGGCAAGCTTGTAGAATTACTAGTTGGACTAAGGCCGTTTATCGAACAAGATGAAAATGTTCCTTGTGGGTTTGACTCAAGATTGGTATGGAATGATGATATATGGAGCAAGATAAATCACGATCCGATATTAGATGCACAGATGCAGATAAGGTTTGACTCGAATGAGCCATTCGATGTCTGTCAGCGCTTAAAATGTATAAAACATCGGCAGTGGCAAAAGATTTCATTGATTGAAATCAAGCAAGAGAAGAAGGAACTATTTAAAAAGCTAATAGACTTGGAACAGGAAAGGAATCAAATCAAAACACGTATGAGGAAAAGAAGAAGTCATTCGGACTTAATTAAGGACTATTTATTGAATAATAGCATTTCAATGTAAACACATTCGTTAAAGAAATACCCCCCACCAATCCCCCCTTTTTTACATAATTTGCACCCTTTCATTTTTGTTAGTTGCTCCACCCCTTCTTTATTGTAGATATCATTATAACTTAATTCATTATACATATTGTTCCTTTTTTTTTCCTTCCTTTTGGTTAATAAAACTTAACAAAAAATGTTAAAATATACATTTCTCTTTTTGTTCTTTTCTAGCCAGGTTGTCTGCACTCTATATAAGCGGGACTTTACATCAAGAAATTACTATACGCTCCGTACAAGCAGTCCCAAAGATATTGACCTCATTCAGCCTGTTCTATCTAATTTAAACGCGAGATTTGAAGGACAAGTGGGCGAATTGGCCAGTTACTATTGGATCAGTGTACCCAAGGAGAGCGATCATTTGATAAGCCATTTTAACACACTTATAAAGAGAAGTGTTCCGGATGTAGACATCAGACCCCAGGTGCCCTCAAAACGGATCGTGAAACGTGCACTGTCTCTAGATAAACAAGAGATGCATTTGCGTCTGCAGGAAACAAAGAATGCATTGCATATAGCAGATCCTGGGTTTGACAAGCAATGGCATTTGGTAAAGCAACATATGTACACTTTATCATGCTCATTTTTATTTTTCTATGTGTAGATGAATACATTAGAGTTTGGACGTGATCTTAATGTATCCGGTGTATGGAAACAAGGGATCACGGGGAAAGGTTCGGTTGTGGCAATACTTGATGACGGTTTGGATTTTGAACACGAAGATCTTCAAAACAATTATGTAAGATTAAACCCCCCCCCGAGATTATCTTTGTTCTCATCATTATTCAAAAAAAAAAAGTATGCAGAGGGCTCCTATGATTTTAATGATCATGTTCTCGAACCTAGGCCAAGACTCAGTGATGACGTTCATGGAACTCGGTGCGCAGGTGAAATAGCAGCAGCAAAAAACGATGTATGTGGGATAGGTGTTGCCTATGATGCAAAAGTGGCGGGTATTCGCATACTTTCAGGGGATATAACAGAAGCAGATGAAGCAGCTGCCTTGAACTATAAGTACCAAGAGAATCAAATCTACTCTTGTTCTTGGGGGCCTCCTGATTTGGGTGAAGTTGCAGAAGGCCCTCAAGGCATCATTCTGGATGCAATCAAAAACGGTGTTGAACATGGTCGACATGGCAAAGGATCTATCTTTGTGTTTGCTTCAGGAAATGGAGGGTATCATGATGATAATTGCAATTTTGATGGATACACCAACAGTATCTATACCGTCACTGTAGGAGCCATCGATATATTGGGGAATTATCCACCGTATGCAGAGAAATGTGCAGCACAGTTTTTGGTAACGTACTCAAGTGGCAGTGGTAACCATATCGTAAAGTCGTGTAAGCAAAAAGTCACGTTTGATGTAAAACTAAAGTGTGTATTAGTATACTACCGATGTTCATTCTAGGCAATGTTCTGATAATCATGGTGGCACATCAGCAGCTGCTCCGCTCGCAGCAGGTGTGTTTGCACTCGTATTGTCCATAAGACCTGATCTATCTTGGCGAGATCTTCAGCACCTCTGTGTGCAGTCCGCAATTCCTATTTCTCTGCAAGACGAAGATTGGCAAACCCTACCTTCCGGACGCATGTTTAGTCACAAGTATGGGTATGGCGTGTTGGATGCTTACAGAATTGTCGAACTCGCGAAATCATTTCAGTCAGTAGGGCCACAGGTGCATTTAGAAACCTCGTCTGCGAATAGAGAAGCATTACAAATTCCAGATATTACAGCAAAGCCCTCAAGAGAGAATGCACTAAGGACGACGCTTCAAGTGACAAGAGAGATGGCAGCCGGTTTATCAAGGACAGAACATGTCACGGTCACCGTGACAATTGAACACGACAGGCGTGGTGATTTAGAGATACTGCTAGTCAGTCCGAACAATGTCACTAGTCAGCTGGCAACGCCTAGAAAATATGACTACAGTAGAGACGGTTTGGTCAATTGGACATTTATGTCTGTAAAGCATTGGGACGAGGATCCAGTAGGTGTTTGGTCATTATTGGTGATTGATGAAAGAAATCCAGAATCTAGAGGAAGGCTGATTCAATGGAAGCTCACGATTTGGGGTGAATCAAAAAAAGAACAAAAAATAGCTACTCAAAGCTTTCTGATGCAGACGTTTGAAAGCATGCGTGTGGACAAACAAAGGACTTTTGTTCATAGTGTCATTCTGGCTTCAATTGCTTTGATTATTGCCGGTAGTGCTATTTTTATAAGAAAACATAAGCTTTATCGTCGCAAGAGTTATTCTCAATCTAGTAGTGGAGACGTATTTGAGCTTGACAACTTGCTAGAATGTCCTGTAGCCTCTGAGGACGAGTATGACGAAGAATAATTGTGTAATTTTTATGGCTTTATTCATGTAATCTCTCATTTATAATAATAAAAATTCTTTCACTTTAGCATTAACAGATTTCCAAGATGTGATTAGCACATCATGTCCTTGGTTATTGAATATAACTAACTGAGCATGTGGAAGGGAGGAGTGTACCTGAACATGGTTATGGAAAGGAACAGTCTACAACAAAAGTTAGATATTTTTTCATTACAACCTTTTCTTACCTTATCCTGATCCCCCCAAATGAGAAGTGTCGAGTTAGCTCCTTTCACTTGACCCACTCTCTCATATCTCTCCTTTAATCCAGTAAAGGGAAAGTCAATGACTGTACGTAGGAATGCTCTAAAGAAGCCTGGATGATGCACAAATTGATGATATGCTATTTGAGATATACGATCTGCTAGTTCTGTAGCGCCTTCTTCTGTATTTGCGCTCGCGTGACGTGCTGAAGCAGCAAAGTGGCGTATGGCCATAGTGACCAGTGGCCTTACCAGAGGCTGGCCGATGAGCACTTGACTTAAAATGGGTAATCGAGCCACTTTGGAGGTGAAGGGTAAATCGTTCTGCTGCATCAATCCAGTAGGTGCGATCAAAACTAATTTGCGTACCATTTCTGGATAGAAGGCAGTAAAAGATGTTGCAATACCTCCACCTAGAGAAACGCCAATGATATCGGCCTTTGTCCATCCTATTTTGTGCATCAAGAGGGCCAGCTGAGATGTATATAGAGCTTCATCATAGTAGGCATGAGGAGCATCAGAGTAGCCTCTGCCCCAGAGGTCATATACAACGACGTGGTGACTACTGTTTGCCTTTCATATGTGGATTAATGATACTTGATGTTAACTTTCATTATACATTACTAGCTCTCTAGCCAATTTGTCATAACAAGAAGAACCTGTCGTTATGCCATGAATCAGAATAACAGGATTACCTTGTTCATTGCCAAACATCCAATAACGCATTGTGCCATGGGGTAGCGTCAAATAGGTGCCATTAGGATAAAAGTCAGGAGCGTATAAGTCAGAAGGTTTATCAGAAAGAGAACCGCGCGTGATTGGAGGCTGACTGCTTGCTAGTAGATAACCCGTAACTAAGGCTAACAGTGTCCATTTGTTTAAAAACATGGAAAGTTGCAATAAAAAAGTCCGATTAGGCTTTTGTGTGTGTCCGACTGGGTTTGTAAATGGGGAAAATATAATGAATTGTGTGTTTCTTTGCGAATCTGCTTTTGACATTGATACACCTTTTGCCAAAATGATGTCGCTTTTAAAAAAAAAGTGCATCGTATATATAACTGTTTGTTAAATAGGATAGCCTACAAGGCAGTCATCAAAGAGTCTATTGGAATAGCGCGCAAACCCTTCAAAAGATGACTGGGCAACTTGGTTGCTAGCGTCCGCAATTATTTGAGGAGTAGTATCTTTTTTGAGTATAAACTCTCTTTTTACACTATTCTTAATAATAGCCAAAATTGTTCTATTGGGTTGAGTTCTGGAGAATAAGGTGGTAGGTAAATGCATTTGTAGCCACGCTCTTTGATCATCTCGCCAATTATTTTTCTTGTATGTATGGGCGCATTATTCATGATCAGATAATGTCCGTTCATTTTAGGAAATTTGTCCATCTCAGCAAGAACGTCTTTCATAAAATTGACATAGCGATTGGTTACCGTGCCCTGTATTTGCTACCTTTTGCCACCAGCTAGCTTTCTTTTTGAAGGTGGCATGGGCTTTCTCAAGCTGATTTGATCAAGCCTTTAGCAGAAATGACGCTCAAGATGGAAATTGAATTGGCTCTAGCCGTAAGTGCTTTAGCTTTGGCAGCCTCCTCTTTTGGTGTCCAGCCTTGAGTTCTTCTCAGGTTTACATTAAATCCTGATTCATCGATAAAAACAATGAATTTGAGGCACAACGGTTACATGCGCTTGCTTGTTTTTTGCATATTTGTATTTATCTCCTGCGATATCATAGATTTTAGACCGCCTTGATGTGTCTCAGTATTGGAGAAATTTGCGTGTTAAAGAAGCCAGAGAGGAAGCCGTTGCTAATGCAGAGGAGTCTATGACGTGTTTGATGAGATAATCATTGTAATAACTCGAGTATAGTTTTACAGTAGAGCATACATTCTACTTTACATTCCTCTATCGCATGTGAAAAGAGTAAGAGTGCTGACAATATTGATAAATAATCAAACTGACGACATTAATATAAACAGTAGTCATAGATTCTCTACCCAAGTAAACTCTCACTCAAACTTAAATTAATAATTTTCAGCTCTTCTTGAGAAAGAATCTAATTCACAAGTCATCGACTTAATAGCCTTTTTCAATAACACTAAGACTGAATACAACAGTCTATTTACAAGAAATTGATAATTAAATTCCAGGTCTGTGAAGCCCTTTTTTTTACAAAAGTTAGAAATAATTCATATTTTTTTAATGTACATAGAGCCCTCCAAGTGGAAAAAGAAAGGTAAACTATTTTTTTTTTTTTGCATTTACAATCATTAATGGATGCCAATTGTAAATATCACTGAATGTAGAGAAAAGAAAGCGATATTCAGAAAAAATATACGCTGACGATCATCCCAAAGCTGATAACAAATAGTTCATAGCACCCTTGAGGAGCCAGTGTATGAGATTATATGAGTAGTTTAGGCAAAGATCTAATCTTAATACTTACAAACTAAACAATGTGTGTCAGGTCAATTCAGAGTATATTACTGATGAAGCCTCAGCAATATAATAACCCAATGCTGGTGTAACTACTATTTTTTGGAAATTTGTTTCAGAGGACGACATCGTTGAAGGACTAAGTCACCCCAAAGAGGAAACTGACAAAAAAATAATATAGTATAAATAACATTAACCTCTACAGCAACAAACCTACATATTTATCTACGCTTTTACCTTCACTTTTATTATTTCATTAATTTATTCTTACAATAATTTCTTGTTGTACCTCTTATATAGCTCTTTATTGATCCATAAAAGTCCCTTGAAGTCACATTATACTTCATTGTAACCCTATTTTATCAGGCAAACCTTATTGCTATCTCTATTTGATCTATACAAGATCTGATGGTCGCTTATCAAATCAATTATCATCAAATACCTTATTACAAGGCTACTTAACGTCAAGAAACTATAACTACCAAGTACAAACTTATCAAACAACATAACCCTAAGCCATACTGGATATCTTCGGGGAAAATCTTTTGACAGAGGTATGCCTACAGCAATTTGGCTTGTAGATTAATGGCTGTCCAAGCTTTCACGACAAAGAAGTTACTTACATCCAAAAAATAGTCAGCGTAAGCAATACTCTTGTAATAACTTAAATGATTTTCTAAAGATATTTTAATCTACAACGTTAAACAGGATTACGTACAAAAACGTATCACATTAAAAGTAGCTACTCATAAACTATGCTCTCTTGTCATCGAAATGGACCCTATTAAAACCGGTGCTGTTAATACTATCAGACGATTGTAAGCTGAAAACTACTTTGTAAGTCAAATGATTTGACCAACCTTTTTTATTTATAGGATGGAAAGATTGTCCCTTGTGCAGCCATTGGAGGGATACAAAGGCGAGAACGAATTGTGGAATACATATGTTGATCCTTTTCTTGACTCTCTCTTCAGTAATCTCGAAAATGGCGTCCATTTGCGATGGTAAGTAAGCGACTGTTGCTATTAAACCATTTCTCATTATCGATTTCTTGTAACAAGACAAACTTAAATGATACCACTGAACAAGGCTCGGAAAGGCCTGATAACGTTATTTCTGTCATTATGCAGTCCAATTGGGGCAAGAACTTGAGGTATGGAGAAGCAAAGATTGAAGAGCCCACCGTCAACAAGTTCATGCTCGCCTGGGACTTGTACCGCCTTGGCATTTTTCTAAGGAAACGATAAATACCACCAACGACAAGTCTTCCATCTCTTTCCAAGTAAGAGGTAGCTTAAGCTGATTAATAGCAACCCTCTTTATCTAATCATATTGAAAGCAGGCCATAGCATCACCATATACATAACCACACTGAGCACAGGCGGGATTTATACTATGCTTGAGCTTACTCATATACAAATTCCACAATTAGTGGAGAGCTTGGAGCGGCTTACAACCCAAACGTCACTCAAACAATTGCTACAGGTAGCATACGTGTTTGAAAAAATCAGACAACAAAAGAAAGAAGAGACAAAAAGATTCATTCACATGAAGCGATATGGGCCCAGATTGGTTCAGCTTCGGGAATTAGTATCAGATAAAAAAGACAGAAACGGCCTTGTACATTACGCTTTTGAACATTCTCTTATCTCTCCTTAACCATCTTTCCTTTTAAAGATTTGTCGTTATTATATCAGTCGCTGTGCCATTTTTTGATAGGGCTTCTTCATTTTTGCTATTTCTTCAGAGTCATCAATAGTCTTGCGTTTTGTATTCATGCTGCTACTTTCGGATGCGCTATATGTATCACCAAGTTGGATATTTCCAATGTTATTGTTGTTATCGATCATGTTAACAGTGTTTTTATTGTTAACACATCTAATCGTTTTAGACAAGGCCGCTTCTGCTTTAAGTGTAGAACTTCCAGGCTGTTATAAGAACGTATTTAGGGATTTTTCCAAACAAAATGCAGTAAAAAATTGCTTGCCGCTTTTTCTTTCTTCAATATAATTAAATAGTCTTTTAACTTTGCTGGCACTGAACGCTGGTTAATAAGCCAATCAAGGTCTTTTTGATAGGCATTTAAAATGGCATTGTACTTTTTAAACTTGTTGAGACTATTCTGTGTTTGGTTGAAATAATGACAAAATGCCCATTGATCTGCTTCATGTTCGTGAAAGTAATTTCTTGATCCTTCATGATGTTCAACGAGCTTAAAGCTTTTAAATTCAGGAGGTAGCATTTTGTTTCTTAGTAACAAATGAAATAAAAGAGGGACAAAAGACACGGTAAAAAAATCAAAAATAAATTATTGGCAATGTAACCAACGCGTATTTATAATCATCTGAAAATCGTGGCAAGAAAACGCGCCCAAAAATAAAAAGGAAAGACACGAGTAAGAATAAATTTGATGTAGTATACGAATTTATGAAGTATCATCATAATTACACGAGAGCTAAGTGATCTTGGTTGTTGTAATCATTCTTTTCTTTATTAGTTCGAATTGTACAACGTAAAATAAATACAGTGAAGACATTCGGGGTGAATGCGATCATTTGCCTCCTCATGGTCCAAAAGTAGGTGCAATGTCTGGTGGCATAGACCCAAAAGTATCGAGAGGTGGAAGAGCCATGGACCATAGAGGACTTAGAATTCTTCTTTTAGACGGCACTTAGATTTGTGCCTGACCAATTTTAATCTGAGACCTGAAACCTAGGCACAAGCAGGAGAGTATTTATTCTGAGGAACCTTATTTAAACTTTTAATGCACTAAGCAATTTCTATTCCCATCCTATCATTATGCCATTTTGAAGCTTCATCATATCCTATTGTACTCATTGATTCTCTATTTGTTTCAGTGCAGCTCTATTGTCAACATTGGATCACAAGTGTTTTAGTTCAAAGACTATAAGTTTATTCATCATTTGTAACTCAGTATTTGTTCCTTATGATGCAGTTCTTCATAAGATCTGAAGTAAAACTTGCCTGCATGGGTGATGCTGTTCGAGCTTTATTGTATAATTTATTATTCATTATGTCTAGCTTATAACACTAAACAAACCACACCTACACACAACGCTATGTACAACACTGAAATATAAGAAAGGTATGTGTCGATGAGTCGGTAATGATCTCTTCATTAGGCTGAGAGCTCACCATTAAAAATAGCATCACTTTATTAGAAAACAAGATTATTCCATGGATTTATCACGGACCAATGAATATTGGGCATGATGCATCTATAAGAATAACTCATTTTGTGGTCAGTCTTTTTTGTTTTTCTTTTTCTTTCAGTAATGATAGCAAGAAGCATAAATGACCTATGCACAAAGTAAAGCCCAAAAAACAATTATGCATACGTCACACTAATTTTATTTTCTTTATTTTCGCGAAAATACGCGTGTGCGTAGTATTTCTCTCTTTTCTATTCTCGTCACACATACGGAATTCTCTATATAACCTCTTTATTGTATATTAAGACGAGGGGGAGCTCATTATTACAAACAGTGTCATTTTATATGATGACAGAATTGTTAAGGAAACGATTTAATTATGGTCAATAATAGCTGGGCATGTCGCGTTATATGTTAATAACGTGCATTGTTGTCAGTATCTTTGTACTATTCATTCTTAGAGTATAGATTTATAGTAATCTCATACGACAAGATTAAACATTTAAAGGGTAAATACGACACAATCCCAGCAATATAAAAATGTATTCAGAGCAAGATTATATTGTCAAATTCTGGTCATATGTATTCGAGGAGGCATTCAGCAACAGTGGCCTTTACCTCCACTGGTAAGTCAAAATTGGACATGTTGGAAGCGTGTATAGCCATTAGCTGATAGAGTTTATTTTGTTTAGGGATGATACACAGCCTCTCAAGGCCAAGAAAAAAGAAAAGGTCACTCTAAAAATAGACCTTCGTATCTTGTACTCCTTAAATTCAAAGCAATCGAATTTAAGAGTTGGCGAGTTTGCCAAGAAAGCAACAGTATGCAAACTCTACCATGACAAGCTCAAACAAGTCCTCATTACCAAGTATCATCTTAAACACCTTCTCTCAGGCCTTCCCACATCAACAACACTTGTACCATTTGTACAAATAATGGGTTTCGAATGCCAGCTATATGTATTGAGGTTTATCGAATGCTTTAACGCCTTGGAAGCTGTAGGTGTCACCGCCTTTCTCAACACTCACAGAGATCTCAGAGTAATGGCATTGAAAGCCTGTACAATTGCTTGGAAAAGGCAAAGGTAAAACATTTGACTTCTATAGTACAACCGGATGTTTATTCACTACTTCATAGAGTATATGCTTGACATTGAAACAAGCAATTAAAGATAATAGTCTTGACAAATCAAACAACAGAATGGGCAAGGTCCCCGCGAAAAAAGAGGAGGGTAAAGAAGTTAATGAAGAAGATATTTAAATAAATGAAAGGTGATAAGAAGGTGGTGTGTTTAAGTTTTTTATTGTATGGGTATACGTATGCAAGGGCTGTTGCTTCATGTTTATAGGATTATTATTATCAATCAAATTCATAAGCTAATGAATTATCAAAGATAAATACTGATATTAGCATTCGACTTAATGTATGCTTGTCTTTTTCATCAAGCCTTCTTTTTTGTGATGTTCGCCGTGATTGTAACACTAAGGGCTATTACAAGGCAGTGTTGATCTTTTTTTTCTTTATACTTTCTCATCAACAAAATTAGATAATGGTAGTCTTCTAAATTGTGTACATGACATCCCAATGTATTGCTTTCTCTTGATGCATTTATCCTGTTTTATTCATAACACGATCCAAAACTTCATCGGAGGGACATGTGCTATTTCTGTTTATTTTTTTCGTGTAGCTGAGATAACTGTGCTTATTTTTTAAGATCTTACCTTTCTCATCGTTTCTCCATCAGACACAGTGTGCTTCATAAGTCCATAGCTAGTGCCGAGAATGACTGTCTTATAAACAATAGCCTTAAGTTCGTTTGCCATAGTTAATGTAGGTCTAATATAAAATTAAGGATATCTTGTAGAGACGTTTCAAAAAGGTTCTTCCTAAAAAACGACTTTTTTTTTTAATTTTATTCCGAATAAAGATACACACAGTCTCATTGTACTTTCACTTTGCCTGATTACACGTTTAGCTCAAATACAACAAACCTCCTGATTGCGTGGTCAATGTACACAAAAGTTACACACGACAATTCACCAGTTGTATTGGTGAAATAAAAAGCGCGCAAAGCACTGACACATCCCAGATAGAAGAGTTTTTTCGCCTGGCGACATTCTCTGCTGACCTTATGAACATTGGTATGGATGCAATGTTTGCATTTTAAGCCATAGGTAAAGAAAAGAAGAAAAAAAGGGATACCGCTAACTCCTTTATTTTTTACAGGATCAGCAATAACATTCTACTTGATTAGAAAAAGCAAAGTGTTGGTTTTTTCCTAGGCGACAACATTTAAGATTCCTATGGCAAAATCGTATTCTTGATCTATCTAACAATAACCAAGATCCTAATAGCCAGCGGTCACTTTTTACTTCTGAACAATGTGACACTCTTAACATGTTATGGAACAAGAAGAAGGCTTGGAAGGCCCTTCCTGAAGACATTCAAAAACGCTTGAATCTTTTAACATCAACGGCATATCTTGATGATCTGTTGGCCATTGCCACGATACACGATAAAATTTCCTGTATTGAACAACAAGCCAAGGTCAATCATCTAGTACCCTTTGATGTCGTTCAAAGCAAGGCAAAGACTTTGCCAAAAAAAAAAAAAAGCCATCACTTTCAAATATTCCTTGATGGTAATCCCTTTCAAATAAAAAATTCATCGTTTTACACAAGGGCGTGTATATCAACCACTTTCTTAAGAGACGTATGAGAGGCTCAATGAGAGGCATGAAAGGAGGTTAACATGGGCCTATTGACCAAAGGTTCATATATAATTTATAAATGCATATGATTGTTAGAAATATGGGTCTTGGAGATCAGTTTATCATCAGCATAGTATACATAACAAAGAGGCAGAATAGTTTGAAGGGTACCGTGATATTTCTGTTGGTTGGCAAGTGTGATATGGGTTGCCTGGCCACGTTTTCTGTCAGTGTTTTTCCTAGCAGGAAGGATGTGATTATACTCACTCATTATATGCCGACGACTGTTGTAATGGTTTGCAAAGAGTTTGTCTTCATTGCAAAATGGACACAAGCGACGTGGCTTTTAAAAGGTGGAGCACTACATGTACTAGAAAGCACACCAGAAGTTAGATTAATTCTACGGACGCTACCTCCAGACACTATCTATGATGTTTTCCAACAAAGCTTTTCAATATGTAGATTAACACTATACATGGGTTTATAAAGGACCCATTTTGGTTTGTTTTTTTCAGGATGAAAGAGATAAAAAGAGTTTAATTCATTTTAATTTTATGGTGTCCGTTCGATCAGCAAAGAACCAAGATAAATCGTGTAGTTATGATGAATTTGTGCTTTGATCAAAAAGAGTGAACTGAACAGCCTTACATGTAGTGCCAAGAAGAAGCACTCCGTAGCATTGGCCTTCTAAGAATACGACTTTATTTTTGAAATTAATCTTGATTGGACAATAACATCATTTTTAATTGGTCAGTGGCATCGACTTTGATTGGCTGCGACATCAATTGTTGGAAACACTGTATTTGAGTGCAGTTTAATTCATTAAGGAACATGGCAAAGAATGATGGACAAGAACATGAATTAAACTGGAAAAGCTTATTTGATCAAAGGACTTATTCCAAAGAAAATCTTGACGCCTGGGTTGATTCAGTTGTTCAAAAGATTTGGCGACCTGTAGTAGGAGGAATACTCATAGCCATACCAGCTGTTTACGTGATCTCAACTTTTGTTGTTGGAAAAAGGTTCAAGACGGCAGCACATATACCACCTGAAGCGTTTGAAAGAACAATGACAATACGTGGGAAAGTTGTTTCGGTAGGAGATAGTGATAACTTTAGACTGTATCATACACCTGGACTAGGGTGGGGGTGGTTCAGACATATACCAAAGACAAGGAAAGATCTTCAGAATCAGACCATAGCTGTTCGTATTGCAGGCGTTGATGCACCCGAAAGTGCACACTTTGGGATGCCTGCTCAACCCTTTTCAGCAGAGGCTAAACAATTTTTGACCAAGATGGTGTTGAATAAAAAGGTACAAGTTCAATTACTAAGCAGAGATCAATACAGTAGAGTGGTAAGTCTTTAATGAAGGGAGTAAGTGCCAAATGACGGACGGTTTAATATAGGTTGCTATGGCTTACGTCAGACGACCACCGTTCTTTATAAAGAAGAACGTGTCTCTTGAGATGGTAAAAGCGGGACTTGCCAGTATATATGTTGCAAAGGGTGCACAATATGCCGGTATATTAGACGAGTTGAAGAAATATGAAGCACGAGCAAAGTAAGCGTAGATAATATTTTATTTTTATTAAAAGCTAATGCATGTATCTAGACTTCTTCGAAAAGGAATTTGGTCCTTAAAGAACTATGTCTCGCCTGGTGATCATAAATCCAAGTAAGCTATGCAAAACAATAGCGATATAATTATTTAACCGTTATTACTGTAGATATCTTTAATCTGTTTGAATAGAATGATGAGAGCCTGTTTTATTGCAATGTTTATAATGTATATATAGCTGTTTACAGACCAATTTCTCACTTAATCATGCTTTTGTTATGACAATGGTTACCATGGTTATAAATGTAAAATGATAATTTCTATTGTTTACTGTGTATTCTTTTTCGATCGCTTCATCATTTGCTCTTGTATTCTTGCGAATTCTTCGTCTGTAGGCATATCAGGATCTACTTGGTCATGGCCTCTCTTTTTCCCTGATTTCGCCTTCTCCTTTACTTCTATTGAGCTTATAATGGATTCCATCTTATTCTGTCTATCCTTGTTTCTTTTTTGAATAGCCCGAGCAAGAGAATCCATGTCTTCTCCTGCCTGTTTATCAAAGTCTGCTCTTTGCTTACTTTCATCTTTTATACGCTTCTCATGGGCTTTGGCTGTCGTTGTTTTTTCAAACTTTTTAAAAGTAGGAACCTGATTGTGTTCAATTGCCTCTCTTATCATCTTTTCAAAACGCATACCATCCTCAGCAACTGAACATTCAATGACTTGTAGGATATCGTCCATGCTGCCCTTGTGTCGTTTATAAGCTTCCAAAACATCCTTCTTTTCTTCTTCAGAGCCTTTATAAAAAAAGATTATTATATCATCTTTAGGGCAAGTATATGTATATACCTCTATACTTTTGTGCCTGAGCCTCTATTGTTTCAGCACTGACAACACCATCCCACAGTTCTTTGAAATAAGCTGTCCAATCTTTTTCTCCTTCAAACTCGCTTTCGTCCATACTTCCGGTTCGGTCATATCGTTCTTTTCGTTTGGGATCACTTAATACTGCATATGCTTTGCCCATCCTTTGGAATGCCTCATTTGCTTTTTTCTTTTCTTCTTCTGTAGCATCGGTAGGTTGCTTATCTGGGTGGTACTTTAAAGCAAGTCTACGATATGCTTTCTTTATATCGTTAATTGTAGCTGTTTCCTTGTCTAATTCAAGGATTTTATAACAATTAAAACTTGAGGAGGACATGAGGTGCGAATAGAAAATAAAAAAAGTGCTGTTATCGTATACGCGTAAGGAAAAAAAAAAAAAGAAAAAAAAAAAGATAAAGCACCGTGTTTTTTAAAGTCACGTGCCATTTCGATCAGTGTTACATGGTTTTACAGTGTAACACATGTAGAGAGGGAGAGCTTGCTTGAGTTCTTTATGCCTAATTTACAGTACATCTAAGCCAACTATAAGAGTACAACGCTTCTTTTGTTTGCCTAAAGCTATGGAAACAGGAAACTACTTTATAAATTACCATTCAAAAAGGGGCCTATTAAGCAGAATTCTGGATAATAAAACAGTCACTTTCTACAAATGGGAGTTAACATATCGTGTGTTACGTTGGCATTTAAAGACACAAATGGTGGCTTGAAGTCATTGACTTTCTTATATATTTCTTTTACAATGACTGATCTTGCAGTAAACTACGATTATCTTGAAGCCTCTCTTTGTAATACCTCTGGAAACGTTCCTCTTGCTGAACGCTTTCGTACCTTGTTTACACTTAAAAATATTGCTGACGATAGATCTATTGAAATTATTGGCAAAGGTAACAAAGACTGTATACGAGGCACATATATCTTATACATTGTAGCCCTCAAGGATGATTCTGAATTATTAAAGCATGAACTTGCCTATTGTCTTGGTCAAATTGGTAATCCCAAAGCCAATCCTGTTCTTATAAATGTCCTGGAAGACCTCAACGAACATGAAATGGTCCGCCATGAGGTGAGTTTTATTGTGTAGTAAAGAGTTAAATAATGACCCCTTTTTTGTTAGGCTGCTGAAGCATTAGGTGCTATTGGCTCATTAGAATCACTTCCTGTACTTGAAAAATATTTATCAGACAAGAGTGAAGCAGTCGTCGAGACTTGTGAACTTGCTATTGATAAAATCAAGTATGATCATGATCCTAAGAATAAGGCAGAAAAAGAAGCCAATAAGAGCGCCTACCATTCTGTAGATCCTGCTCCTCCCACTACAGAAACACGATCGGTAGAAGAACTTGAGGCACAGTTGATTAATCCCAAGTTGAAACTGTTTGTGCGTTATAGAGCCATGTTTGCCTTGCGTGAAATTGGCACAACTGAGGCTGTTCTTGCCTTAGCCAAGGGATTAAAGGATAAGAGTGCATTATTTAGACACGAAGGTAACAACAGTATGATTTCAAGCTGAATACAAGACTAACACAAGTATAGTTGCTTATGTATTTGGTCAATTACAACATCCTGCTAGTGTTCCTGCCTTAACGGAATGTCTTGAGAATAAAGATGAAGTACATATGGTTCGTCATGAAGCAGCTGAAGCCTTGGGATCAATTGCTACACCAGAAGTATTACAAGTATTAGAAGGATTTAAAAAGGACGAAGAAACAGTTGTACGTGAAAGTTGTGAGGTTGCACTTGATATGTACGAATATGAAACTAGGTAAAGAATAGAGTCTTTTCTTTAGTCTTTTTTATTAATTTGCTATTTTTTTTAGCGGTGAATTACAATATGCAAATGGTCTCGATCATCCTCAGAATATGCATTCACTTAAACTTGCTCATTAAGCAACACTTTATTATATTACCTGTACAGTTTAAAATTCAAGATTTTGGAAAAAAATATTTCTTATATTAAAGCACGGCCCAGAGGGCTTTAACCACATCTTTTGTCTTTGTAAGAGGTAATTGACCTGAGTTTATTAGCTGTGCATAAAAGCCATAATGAATAAAAAAAACTACATGTCAAGGGGGATATGAGGAATGGGATAAGCTGAGAAGCCTTGACTAAACATCTTTTTCTTTGGAAAGCTTTGATTTTATATGCTCATCAGCTTGAACCGTCGAAGCAAAAGAGGAGGCTTGATTATATACATATTGCTATAGGATAATGAGTATTGCATCAATGATAACAGAGAGATCTGTTGATGAGCCGTGAATGGTGCAAAAGAAAATAAGAGATAAAAAATTGCTTGAGTAGGTTCGATTCCTAGTGCAATAATGTTCTCTGTTGAAAAAAATTGAATGCATAATGCTTGTGCTTGATAATACTTGAGTAGTAGACTTGTAGTAAAACTTCTCACAAGTATTGGTATTTAAGCTCTAATTGGGCATGCTCTTTGACTGATTGAATGGGAATGTCCTTTTTCAGCTGCCTTTGTACTTGACAAATGGGCTGTGCCTTGTATATTGTGGTGTCAATACCGGATTGTGACACGATCTGCTGGACTCAATTGGTGAGTATTGAAGGTCGAATTGATACAGCCTTATCTGGTTTTTTAATAGACGCAAAGAACAATGTATGATCTACTGCTAATATCCGCTGGGAAAAAAAGAAAACAAAGCTCAGGCGTGAAGCAAGAAAAGCAAAAAACCAAAAGACAAAAAATAGTAGAATGTTTTTCATCAGTTATTTGTACTATTTTCAAACAAACTGGCCACAAATCAGCACGCTCTCCGGATTGCCCTAATCATATGTTGTCAAAAAACGAGGTTTTTAGCCGAAATTTGGGACAGCAATTTAAGTTACCGTTCGATCAATGTGTCCACAGTTCCTACCAGAATGCCTTGAAGTCTAGGATCGTCTCTGCATGTGAAGACACACATCAAGTAGTTTTCAGAGCTCAGCTTTTTTCAACCATTACACATTAAACTTAAAAGTCCATTCGAATCATATCTTTAAACAAAATTTTTGGTATTCAATATGTCAATTAGTTATGGATAAGCGGGTGACAAACAGTGCTGCACTTCCAGAAGGCTTACTTGAAAACTGGAATTTGTTTAGACAAAGTCATGGAAGCATCATATATACCAGAAAGCTTGCGAGTGGAACTAGCCAATGTCTTTCAGAAGCATGTGTACAACTAGCGACCACATACACAAACTGCATAGTCGAGAACTTTGAAGCAAGGTTGCTTAAATATCTTTCGTATCTTATTCAAAACACTTTTGTGGTAAGTTGTATTCTTTATGTGAAATATTCTACTAGAGTATGTAAATAATTCATGATATAGTCAATGGCGTAGCAAGATGTAAAGAAAATAGCTTATGATTATTGTTATCAATCTGTATGCAAAGGAGAACCTAAATGGCCGTAAGGCGCTATTTTCACTCAAGAAACAAAAACAGCAGTAGACGAGGCTTGCCTGCCATTGCAGCAGCTTATAACGACACAAATAACACTAAATGAATTGCCTGCGTCTTCAAGTGCTTTTTTGCCTTGTATATACGATCGACATATGAATCAGAACATAAAGAGCATCATGCTTATGATGTTAGAAGATTATCTCTGCCTAGACGAAATTCCAAGTTTGCTGTCTTACAGCTGTTGGAGATGGTATCTCCCCATTGGAGGAGCACATTGCTTCTTCGCCCAAAGTATGATTCAAAGATGTAGCTCCAAAATTTGATTATAAAATATTGCTCAGAACAAATTTTCAATGCATCTTCAGAAAACATATGCTGCTTGAAAGCATGTTGCTCGAATAATTTCGAATAGACGTATTCCGATAAGTTTCTAGAAAATCTTTTAAGATGAGGACGGAAGAAAGAGGAAGCTCATTATTTTTACTATAGTATCGTCATTTTATATGCAAACAGGAGCACTGCATGAATTAAATTACGACCAATAAGAATGGGACATGACATGTTTTGCTTTGTGATCAATCTTTTAGTACTATGCATACGACAAGTTTAAGCATTTAGGTTAAATACGACAACAATCAAGGATTACACATCAGAAAATATCTAACAAAAAAAAAAGAAAACACGCGTAGACTTTTGAAAGTCCCTAAAAAATTAAATGATCCTACAAAACTCCCCCTCATTTATTTTATTTTTTCATTGGAATAAAAAGTTTCCATTGTGCAACTGTGAAACGATAAGCGGTGAAACCCTTTTTTATATTTGTGTGATCAATGTGCGCCCTTTTTTTCAAATCACAATCTTTTTTTTTTCTTTTTCTTTAAGTTATGGCCTATTCAAAATCTCCACCACGTTCACCACAAGAAGACTGGTTATCGAGAGGACCTCAGTCAGCAAAAACATATTCAACTAGCTCATCTCGCTCCATGTCATACACTTCGAGATCACAGTCGTTTGCTTCTACCAGAGCTTATAGTTTAGCTCACTATGAGAATACAGCACGAATCTATTATGTGGAACTTCGATCCTATCTAAAGGATATTTTGGCTCAAGGTAAAAAAAAATGAGATAGATGACATATATTGATTGCCCCCTTGAATAGAATCGATTGAAGGCCCACAACCTGAAAGAATAACAGCTCGTCAAAAGCTGACAAGACTGAGTAATCATCAGTTTCATGAATTAGCCATGGATGTGTACGATGAAGTGACTAGAAGAATAAAGAATGATAAATACGGTTAGTCTCTATTGTATTGTTGTTATAGTAAATTAATGCAATTTAAAATTTTAGTACCGTTTTTACCTGTGAAAGAAGACTTTCATCCAAAGAGAAATCAGGCACGACAAAAGTTGGCTACAATAGCAGTACCAAGATTTAAAGATTTAGCAAGTGACGTCTTTTCTGAATTGACGAGAAGATATGCCAATCTATTTCAAGAAGATGTAAGTTATTTGTTTATTAGTATGTTTATTAACTTTTAATCACAGGATTCTCACCTGCCACCTGTTCCACAAATGCCTATGATGGATTCAAAATTGTATGACAAGGTTCAACAACCCAGCAAATCTACTCATATTATTCCAGTCAAAGGCACCTTTAATGTAGAGACGGTTGATAAATTCTCGGACGACGAAACGATCCTGAATAGCCCAGATAGAACTTATGTGAATAGATCACCCATAGATCAAAAGGAATTCTTTAGTAGAAATAATAACAGTGATGAAAATGTAGATAAGATTCGTTCAGAATACGAATATAAAATGAATATGATGCAGAATCATATTAAACAATTACAAGACAAATTGGAGGTAAATATATAATTATAGTGTCATTTATATAAACTCACGTCATATTTTACTAGGAAAAGAATGATCATAGTATGGACAGTATAGATCGTGAATTACTGGATCAGTTACAAAAGGTTTCTTTAGTAAATAATAATAAAAAAAAAAAACGCGTACTTATGTTCGTATAGAAAGATGAAGAAGATCAAAGAGTGATTCGTCAAATGGAAGAACAATATAAAAAGTTGGATGATAAATATCAAACACTTAAACAAGACTATAATAAACAACAAGAAGCTGTTCGTGAAGTGAAGCGTGAGACGAGAGAGATGATAGAAGAATTGAAAAGAATGGCTAAAACAAATGAAGAATTAATGTTCGAAAAAGAAGAAGCTGACAAGGAAATAAAGACATTAAGAGACCAAGTAAAAGAATGGCAGATCAAGTACGAAAAGATCAGGTTGGAACTCAGAAGCGTGAAAGGTAAAATATAGAATTCCCTTATCAACATGAATCACTAATCTCTCTGTAGCTCAATCCATACGAAAAGCCAGTAGCATCAACTGTAACATGATAAAAGACAACTTTATACAACCAACAAAGAAGGGTGTCATTGCCTATGACCATATCTTGTCATTTCAAACTTCGATAGATGAATTATTAATCACAGCAAGGTAGAAATAATAGTAATAATAATGAAGCATATTAAAATTAATTTTAAATGATAGGTCCAGCTATCCTGCCAATGTTATCCAAGCCATGAAAGTCATTGTCTCTGTTTGTAAATTGATAACAGAACAAGTTGAAAACAATGAAAGCCGATTGACAAGTGACTCCAAACAAACCCTCTATGAGCTAAAGTCAAGGTTTTCTACAGCTTTATCAGATCTGTTGATTGCAGCAAAACATCATGCTAACGGAATGGGAATCAGTCCAGTGAGTTTATTGGATCATTCAGCAGGAAACTTGTCTGCGGTTGTAGTCGATCTAGTTAGATTGGTGGGAATGAAAGATACAGATAATAACGATCAGAAAGGCTTCCAGAATGATTACAACAACAACAACACAACTAGCGCTTATGAAACTAATAGCAATAGTCCACCATCTCTTTCTCAAATAAGATCACAACTAAAAGATACGGATGATAACTATAGTTTACTAGAACAAACATATATAACACCTGCAGAATTGACAGTAAGCTAGCTTCTTATGATCACTCTCTCCTCTTCAATTCACTCATCTATTATTACTAGAAATATCTAAAAAATGAAACAGATACTATTGTACAAACAATACAAAACTTACTAAGTGCGCTACGCCTACCGCAAAATGGGGAAGTTTATTCCATCATCACTTCATTAATCAAAATTATAAGCACCATCATCGATAAATCAAGCTCCGTGTGCTCGAGTCCATCAGGATACGCTTATACCAGAGCTTGCAGACCCATCTTGAATGAACTAGATCAATGCTCTCAAAGATTAAGCTTACTTCAAAAAAGTCAATTTATAAGTGGCGCAGTAGCCACAGCCAATGCTAAGCGGGATCTTGCAAAGGAGGCATACGAGATTGCAAAATACACCAAAGAATTAATTAATTTGTTTGAAACAGATTAAAGATGGTCCCCCCTCATTTATTTAATATTGTAAATAAAGCTTATATTTAACTTTTATCTTTGAGCATCATAAAGTCACTTTGGGCCTATTTAGCTTGATGTTCAAAAGAGAGACAGAAAGGAAGAATAGACGAGATCAACATCATCCTTTTCTTAAGACTGATTATTTATATAACAGAAAATGAACGGTTTAGCCACTCAGTTGGAAAATCAGAGTGAAAGAAAAAGCGAATCAGACAAGTTAAAGAATTTCTTACAACACACAAAAAGCTTCTCGTAATTATGTTTTAAGAATACAAGTGATTTATTCACTAATAAATATCATTGATAGCAATATGCTAACATCATTTAAGCGTCGGCAGAAGGAGCGATTTGGACCTCAGGAACTTGTTGGTTGAAGACTACATAGTTGTTCTTTAAGAAGACATCACCCAAGATGGACAAGCCTCCAAGATCACCAGAACTGAAACCAGCAATACAGTTACCATTGTCCTTTTCAAAGATGATGGAGTCAGTAGGGACTTCAAATTCAGCACCACCGATGCTGAAAGTAAGAGGTTGCAACTTGGAAGTGTCACAGTCAACAGAGTAAGTACCATCACCATTGTCTTTGGCATTGTAAGCCTTTGCAATTTGAGAGGCAACTTGGGTGTCGAGGACCAAGAGAGTGGTACCAGTATCGAGAATGGCGCTGAAGGAATCCGTAGCAGACTGGTCGCCAACCTTGGTGCTATCAACCGTGATACCCCAGAAACCTTGAGAGTTATCAATAGGAACCTTGGTCAAAGAGCCCTTAATCTTGGATTGGTCATAGCCGCCAAAGATGTATTCTAATGTACAGTTAGTGTCACAACATTTAAAGATATCATCACCACTTACCACCTCCGCCACCCTTGCTGGCCTTTCCAAGGTGGACACCAAAGATAGGAGAAGAGATAAGGCCTTGGCTGATCAAGTTATCAACAGGAGTTTTGACACCCTTGACAGTAGTAATAGAATCAAAGCCAAGACCGAGAAGACCATCAATGGGGCCGCTAGCAAAAGTATCGGATTCCTCCTTGGCTAATTCAATCGTTTGTTTCTTAATGGAGAAACCGCCCAATTCAACAGTGTCAGTACCCAAGACACCGCTTGAGGTAGAGCCATCACCATATTGGATAGACCAGGGACGGCCATCCTTTTGATAAGTACTGGACTTGGAAGGATCGTAAAGGGTTTGAGAAGAGCCGCAAGAAGAGCACAAGGTGGAAGCTATATCCATGTTAATAACGAGTGATTGGATACCATGTTCATCTTACCAAACCACAAGTCAGAAGAGCCAGTATCAAAATCAAGCTTGAGCTCTACAGGGGGAGTACCAACTTTGACAATACCGTAGTATTCAACGTCATTACCATCATCTGTCACCGGGACAGTACCACCGGAGCCATTGGGAGAATCACCAGAGGATTGAGTAGAGATTTTATGCTTGGCATACTTTGCAAGGGCCTTCTTGAGAGAATTCTTTGCATTAGGCTTGTAATCTTGATTCTTTTCCAAAGGAATGCTGATTTTCTTGCCACCAGGAGCAGCTTCAACAGCGAATGCCATAAAGGCAAGAGCAACACAAGAAGAGATTAAGGTAAACTTCATTGTAATAAATGAAAGGATGGGGAAATTGTTTGATGAGAAAACAAATGAAAAAGACAAGAGAGGGTATTTATATGAAATCGAGTTGCATACACACAAATGGTATCATTTTAATGTTGAAATGAAGCTTTACTTTTTCTTCATATAATTTACCTGTTTTGAACAATTATCAGTACTTGTTTTGGACATTATATCCATAATTATCCTTACATGTATCGGATAGTAGGCATTGAAGTAAATAGCATTGGGGACATAAATTGACTAAAAATGGAAAAAATGATATACGTATGTTGTTCAAGAGCATAAGCTGGTAATACATTAATCCTGTTGTTACATAAGCCTATTCTTTATGAAGTAAAGATCAAATGCATCTAATAAGACACAGTGGTTAAAGAGGTTTAAAAGATAAGGAAAATGTTAATTCAGGGCAAAGAATACATAAAAAAGGAAATAAATGACCATTTTAAGAAAAAAGGGCGAGTTAATTAGTAAAACAGGATTACTTATGCAGGTATATCAGATATTGAATACGAAAGCATGCTGTAATAATAATAATAATCTTAATTATATACTATTTTAAACATAATTTTGTTTTTTTGTATATATGAGAATAAGGCCTAAAGGATGTCGATCCTTTCTCCTAGCCTTGATGGGAAATACAAAGGTCCCAAATTAGGACTAGTTGTCATTGATTTGTGTAAAAGTGATGAGTTATTTTTTTTCAAGCCTCAGACTCATATTGAGTTACAATTATGCGCCTGTTTCTTTCTATGTTGCAAAAGTGAATTATGGTTACTCGAGGATATTGACCGAGTGATGCAAGCATATAGAAAAGTAATAGCCTAAAGGTAAGATCGTATGATTTTTGGCATAATTTACCGGGGAACACCCATCTGTTTATTTATTGTTAACAAAAGTCTATACGCGCCTTAAAGCGTTTTTACAACGAGTATGACCCTTTTTTGCTTTTGAACCCATATGAATAGCATTTAAAGAATGAGTCACAGTTTATAGTAAAAGATAAGCATGTGTACATTAACACACCGTGTGTACACACTGCTGATATTAATGTTGAGTAATTAATAAAGGTTAAAAGTAACCTCTCTGTGGCATGTCGCATTTATGTACAAGGTGTATTATAAACTTTGTTTAGGCATTTTTTATTTTATTTTATTTAACGATCAAAATGAGCACAAAAATCAAATGTTCGCCCGGATCAGGCTAGTCCGTTTGGAGATTAATGTTAAGAAAACTCTCTTCTAGAACGAATTAATGCACCCAGAGGAAAATTAAATAAGTGGAAGCCAGCGCATCCTCTGATAAATGTAAAGAACGAAGGAGGAACTGCTCTTGAAACATACAGACTCTTTCTGAGATTTTCAAGAAGGCATGAAACTGAGGCCTTATAAATCAACTAATAGTTAGAAAGTACCCTGACGTAGAGAAGCTTGGGAAAACTGGGAGGGCTCACACCAATGGATGACAATATATCCATCACTGCAAGAGCCTTATGAGTGTTACGTTAAATGGTCAAGATACACATCTGGTTTTGAAGGGGGACCAAGGCATACAAATGCGGATTTCTGTAGTGACAACTGACAATAATATATATACGACGCTGAATGGGCTCCATTTCTATCCATTTGTCTTTAGATCACGTATCTCTCGGTTTTCTGTATATTCAGTCTCATTTACTAGACGGTGCTAGACATTTGTAGCCGTCATTTCTCTTATATGCTCAGCGTTAGTGATTTTTCCCTCAGGCACATAATAAAAACCATAGTTGCTAGCTACTGATCCTCCATTTTTTTTACATAATATAAGCACATAAATATCCCATCACCATCACCACACTTTCACGGAGTAAAAAGTTGAGTATAACAGTACTGCCGTGGTCTTTTGAGTATCGTGGACAGTTTGTTGATGGAAACAATTACACGAGATAAACTTTCAGTAAAGGTGTGATAGCCAACCAGAGCTTGAAGGGCCCTTAAAGGAGCACAATTGCTGGCCGCTACTGTCTTCTTCGTCAGGCTGAAACTCACAAAGTCCTAATTTCTTAACTGCTTGAATGAATCACCTTAGTTGATAACGGATATAACAGATCCGTTGCGACTCTTAGATATGTTCCATCGCGTGTATGTAAAAATCAACCTTGATCCACTTCGTCTTAAACGTATCAACCAAGAAACAGTCGATATATCGCTATTTGGTAAAATCTTTATCGATGTGTCAACATAAGAGACGTCGGTGTCATTTATATAGCTACCATCATAAAATTTTTAATCAGTAATAATATCCATGCACTCTTGTTGTACTTGTTTCAGCTCACTGTTATCATCAAATAACGAACTATACTTAATCAGTTAAAAATTTACCATTCATTTTGGGGAAAGTGTACAAGAGCATGTTTACATATGTTCTTACGCTAACTTATCAGTTAAAGCAGACAGATATGTGAAGAAGGACTGGCGCGGGGGAGAAAATCTGCACAAAGCGAATATACTTCCTGTAGTTTATGCACTTTTGAAAAGGTTATCAGCAAATCCCAGAGAGAGAAGTGGATACATCTAATCAATAATAGTAAGATATGCTTGTTGTCAATAGCAAGTGGCCATAGCAGACAATGGCTGCATATATCTGTTTTAATATAAAAGAGGGGCAATGTTTTACGCAAAAGACACAATATTTCTTCAACCATTTGGTCATTTAAATGAAAATCAAGCTTGTTACTCTCATTATTTGTGCTTACCTTGCCGCCATTGACTCTGATCTGCCTTTTGGTTATATTCATACTCTTTCTCCTCAAGATTTTTCTCTCGTTATCGCTCCCAAAATGACGAATGTCCATCACCTCCTCCCCAAAGTGGTAAAGGTTCTTCTGCCGGTAAACCTGATTTGACTCCTGAACAGATTGCGGCGTTTGAGGTAATTTTGGATTCATTCAAATGGAACCAATGAATGAAACGACCAAGCTAAAGGAAATAATGTTGTTAAAGTACAACAAAACAGGCTATTGTTTTTAATCACCATATACTTTCACTGCATTTTGTTTCTATGCGGCACGAACAAGCAATAAGGACAGATGCAACTTAGTTTAAAGAAGACAAGTAAAGCCACAAGACATTTCTTTAAAGCACTTTAAGAAAAAGTAGTCATTAGTTTAGTGTACAATTGGATAATTATGAAAAGAAAAGATGTATAAAAATCTAGAAATAAGGCATATTTGTACACTTTACCTAAAAGACTCTAAACATGAGGCACACTGCTTTTTTAATGACGAGTCAAATTATGAAAAAGCATACTTGAAAGACTACTCTCGAGCTTTTGGTTTTATTACTTTACAAGTTTATTCAATTTGATACGTGTAGGGTATCTATGTCTATCTTTTAAAACGCTTCTTCACTTGATATACTTTGACTAGCATCAACCTTCTGCACCTCCTTGTATGTTACTAGCCTTGTGTTATAAAACTTTTTATTTTTCCTCCATATGCTGTCTTGTATTGCTCTTTGAGCTAGTGAATTAATGGAATGCTCACGACATACATCCTTCACGTTCACCAGCTATGGGCTCTTCTTGTAAGATGCTTGTATAAGGTTATTACATCTACTTATTACCTATGGATAATGTTTGCAAAGGGCTCAAAAATGCCAATATTAGAAACTACAAGGACAGGGATCGATTACTTCAATTTTTAGTACTGTGCACTTGAATAAACATGATAAAGCATCTAATGGCTGCGCACAAATTCGCTTTTGAGTTACAAAATACATAATATGCAGCGAACATTTATAAAATAGAACAGCCAAGGTATGTAAGGCAATAACTTATGACAATAAGCGATAGAGTGAGGGATGATGTCATTAAAGATGTAGTAACTCTGAAACCCTCTTTAATACATATTACTATCTAAAGACATTCCATGTTTCTCCCCGCTTCAACAAAAGTTTCTCCATTGCCCCGGACTACAAAAAATGTAACGTCATAGGTGGTGTACCATCGAATTATCCTTTTTCCCTTTTTCTATTAGGCTTATAAAGCAGACCTGTGAGAAAAAAAAAGAGAGGACGAATGGATGGCTATCTCCAATCTGTAAATTCATTATAGACATAAACCTCCCCTTAAAACTTAATTTTCTTTATAGACATTAGCAGCAACCAGTCTGCAGCACAACTTGAACAGAAATAGCAGTAACAACACAACAAAAATAGTTGTCCATTTTCCTCCAAGCAACAAAAACTTTAATTGTACTGAAATACACACACTGGATGGAGTTTATCCGTTGCTTCATGAGGTATTTTTCGACACAATTGCGCCGCAGTATTCGCTTGGAACCCGAGCATCGATTATCAATTTCAAAAAGAGACATGATTCATCCGATGAAGACAGTATAGGCAGTTATTATCCTGGGTTGTCCATGACACCTGTTATTCCCATACCTAATGCTTCGACAAAAAGTTATGTTCGTAACCTTTCTTATTCATCGTCACCTCAAATTCTTTTGTCCCAACAACAACAACAAAGCTCCTACATGACAACCAACTGGCAGGATAATAATAGTTTGGATAACAAGGAAGATGCCTCTTTTACTCCTCACAGTGTTGGGTCTATTTCGTCATTATTTGGTAAAACAAATGGCAGTCAGCTATCAACGTCTATTGGAAGAAGCTCTGGCAGTAATAATAGTAGCAAGCCAAAAAACCACTTATCAAAAACAAAATCAACATTTGTCCTAAGATTCATTATTCATGAAAACCTACAAAAGATATTGTCAGCAAAGACAGTAGAGGATGACTATTGCTTTTTTAATATTGGATCAAGCTTCATTTGGGTGGATTCAAAGAACAAGCCGACAGTATGTTCCTTTTTTATATATAAGCAAACTTACAACTTACATCTTGATGATTGTAGGAACCTCTTTCGAGAGTTGTGTTTTCAAAATCTTATCCATTATGTCACGATATAAACGAAATCACAAAGTGCGATGATCATCTTGATGTTATCATTGGATTTTCCACAGGGGATATTGTATGGTATGATCCATTCAGTTCCAAGTATGTTCGATTAAACAAAGGGGTAACTATAGACTACTTGGATATCAATGACGTACCAACTTTTTTTTTTTTTTTTAAGGGCTGTCTAGTTTCATCGGCTGTTCATATGATCAAATGGTTACCTGGATCCGAAGACTTGTTCGTTGCTGCTTTCAAAGATGGCTCAATGATGATTATGAGTAAAGAACGTGATGACCAACCATTTTCACTATCAGAACCCAATTCGTGGATTGAGACACAGTATGCTCTCCATTTTTTAGAAAAAGCCATATATACTCATGTCATTTACAACTATAGATTTTATACCTTTAGACCTCACAAGGGTTACAAACATAATCCAGTCTCTTATTGGAAATTAAGCAAAGAAGCAATAACAGGTAAAATGTATTCATCATTTTTATTATCAGCTTATCTAATCGAAAGATGTTAGATTTTTCATTTAGTCCAGACGGAGTTCATTTAGCAGTAACAGGAGCTGATGGTCAATTAAAGATTATTGATTATAAAAACGAGAGACTGACAGACATATTCTCAAGCTATTTCGGTCAATTAAACTGTGTTAGTTGGAGTCCAGATGGACATTATATTGTGGTAAGTATCTGGATGATTATCTCATTTTTGTACTCAATTTTTGCTCTATTAGACAGGTGGGCAGGACGATCTTGTTACTATCTGGTCCTTTGTAGAGAGGAGAATGGTTGCTCGTTGTCATGGTCATAAATCTTGGATAACCAGTATAGCGTTTGATCCATGGAAATGTGACGAACAGTCCTACCGATTTGCAAGCGTAGGCGAAGATTGTAATCTCATCTTGTGGGATTTTTCTATGAGCGCCTTACAAAAACCAAAACATGTAAGTTGAAAGATCCATATGAACATGTGAATTTATTTGCATTTCAGCCAAGGATAACATTATCTGTATGCGCATCATCCACAAAATGGCCACCACCACCACCACCTTCAGCGCCAATATCATTTACAAATAATAATAACGCTGATGTGGTAGAACGGAAGAGATCACTAAAGATATTCAAAGGGCTTTCAAGTCATGAACCACATGGACTATTTAACCATAGTAATAACAAAAAGCGAGGGTCTAAATCAGCTCCCGAGATATTCATTCCACCAGTTTTGCATCCACCTATCAAGAAGAATCAAGCAGCCATACTTCAACCAACGACAATACACAACATTCATGCTGATCCATGCGTTTCTATAGCATTTAAACAAGACTACATGATAACAACAGATAGAAGGGGTAGAATCCGTATTTGGGGCAGGCCCTAGGGATTAACTTTTTTTTTGTGTGTGTGTGGGCAAACATTTGTCCAATAAGATATAAACAATCTATCATGCTTTTTCATGAAAGATAGTCTATAATAAATATTTAAATGGTGATCACCACTCTTTTATCTCTTTTATTTTACTACTGTTTGTATGAATTATCCACGAGAGAGACTACCTTCTATAGAACTACCTTCACCCATCATACAGTTTTATAAACCAAGTACGATCGATGACAACTTACGTAAACGAAGGTTATCGCATAGTGCGATCGAAAAAAGAAGAAGAGAGAGAATGAATGACAAGATTGAAAGACTGAAAGCACTCATACCATCATGTAACTCACCATTTCCAACAACAGTTCAACAACCTATACATAAATTAAGCGTACTTCAAGCTGCTATTGATTACATAAACCAACTTCATGTCATGTTGGATGGTACACTATCACAAGACGATCCTATTAGGAAAACCATATTGAGTCCTACCTAGACACTGTTTCCTTGTTGCTTTTATAAAAGTCAAAATCAATAAACGTATAATATCGAATCAAACAAAGATGTATTAAAAAAGCGACGGTAATATTATCTTGTAATACAGCAATATGCAAAACGGTAAATTTTGCCACTTTGAAAAAATTAAGTGTCCTTTAACCAATAAAACATTAATGAACGTTAATTGTGCCTCTAGACTCTGCTATTCCTGATAATAACAGCGACAACAACGTGAGAGGTGTCTTTCGCCAAAATGGCTCTGCTAAATCTGAGCCTTCACAACCTATTTTTCGTTGCAATGATTGTGGCAGTAGCTTCCGAGCCAAAGCTATGTTGAAAAGAGAGTTATGACAAGTGATGATGTATGTAAGCACTAAGAGCCACTACCAAATTAAAACAGAAAGCAGAATATGTACACCAGTTATAGAGATAGAACAAGAGAGGTGTCTATAGATAGAATGTTAAAAAGTGCTGAAGAAAGAGGAAACGGCATGATTACTAAGACTAAAGCAAACATCAGGGGACCGTATCGTTCTTATACTCCAATTCAGATTTAAGAACTACTTGATCTTGTTATTGAGCAAGGAATATCTGCGAGAAAAGCTGGTTTAACCATTGGCATTGTTGTAAGAACAGCGCAGCATTATGTCAAATTGTATAAAGATAATGTGGAGAAGCGTTTGCCCGGAACCAAAAAACTGTCACGTCAAGGTGGAAATGACAGAAAGCTCGAAGAGAAACATACAGATTTCCTTTGTAGTTTTTATGAGCAAAATGTGGCTGCAGTCCTTTGGGAGGCAAGAGATGCACTGCTTCCTGCCTTCCCTGATTTGATTTCAATTACTTTATCGGGTTTACATAAGCATCTCATTAAGTATGCATTACTTGCTTTGAAAAAATTAGATAAAGTTCTTGCTACTAGAGCAACTGATAATATGTTGCAATTACGTAAAGAAATTGTATTGGCATGGAAAGCAGATCAAGCAATGAATTGGCAAAATAATTATATTTTCATTGATGAAACTGAGTTTAATATGCGTATTAGACGAAACTTTGGTAGATCAAAGCGAGGGATGCCTGCTAAAGCAAGTTTCCCTTCAAATAAAGGTATCACCGTAGCAATCATTGGGGCTATTTGTGAAAAAGGAGTTGTTGATTTGACCTTGCGCAAGCCAAAGGCAGTTCAAAAGAGTAGAATTTCAAATAAAAAAAGAGAGAGAAAACGATGATGCGGATGCTACTGAAATAAACGCTAGAATCGGTACACGAAGTGGTCATTTTCTTCAGTTCGTAAGTGATGTTATGGACATTTTAGATGCTCGTGGAATGACTGGTAGATATCTTGTTATGGATAATGCCATGATTCATAAACGTCCTAATATTCAAAAACTTATTGTGGACCGAGGCTATAAGGTTGCTTACCTTCCTTACTCGCCATTTCTAAATCCAATTGAATTGTTCTGGGCAAAGGTTAAGGCCAGAATCAGGAGAGATTGCTTAACTGCAACCGATATTTTAAGTGAAAGAATTATCGAATCAGCTAAGCAAGTAACCGTAGCGGACTGTCAAGGCTGGATCAAGCATTCTGTTTCGTTTTTTGACCGATGCCTGGCCCTTGAACCAATGCTATAATTTTCAAAGTAGTAAATATGACTATCTAAAGAAACAAACAATGTTTATTTAAAGATAATGAATTAACATTGAAGTATAATGAGAATATTCAATATGTTTAAAAAATCGAAGAAAAGAAAAGTTGGGACGCGCAAAAAAAAATTACGATATGCAAATCGATTGGAAAAGCAAAATAACACATACACAGGCAAGGATTGACATGTGTTTTTTCTTAAAACAGAAAAGTATGACCATAAGCACAAAGTAATTATACAGTGGCTATCACCGTAGTTATCACCGTGGTCATCGCGGTGGTCATCGCCGTGATTATGGCTGGTTTTTTTGTCAAAACGAAAATTTACGAGTAAAATATGGTATTTTCATGCTCTTTTTTTTCTTTCTCATAAAAGATTGTCGTATTTGACCATGTCTAATATCAATCTTTACGTGTGAGATTACATTTGACTTAATTACATGTACCGTTTTCACTGTATAGTGTAAATCATTATAAATATTCATAGGCTGTGTAGTCTAAGTACTAGCTTTATTTTGTTTGAATTTCAAAAATAATGTACAACTTAGTCTTTAGCATTCTTTTCCATCTCTTCATCTTCTGACTGCACTCTGCTACTTGCTTGACTACTACTATTCTCAGATTGAAGTCTCTTTTTGTTTCTGTATTTCCAAAATTTATCCACTACATCTTCTGCACCAAAGACGCCACTGAAGCCTCTTATAAAGTCATGACTCTTATCTTCCCAATGTAATATTGTATCATTGATAGCAGTTTTCAGTGTTTGCCTAAAATCCTCTATTGACTTTTTGGTCTTTATTTTTCTTTCCTACAAATAAAGATGAGTACATCATTTTTTATATGTTGTCTTATTACTTTTAAGAAGGAGATATTTAATTCTTTTGCACTAACGCCACGTTCAAGGTTTCTACGAAGATAAGCATCATAATCACGTACGATACGAGTGATGAGATCAGAAGTGGATATTCCATCTGTACGCTGAGTTGGGAAGAATCGGCCTTGCGCTTTTACAAATGCATAAACATCACCTGACTCTTTACTCTGATAGGGTTCAGCATCATGGGCGACATAATCGATCTTGTGGTGATCAAGAAACTCTTGGTCAATAATCCAAGGGGCATTTTCAATCACTTCATCCACCCATTTGCAATGTCGAACAGCTTCATATCTTTCAACATCTGTCATCACCGTCTTTCCTTTACGTTTGTGTGTTTCGATATCGTTACATACTATACAGAATGTGAATACTATTTTTTTTTGTAAATGGAGAGGCTATTTTACCACCCACTAAAAGATACACATTAGGGAAAGCCTTTTTGGCTTGTTCGAGTGCTTTAGCGTGTCCAAAATGAAATAGATCATAGATTCCATCACAATAGATACGAATGGGTCTATCCACTGGTGGCTAAAAAAAATACATGAATATACAAATTATTGGCAGTAAAAAAGCAAAACTCACAGGATTAATTCTGAACCCATATTGCTCTTCTATACCAGGAGGTAAACAGACCAAATGATCATTTTCTTCTTCACTTGCAGAAAGGTTAGGTCCAAATTGACGTAATTTCTTTGTAACAGGGCTTAGTTCTTGATGAAGAGGCTGTGGTAAAGAAGTATCTGTGTTATCTTCGTCTATATAAAATTATATATATTGAATATATAGCTCATCTCTCTCTCTTCCTTTCTCTATTTACCAGAAGCATCACGAGATGTAGGCTGATCTTCAACTTCTTTTGATAGTTCTATTTCTAATTCTCTCTTTCTTTTAAGACTCTTTGTGTCTGGTACTGCAAAAGAACTCATTTTTTTATAAAAAAAAAAAAAGAGGAAGCGAGGGGGAAAAAGTAAAAAAAAAAAAAAAAAGACAGAGAGAAAAGGTGAATTACCTTGTCGAATCTCCGCTTTTATTATTATTACTCTCTTGATCAATTCTCTCTTTGTAGCCGTTCAAACAGCCTTTATCGAGTTGGGTCTTTCTTCTTTATTGACTCTGTTATAAGTAATCATACAAGTGGTCAAGAGAAAATATCATTCATAAATATTATCATCATCATGTGTGTGTATATTCCTTGACACTTGTTTTCTCTTTTTTATATATGTATGTTTAATAAAAGAACACTAGATTTACACCTTGAAAAAAACAATTCTGTAATCCGAGTAACATATATTTAAACTTTTTATAGCTTAAACATTAAAGGGATAGGTTAATGTGAGTTGCATATCATCACTCTTAATGAACAATGGCCTGCTGATTCTGCAGCCAACTCCGATAAACTACATAGACCAAACCCTTATGCATTCTCCCTTTTTTTCTCTCTTTATTCTTTCTTTATTAAAATGGAATTAGACGGGCCATGGTTTGTTGATAGCAAAACGAAACGAACCATTCTTTTCAAAGGCATCAACCTCAGTGGAGAGACAAAGATACCTATTGGGTTACCCTCACATGAAAGTAATGGTTACTGGGTTGACTACGACAGAAGAGTTAACTTTGTGGGAAGACCATTTCCACTTGATGAAGCAGATGAGCATTTGTCAAGAATCGCAAGTTATGGGTTCAATTTACTCCGCTTTGTTATCACCTGGGAAGCTATTGAACATGAAGGGCCGTAAGTTGGGAGTCAATGTTTATATTTTTATACATAGATTGATGTATTATACAGTGGCATTTATGATCAAGATTACTTGAATTATTTAATCCAAGTGTTGAAGAAATGTGAAGCATACAACTTGAAAGTCTATATCGATCCTCACCAAGACTGTGTAAGCGTCATTAAATAATGATAATATCCTATTAACAATCTGTTAGTGGTCTCGACACTGTGGAGGTTCAGGACATCCTGGTTGGACCTTGGTCCTTGCTGGTTTAAACCCATTGCATTTTCCAGATACAAATGCTGCTATTGTGCATAATCTGTATTCAAATCCAGACGAATTTCCTAAAATGATTTGGAACACAAATTATCAAAAACTGGCAGCTGCCACCATGTTTACCTTATTTTTTGCGGGCAGAACGTTTGCCCCCAAGTGTATAGTCAATGGTGTGAATGTACAAGATTTTTTACAAGACCATTTCTTTCGTTGTATGGCTGAGGTGGTCAAAAAGATCAAAGAAAATCAGCTCGATACTGTGGTCATTGGCTACGACTGTATGAACGAGCCTGGTCAAGGATACCTTTCGATCCACGATATCACTCATTTTAATAAAGTGGACACTGATTTCCGTATGGGATTAATGCCTACTGCCTTTGAAGGCATGCTGTTAGGATCAGGCAATCCAACCGTCGTAGATCAGTGGGAGTTTACATGGTCAGGACCGAAAAAGACGGGCAGAGTCATGGTAGACCCAAAAGGAAAGCAGGCATGGATGTCTAGTGAAGAATTAGAAGAGGCATATGCATCATTTGGCTGGAAACGAGCAGAATCTTGGCCAGCAGGATGTATCTGGGCAACGCATGATGTTTGGGATATAGATACCAAAAAAGTGATTCAACCAGAATACTTTGCTACACATCCTCAGACTGGTTTACCCACCAAATTCTCTGACTATTGGTTAGATCATTTTAAAAACTACATGAATGTCATACGACGCATTCAACCTGACGCACTCATGTTTGTACAGCCTGCAGTATTAGAAATTCCTCCCAAGATGTCTTTTCCTACTGAAAGACTTGTCTATGCGCCTCATTGGTATGATGGCCTTACACTTGTGAAGAAAAAGTGGTGTAATTACAATGTAGACTTTATCAACCTACAGAGAGGAAAGTATGGTACTGGCCCGCTCCGATATTTACGCGCCCTTCGTGTTGGAGAAAAAGCGATCAGGCAGTGCTTTGTAGATCAATTAAAGACAATGCAACAAGAGGGACTAGAAAACTTGGGCGAGTATCCTTGTATACTGGGTGAAATTGGTATCCCCTATGATATGGAAATGAATCAGAGTAAAGATGAGTCGCTTTTCTCCTATTGTTTCAGTTACTTGCTATCCTTCTTTCAAGATCAACAAGGTGACTACATTAGCCATCCTAAATCGAATCAGAACAAGGCGATGGATGCCAATCTTTTTGCTCTCGAAAAGAATTTACTCAACTATACCTTGTGGAATTATGTTCCAGATAACGATGCTAAATGGGGTGACCTCTGGAACGGAGAGGATCTTAGTATATGGCAACTGGCTGAGAAGGATCCTGATTTCTTGAACAATACAGAATCACCACAAGACTCTACAAGCTCGATTACGACCATGAAGACAATTGTGGTAGAAAACGAAGATACGACAGATATCAAAAAGGCAACCATGACGGAGGATAGCCTATCAAACCATTTTCGTCAAAATACACGAGATCTTGTCAGTTTACACAGACCACATCCCCAGAAGACTGCAGGGACTCCAATGGGAATCACATTTGTATCACCCACATTTACAACGCCAGCCTCATTTGAATATATTCTGCAGCCAAACTTTGAATGCATTGGTCCAACCGAGATACATGTGCCCATAAAGAATTTCCCTTTGCCACCAGAGACCAAGGTGAATGTCAATTTTGGCAGATGGGAGGTATCCAAAGTGACAGACCATGACTGGATTCTCTCTTGGTGGATAGATGAAGACATAAAGGAGGCTGAACCCAAGCTGAGATTGGAGGGTATCTCTTACCAACAGTAAAAAACACGTGTGAATTGGCCAATGGAAAAATAAACAATGATACACAGTATTTTTTACAATATAAAAACTCCTCTCTCTTTTTTTCTTTTTCTCTCTCTCTTTCTTTCTTTTTCTTTTATACATCAAGAAATAACAAATACACACATATATTAGGAATCTTTAGCTTCCTATCCTTTATTTTTCTTGAACCCAAACCATCCAAAGGAAACACACCCTTTTTTTTTGATAAAGAAAAAAGGGGTTTACATTTACAAGCAAAGCCATTTCATCAGAGAAACAGTATCAAGTTAACTTAACCCAACTACAATATGATTGCTTTTCTACGCGCTCAATTTACAACCACTACCAGCGAAATGGATCACAACCTTCTTCAACAAGAGGGATCCAGAAGAAGGGTGATTCGATCGTAAAGGCGCCCGGTCGACAACATCGACGCTATCAACCCTATTCTATCCCTGAAAATACACTAAAAAATAATAATAATAGACCGCCTTCCTTATTTGAACCCATGAACACCTTAACTATTTTATCTAGCCTCGACACATCTTCGCTTGTCCTATCAGATGAACAAGTGTTTGATGAATTTAACGAATTTATTCAACCTTCTTCCACCTTGTTATCTCCTCCCTTGTCGCCTATATTATTACCTGACCATGATTTTGATGATATTCCTTTATTTTATTAAATAAAAAAAAGCTTTTTTTTAAACAGCTCGCTTCACTTCAAAGAAGCGTTTAAGATAATAAACTTGCCAAAAGCAAACACTGACCAACAACCCAAGTTGAGCAATAGACCACCATTTGACTCTAGCATTGGTACTTTCGGCAGCTACGAGATATTAATAAAATCATTTCATACTCATTTACACTTACTATCTCTATGTTGACGTTCTCTGACAATGATATATTCCTGTTGTGCCTTGATATTGAATACACTCTCTGCTAATTCAGATATTTCCTTTTCCAAAGGATCCGTGTTTTCTATATAAAGACAGAGAGGGTTAAATTTTATACCAGAGTCCCAATAATGTATTTTACCTTTGACGCTTTCATGAATCTTTTGAATATTCTCGTGAACATTAAATCCAATCTTTTTATCACTCACAGTTGAGAATTCATTACTAAAACAGAATGTGTATTTTCCAGCGATATTGGCTGTAAGACTATGTGCGTCAGATGTTTGCTTTACTTTGCTAATAATAAAAGTATCTTGAGGATCCTTTATCTATAGACTTGTTAGTGTGTGTGTCTATGTTTTGTAGTTGAATGTACCCAAAAGTCAATATCATAGTTTCCACCATCGCCTACCTATCATATTGGTGGTTATTTCTTGTTTTTTTATATTTATATAAAAATATATTTTTACTTGATAGGAAACAATCAACTTTTCTCCAACTTCCAAATATTCATAATAACAATCTACTTCTCCTGCTTTAATATTGATGGATAGAGCAATGATGTGTTGAACCAGGAGCAAAAAACTTGCCAAGACAGTAATCATCATCATGTATAAAGTAAAGGGAAAAGAAAATGAAGGTGAGGCGGTTTTTTAAAATCTAAATGTCGGCCTTTTTGCCCAAACTTCAAATGACGCTTTGCAAAATTCAATTGGCTTTTGCAAAGATTATATTTTGAGCGATTGCACTTTTTTGATAGTTCCCAAACTAGAATACGTAGTGGCAAAAGACTTCCCGTGTGGTGTGATCCTTTTTCGAATCCATTAACTAGTAGATGATACATCATTTTCTTTACATGGACGACTTTTGCTTTGTAGCAATACAGTCTGCCTGATACGTGATTTGAAGAAAAGCTGTAGGGATATGAAGCTTTTTTTTTTAAAAAAAAGAAACACGTATCAAAATTGATTTGAAAACGTAGTTATCTTTCATGGATTCAAACTGAGAAAAGAGAATTCTTGATATGCGCCATAATATCAAAGTGATCTTTAAATAATGAGGGGGCTGCCATGTTGACAAAAGGAAATACCTTGCTGATTTCAATCTCCACACACGTATTGGTTGTGCTCGAGAACTTCTTTTTTTTTTTTCCCTCCTTGTTTAATAATTAAAATGCCTTCAGAGAGTAAAAAGAGAGTTTGCTATTTTTATGATGGTAATTAGTTCAATAAGCATATAAACTTCTTACTGAATATAAATGCGTAGCCAATGTGGGTAATTATCATTATGGACCTGGCCATCCTATGCGACCCCATAGAATAAGAATGTGTCATGGTCTAGTGATGAATTATGGATTATACAAAAAAATGGAAATATATGTCAGTTTTCAAGTCTTTTATATGCTTTTTTATTAATCTGTTTGAATCATAGAGAGCGAAACCTGCAAACAAATGGGAAATGACCCAATTCCACACAGACGACTATATTGATTTCTTATCGCGTGTTACTCCTGAAAATATGGATCAGTTTCAAAAAGAACAAGCTAAATGTAAATTAAAAGCTCACTCATTACATGTTATTAACTCTACCATAGTCAACGTGGGTGATGATTCACCCGTATTCGAAGGTTTATTCGAGTATTGTGGATTAAGTGCAGGTGGATCCATGGGTAAATCATCGATACACATGCTTTGCATACATGTTTATAACATACATACATAGAGGGTGCGGCCAGATTGAATCGAGGATTGTGTGATATCGCCATCAATTGGGCGGGCGGCCTTCATCACGCAAAAAAGTCTGAAGCTTCCGGTTTCTGTTATGTGAATGATATCGTTTTGGGTATTCTCGAATTACTTCGATACTATGCTCGTGTGTTATATATTGACATTGATGTGCATCACGGTGATGGAGTCGAAGAAGCATTTTATACAACAGATCGTGTCATGACGGTCAGCTTTCATAAATATGGTGAGTTTTTCCCTGGGACGGGTGAACTGAAAGATGTGGGTGTTCAAAAAGGAAAATATTACAGTGTGAATGTGCCACTGAGAGATGGTATTGATGATGAAAGCTACCGAACTACCTTTGAACCTGTAAGTTGTTATCATGCTCATAATCACTGGCTGACACGATTCTATAGGTGATTGAAAAAGTCATGGAATGGTATAGACCTGCTGCTGTTGTCTTGCAGTGTGGTGGTGATTCATTGAGTGGAGATAAACTTGGTTGCTTTAATCTTTCAATGAAAGGTAATAACTTGAATGCCCAAACAATGACTCAATCTTTTTTTATGTAGGACATGCCAACTGTGTTCGATTCGTAAAGAAATTTAATTTGCCTACTTTGGTATTAGGAGGAGGAGGCTACACGATGAGAAATGTAGCAAGAGCATGGGCTTATGAAACAGGAGTGGTTGTTGGTCAAGAAATTGGCCCAGAGATGCCATATAATGATTACTATGAATATTTTGGACCTGATTACAAACTTGACGTTCGTCCCAGTAATATGGAAAATCTCAATACACCCGATTATTTAGAAAAGATCAAGTAAGTCTACAAAAAAAAAGGCCATATAAAGTTACTAATGTCTATCTAAAGAACACAAGTATTTGAAAATTTATCTAGAACGTTATTTGCTCCTAGTGTTCAAATGCAAGGTAAAAAGCACAAAGACAATAACAACAATCAAACCTACATTTGTGTCATTAGAGGTGCCTCGTGATATGGACATGTCTGAAGATGAGGACGAACAAGATGCGGATGATCGATACTCACGTAAGTTTAAAAGAGTGCCCTTAAGACATGATATTCACACACTTTTAGAAAACTTTTGGGATCGTCGTATTGTGCCTGATAATGAATATTATGATTCAGATGAAGGTGAAGCACAAGGCACAACAGATAATCTCAAGAGTAGACATGAAAGAAATTATAGAGAGGACAATCAGGTAGAACAATCAAGGACAGCTAGTCCAGAAGCAGTCAATAATGTAAAAATATCACAAGAAGAAGAAAAGGAACTTGCTGAAGCATTGAGAGAAGAAGAAAAGGAGGCTGACATAAAGACAGAACAGGATATCAATACGGACGCATTGCTAAATAGCGACAACAAACCTGATACAGATGTAGAAATGACAGGTAAGTTTAAACATGTTGATACATCAACCTAATGCTGTTTTAGACGCTTTTACAAATCCAGTGGATGATCAGCCTCACATTCCCAAATCAGCAACAGAAAGTGAGGAAGAGGGAGAGGTCAAATCCACGCATAGCCAGTCTCCTCGCTCAAGGTCACCGCACACACAAAGTGAGATGCATATGTCTGTTGATAACTTTTCTAAAGAAAATGACGTACATCCTTCACCTTATGAAGATGCATTAGAAGACGGCGAAATTGCCGAATAAATCTTGATTTAATCGGGGCGCTGCTTCTGTTTTACATTATTTTTTTTAATGGCCAATTTCTGCCACAAAAGGCTAAATAGTCGTTGGCCACGAGGGAATAGCAAAAAAAAAAGCTTAAAATAATCATTCAAAGAAGGGGGGATATAGTAAAAAAAAAAAAAAAAAGTTGATATGCTTTTTGAAGGGAGATCAAAAGGAGAGAGAAGAAAGAAGGAGATGATGATGAAGAAAGGGGGCAAAGTTTTGAGAGGGAAAAAAACAAACGCATTAAAGTTTATATAATGCTTTATAGTTTACTTGTTCTTTTTCTCTTTTTTTTTCTTTTTATTCATTAAACGCCCTTTATTATCATGTCAACAACTCAACAAAATGAAAAGATGCTTGAAGCACAACAATTGCTGTACAGTAGGATCGATAATCAATCCATTCAGTTAATATCAGTATTGGGCATTGGTGCGTACGGCATTGTTTATTTGGGAACAAACGTATACACGGGTCGACAAGTTGCTGTTAAACTTTTGACACATATGAATATCAGCCGACGAGAGATCGAAGTGCATGCCTATCTATCGGGACATCCTAACATCTTGACGTTTGAAAAAATTGTGAGAGAAGGCAACAAAGTGTTTATGGTCATCGAATATGCTCCTGAAGGCGATCTATTCAGTGCCATTACAAAACCAGGAAGGGGTATCGTTGGCAATAATGATGCCATAAGATATATATTTTTACAAATTATTGACGCCGTACATTATTGCCACCAAAGCAACATCTTTCACCGCGACCTGAAGCCTGAGAATATCATGTTGGGTCCTAATTGGACAGTGAAGCTGGCAGACTTTGGTTTAGCGACGACGCATCAAGTCTCTGACGAGTTTGGCTGTGGTTCAACCTATTATTTTTCTCCAGGTAAAATAGTTGTCCAATGTATTTTTCATTTAATAATAAACCTTTCTATATTTCAGAATGTCAGGGGGGAAGTTTCCGCAATCATAGCCGTATCAAGGGTTATAGCACAGAAAAGAACGATATTTGGAGTCTTGGCGTTATATTAATTAATTTAGTCGCAGGCAGAAATCCATGGAAACAAGCTGATATGCGAAATGCAACATTCGCAGCCTATGTTCGCCATCCACGCCACTTTTTCCGCAAGATATTGCCGTGCATCTCTGAAGAACTTGAAGACATACTTTTACGTATATTTTGTCTAAACCCTGCATTACGTATATCATTACCTGAACTTCGCTATCATATCCTCAGATGTTCTTCTTTTGTTAAACAACAACAACAACCAAGCTTACAGATCAAAAAAGTAGCTGAGCCCTACCACCTTCACTGTAAACAAAAAACGCCTAAAAGACGTGCTATTCATATGCAATATTCTGAATCAATTGCTCAAACAGTCTTGCAATATGTTGGAAATTATACGGATGAGGATAATGAAACAGTTCATTATAAATTAAGAACCCATGGTGATCCATCAGAGAAGAAGCTAGATCAAATAATGGATCGTCTCGTTACTGAAAAAGGATATAGTTTCAATTCACCTCGTCACTCGTCAGATACATGCTCAATATCAAGTACGAATACAAGCTATTGCTCTACTCCAGGAAATAGCACGAGTGGAGGACAGGCGAATCCTGTTTTGAAATCAAATCATCATGATTCCATCCTCGATATACGACAATGTCACTTTTAAAATGGTTTTTTCTGTACGTATTCCAAGAAAAAAAAAGTACTTTCATTATAGACTCCTAAAACATGATATAATAAACTCTCCCTCCTATTATAAGCAGCCTATTTATTTCTCTTCAACACGTTGTTGTGGCTGTTTGTCAATCCTGTTTATCTTTCTTCTCCTTTTGCTTATTTGTTTGTTGTATTCCCCTCCCCTTTTTTTCTATCTACACGCGTGCTTCATCTCGTTTTCTTGATAAAGTACTCATTTGATTGTTCTATTTCTCTTTACATGTCATGAGCTCAAAGAAAAAGTAGAGCATATACTCTTTTTATGGATAATACGAGGAACACTGCAAAATCCAAAAAAGGTAATATTACCTCTAAACTGCAAAATGTTCTTTTGAAAGCAAGTAAAAAACACATTATATAGTTTGATTTAAATCTGAATGCTACAACTCAAAGCAGCATATAATTTATAAAGTATGCTTTTAGCTGTGGCTTTGTTATACCACTCTATGAGGTTTATGTAGTAATGCATTCTGAATAAAGTGTAATTGTCAATGCACCTTTTGCACCACAGTACAAAATTATTTGACACTCAGCTATTTGACTTCACATACGCCTCTCTAATACAGTCACTCTTTCCTGCGGCTAAGAATGAAAGACGTCTCTACCAGTGAAGGTATTCTGACAGATACCTCATGATGCTTTCTTTTCTTTTTCACTAATATATATATATATATATATAAAGACGATTCAAATCTACTTGTAATCATTCTTGACACAAACCCATTTGCATGGAATGATTCAGCAAAAGCTAAAGTTCCATTATCTTTGGACGATGCTTTAAATCAAATCCTTGTCTTTGTTAATGCCCATTTATCACTTAAGCATAATAATAGTGTTGCGGTCATAGCCAGCCATGTTGGTCATAGGTTAGTTAAAATACATTTCAAACTGTTACTTATCATATACACAGCAAGTTTCTGTATCCATTACATGAAGAAATGAGTATGAATGGAAGTAGAAGAGATGCGAATATATATCCTATATTTCAATTTGTGACAGAACAAGTAGTATCCAACCTTCAGAAGCTATTCAATACAGATACAGACTTTTTAAAAAGAGACACAGGATCTATGCCGACAATTACAGGAGCCTTATCGATGGCATTATGTTATATCAATCGTATCACTAAATTGGATGATGAAGGATATATTAAACCTAGAATATTGGTATTATCCGTGTCGCCTGATTCAGCCTTTCAATATATCCCATTGATGAATTGTATATTTTCAGCACAGAAAGCAGTAAGTCATTATGAAACCAACGCCATGATCACTTAGTCTTTTTCCAGAGTATTCCAGTAGATGTGTGCAAGATCTATGGAGAAGATAATGCCTTTTTACAACAAGCATCCAATATCACAGGTGGCGTCTATGTTCGAGTGGATAATGCTCAAGCATTATTGGAATATCTCTTGGTAACATATATATTTATAGTTATACAACAATGTACTAAGATATTCCTTCTTTAGATGGCATTCCTGCCTGATAGATATTCACGTAACTTCTTAAACCTACCAACACAAGATCAAGTTGATTTTAGAGCAGCTTGCTTTTGTCATAAACAAATTGTTGATATTGGATTTGTTTGCTCTGTGTGTTTATCAAGTATATGTCTCCTTTTAGCTATTTTTCTTTTATTGACTTTTTTTTTTAGTATTCTGTAAATGGTCTCCTGTTTGTTCTACTTGCAAGTAAGTCATACATATTGGTTCTTAATAAATATATACACTTATTGCTTTCTATAGAACCAAATTCGCTTTTAGGCCTATGGCGCAGAGTAATAGCATGAATGGCAGTAAATTAAAAAAATAATCTAATAAAAGTCACCTTTGTGAACAAGATAATAATAAAGAATCATACAGCAGCATCTTGATAGAAGAATTCTATTTTTTGGCCTACTTTTATTGGCTAATAAAATAATTAAAAAAAATAGAAGGAAGGGGGTGAATTGACGTTTTTATCTTTTTTTCAATTTTTAGTAAAATGAGCCATCAACATGGGCCTGGTTGTAATCATGGACACGAAGGAGGAGAAGGTGGTCAAAGAACTATTCATGTGAATGATGCCAATAAGGCGCCACCTCTTTATAAGAACGTTGCCAATTATCTTAAAGACGAGAAAAAGTCTGGCCTTAAACCAAGACAAGGTGTGCTGAACGGAAAGAGATTTGAATATTTTAAAGGTAAGCCAAGGACTATACATATAGATGAGTATTGATTTCAAAAATAGGAAAGAGAGCTATTGATGCTTTATTAAGAGAAGAGTTTAAGAAGATTCCACCCAAAGAAGAAATACCACAGAACCGTGAAGATGCGTATAGAATATTGAATGAGTTAGGAAGACTGGGATTTATCTTGCGCGTGGATAGAGGCGAATCTATGGGTGGCAAAGGTACACCACGTCTGTTACAAGTGAATCCGGTTCAACAAGTACAAGAAGAAGGATATTACATGTGGATATGGGAAGGAAGCCAAGTGAGACAATATTTTGGTGCTATTTTACTCGTCATTATCGTACTAGCTGCAGTGCTTTTCCCTCTTTGGCCAGATTTCTTGAAATTGGGTGTATGGTATCTTAGTGTGGCCGTACTCGGTTTAATTGGTGTCTTTTTTGGTATTGCTCTTATTCGTCTTGTATTATACATTATCACTTTGCCCGTGTTGCCTCGTGGGTTCTGGTTATTCCCCAACTTGTTTGCAGACTGTGGTGTCATTGAAAGTTTTATACCTTTATATGGATTTGATGAACCAAAGGAAAAAAAGAAGAAGAAGAGCACAAGCAGTAGTAAGAGCAGTGCCAGTACTTCAACTACGGTCACTGAAGAAAAGACGGATTGAGAAGATTAAATAAATTTTTTATTTGTTAAAGCATATCTTGTATAATGTAGAGTACTTTTTGTTGTAATTTGATCTCTTTTGGATCATTGGTTATTTTAAAGGATGGAACCTTTAGTTTACTTAGCTCTTGTTGTACATACTTTACTTGCTTATCCATTTCCTTCAAGATGTGTAAATCCATTCTATGTAATTCTTGACGGCATTCTCTTTCAATTTCTTTCATTCCTTCTGGATCCTTTATTCCTATTAATTCTCTTGCAAGATATGAGCATAGATGCACATTCTATTTTTGAATCTATTTACTTTGCAAGCATGCTTTGCTTTTGTCGTTCATATCGTTGTTTTATGGATTCTCTATGAGCAAACAGCTCTTTTTCTATCTTATCTTGTCTTTCTTTACATTGTCTTATTATCTTTAATAGATCCGTTTCCTTTGCCATAGTGGCTATATGCACTAATACTTCGGGTGTAATACTTGTGATGCCTTCAAATGTTTTCTCTGGTTCTTTTGATGATAAATATTCCTTTCTGACTTGTTCAATAACATTCTGACTAATGTTGGATAAATCTAGGTTGGCAAGTGAAGGATCTACTTTATCATTTGTCGTTGTTTGTTCCGGTAGTTTGATATCTTGACCCTAATATCGTCAGGATGTCATTACTTGAGAATTCCCTTCTTACTTTAAACAACGACATGAACTGATTCATATCCATCTTTTTTCACTTTTTTTTTTTTTTTGCAAGAAAGATGAATCACTGTAATGACTATCATATCAATTTTTTGAAAAAGGCGTAGTCGGACTTCAGAGAGTAGAGTGATCCAAAAAAGGAAATCAAATGGGAGAGAACTGGCTACTATCACACATTGGCTAGCTGAAGCTGTGGAAGCTAATAACAAATTATGGAGGAGTATAATGTAGACCATCTCGGTTTATATTTGACCAGAAAAGAGGTCAAACTAATGTAAGAGTATGTTGTGAGATGTTCCTTGGTGTCGTTGCTCAATTCAAATCGACAAAAATGATAGACATCGTGGACGACCTTGTCATTGAAATGGTTTCAGCGAAGATAGATGCATACACAAAAAGATTAACTAGAATGAAGCACTTGTTGGTGAAATTATAAAAAGGAGTAAAGCTATATTGTGATAAAGAGAATACGGCTATAATTCCTTTGTTGCTTGACCTGATTGATTGACTGTTTTATGGTAACACTGGCATCCACAAGAATCTGTTCTGATTGTTGTTGCTTTAAAATCATCGTTACTTCTTATTGTTCAAGTAACATTTCCTAGGATGCCATGTTATATATACACATGCACATTGCCTGTAGCTCCCATGTGATTCCGATAACTTTGGCTTGATTTTTTGCCTTACCTTTAATTTCATCAGCCATTCCATCAAACGATTCAAGTCGTAGTGACCTTTTCAGTTCCTTAATACAACTACATACCGTTTCTTCACAAAGCATTATTTTCCAGTTCCCATGATTGGTTGATTTGTAAAGTTGGTTTGTTCCCAATGCATTGTATATCAAATACGTATCGCCATCCAAATGTCTTCCAAGATGCATATTGGTATTGATGATTTCATCCTTCAAACAGTTGCTAGCATATTATATCAATTTCAGAGTATCTTCTTCGGTACGATCTCTGCCTTCTTCCTATATACGCAAGCATGAGTAAGACAAGGCGTTGGTATAGTACCGTCAACTTTATGTGATATCTATATATCAGAATAATTTTATGATACATACCCTCAGCATTCCACAATTACACGCTAAATTTTGTTCCTGCAGCTAAATCCAATGCCATTCAGTGGTTTGCGCTGTCTTTCTGAAAGGCAAAGTATCAATTGTTTGTTAGATAGTGAAGCCTATTTCACAAAAAAAAAGATCATAAATATTTGAGTAGAAATATCATCCTGTTACTTTCTTATCAAATAAAAGACAACAAATTTGTTGAGGCATTAAAATGCTTGAATATGGGAATGTCATATTCAGCAAAAGGAGTACGCTCATTAGGAAGTTGCGATGTAATATGACATGCTACGATTCGCATGATAATAGCACAGTATATAGCAAAGGAGTCGAATGCCTTTTTGTTCATCACTGTCATCCATATTAAACCTCATGTCATCTATGTGGTCCAATAAGCTGCCCGAAACTCCACAGAAGTAGAAGTTTAAAAGGTTAACTATATTAGCCTTTTTTATTCTCCATATAAATATCTCACTCAAGCCTAATTTAATAATACTCAACTCTTTCTAATTCGCAAGTTATCAACTTCATTGGCGTTTTTCAATATCAAAGCTGAACACAACAGAAGAGCAACAGGCATTGCATTGATTCAAGTGATGTTGTCAGTGTGATTAGCTATCGTGTCAGATGCATAGAAGAATGTAAAGTAGAGTGCATGCTCTACTGCAAGTTTATACTTTTATCGAGTACAGTACAAAGCTTCTTCACTAAAATGACAATCAATGGCTGCTATCAAATAGTCACTGAGTTTCTTTACATCATCGTTACTGACTCGCAGTTTATTCCTTGAGAGAGATGGTGGCATTTTTGGCAGGGTGAGGAAGTCGTACCTCCTCCTAGCTTTTTTCAACAACAATGAAGCATGTGATATCGTCGCAAAATAAAAGAAGAAAGATATATGTGATAGAATTTATTTATTATAGATCAAGAAGAAAGAAAAAAGCTCATTTATTACAATCAGCATCTTTTTATATGACATCAAGGTTATTACTTGAATTGATCACGGTCAATAAGAATTGGGTATGTCATGTTATGTAAACCACCTTTATTTAATTTTCATTAGGTTGGATCTACTTTCAAGAAAATTAAACAGGCTTAATTGCTTATGGCGTATTAAGTTATGCCTAAAAATTTATAGAGTATTATTCTTTATCAATTTACTTTGGTGGTTGTTACTATTTTGGTTCCATTTGACATTCATGTATTCATATCCTTTTTCATTGTTATAAAAATCTTTTCTCATCGTCACTAGATCACATATTTGATAATGCCTCTCATTCAGATTCACGAATATCCATGTCATTAAGGGATTGCCTGAAATATGTCGCGTACCTTAGCAAGCCATCCTGTTCCGAGCGCCATTTGAAATAATTTATGCAGACTTAGAAGTGCCGTTGCTTTACTATAAAAATGAACATATAATCATCAAAACTATCACAAGCATAATCGTCGCCAATGTTGGTCTACATTTTACAACAGAAGGAAAAAGGATATGGATATAACAACAGAGAATAGAGGATGCACATTTTACCTATAAGCTCTTGATAAGATAGATTCTTATGTGAATGGAAAAATAGAAGAGGTTCAAATCTTCTAGTGTTTTTACAAGTAATGACCAATTTCTGTACAAAGAAAAAAATTTAATCTTTACTTTATTTAAAACAATGTAGTATTTATGAAACTTCATAGTTGATGTCCCGCTATGATCACATGTGGTAAGGTAGTATCGATCTTTAACTAAATGTAACGACAATAATATATATATTACACATCGTAACACTCTTATGTTTCCTAAGCCAGCAATTCAATCATCTCTGTTTCATGTTTGATAAATAGGTTTGATGCATGAGTGTTAGAGTAACTTGAATTTGACTCTTCTTTGGCCTCTACTAAAAATAATAAAGGCGATTTTTAGCACTTTTTATGAGATCTTCTTGTTTCTTTAAATGATAGGTGTTGATCTATATGTGGCTATTACAGAATAACCTTTTCCTCTCCCTATCTCTCTTTCCCTATTTCTTAAAAGCGCTTTTTACTAACGGATATTAAAAAGGTACAATGATAAACAAACAAAGTATGACACCTACACCATTTTGATTTGTAAATAACAAATGTAATGAAATAAGTAGCATACGTTCCACAGCATTGACAGTCTAGTACATTTTGAGAAAAGCCCTTTGTTTACTATCAGTTGCATTTTTAAAGATGCTCTACCCTCCCATCCTTTGTCCTTGCCCATTTAATTGCCACCTTATTTTTATTTTTATTTTTACTCATTCTTAAAGAAAACGACCAGAAAAAAAAAAAAATAGAAAAACACACATTAGAAATAAGGAAAGTGAAGTAATCATAATGAAAAAAAAATTGTATGTGTGTGCACGAGGCCAACTTTATGTAAACAAGCGACCATACAAAAGAAAAGGGGTCATGAAAAAAATATGCAAACGAAAGGGAGGAGGCGCTCGAATACTCAGATATGTTTTAATATGGATAAGATAGAGAATGCGTTATTTATTTACTCATATATTATTGTAGAAAGGAGGAATGAGTCATGACTCACGTAAATAAAAAACTATAAAAGAGACCATCATTCTTTTCTTTTTTCCTTCTTTTTTTTCTTCATTCTTTATCTCTTTTAAAAATTCTCCTATGGCTTTATTATATCTTATGTTGAAAAAGGTACAATATCATTTGAGGGTGATCTCAAAGTACATATAATTAATGTTATCGTTTAGAAAATACACTTTTGTTAGCTCTATTTCATGATTCCTGATGCATCTTACTCTATCATAATGGCCTCTCACGGCGTGAAGCCTTAAAGAAATCTCTGCTACTCACTAATGCTCAAAATATCTACTAGTGCTCAAAAAATGCTTGCTACTGCTTATCAATACACTCAAGCACTCAAATAATCAAACAAATACTCAGACAAATATTCAAATGCCTACAAATGCTTATTAAATCTCTGGAAAGACCAGTGAACGCCTGCTCATGCTTATAAATGCCTATAAATGCTCATCAGTGCCTGAAAACGCTAGTGAATATCTATCCCATGCTTATTAACGTCAGAAAGTCTCTAAAAAATTTTGCCCATGTCTATCAATGCCTGCTGCTAATGAATGCTGCTAATGAATGCTACTCTGGAATAACTACATATTCAACCCCTGAAGCTACAAAAAACGTAACCAATCCATTTTGCCACTATCTGCCAAACCCTATCAAGCTCTGTTACAAGAAAAGAAAAAATATAAAACAATAACAATAAATTAACCAGATATGTCGCTGCATCTTTACGCTGAATTACCTCGAGATGCTCCTATTGTCATGGCTCTGCCTCTACAGTTGATGAATGGCCCGTAAACCCTTCCTACTACTGGGCTCGATGCTTTCAATGTTCCAATACTCCATGTTTCAATCTTCCAATATTCCATTGATCCGACATCCCGTTGTTTGAATGTTCAATGTATCAACGTTACCATGCTCCAGTGTTTCCTTTCCTGAGTTTTCCCGTTATTGTTTTATGAGATTGAGTCTTGAGTATTTTTTATTCACGGAGAGTTTACACCGTGTAGTCTTCTGGCATGCAGTCTATGGTTTTAGTCATTTTGGGTTTGAAAGCTAATGATAACGTGGTCTTATGGACTTGTGTAAAAAGAAAAATCTCTACTTGTTCACAATTCTCTCTCTTTGGAAATCAAGCTATTGCTCGCTTAATAAAAACTTCACTTTCTTAGTCCCACACTTGACTTTTTGTCGTTCAATATGACTACTTTGGGAATACAAAAAGGTTTCTTCCGTATCTTAGCTATCAAAAGATGTCTCTTTTTATTTATCTGTAAAAGTTGGCTTGAAATTCATGATGAAAGCATTAGAAAAATGAGTACTCAAAATGATTTCCTAGTGCATATATATTACGATATATTCAATATGATTCTTTTAGTACGCTTTTAATGAATGACCTGACTTATACATATTGGTAAGAAGTCTTGTTTAATTTGATAAATGATGTTTTTAGAGACAAGGCAAAGTCCATGATAGCTTGAATAAAGACATGCTTGTCAATCAACGTGTGTGTCCATTGATACACATGCGACAAACGATTGGCTGGCTCCACTGCCAGTAAAAAGTTCAACAGCCGCCGTAAAATTTACTAAAGTCTTCTTTGCCCTTGAAAAGATTCCCTTGAAGCCCCTAATGAATTTCCTAAAGAGCACTGGTCATTCTGCACGCTTTATGCAGAGAAGAGTTACTTTGAATAGCCTTAGATACACCAATAGAGCTCGTTTGTATTCTACGGCTACTGGCGGCCCTGTCAAAGAAAGTAGTAATGTTCCCTGGGTTATCGGTTCTCTTCTCGTGTTTGGTCCCATTCTGTTCAAGTTAACTTCTCCTCCTCCTCCTTCTAAAAGAACAAACTTGACTGAGCACATTGCGCCTGTACCTGTAGAAGAAGAGAAACCTGCTGCTGTTGAGGAACCAGCCAAGGTGATTCAAAAACCTTATGTTCTTATCGGTGCAGGAACGGCTTCTTTTGCAGCTGCACAAGCAATTAAAGAAAAAGATCCTAATGCCAATGTAACTATAGAAAGTGATATTTTGTGTGATTGTGTATATTCAACTGCTTGCTCAACTAGGTCATCATCATTGGCGAAGAAGGTTATGCTCCTTACATGAGGTGAGTCAACCCGCATGTCTTGTAATTATTGAGCATAATGCTAATCAAAAAGAAATTAGACCTCCATTGTCCAAGGAATTCTGGTTCTCTGAAGATCCCAAGGTTGGAGAAACTTTGCGATTTAAGGATGTAAGACTGGATATTGTGTCGATGTGATAAATGAAGGCTAACTTGTATTTTACTATAGTGGCAAGGAACCGAACGAAGGTAATAGTGCGCATAAGCTATAGACTACTGTCTTAACTCTTCATAAAAGCGCGATATATCAGGATATATCAGAATATGAAATCATTCAAGATGCTTCAGGTTCAGATTTAGAAAGCTCAAAGATCAAACTCTTACTTAGCAAGCGTGCTACAAAGCTCAACGTGGAGGACCATACTGTCACATTGGATGATGGTAGCGTCATTTACTACAACAAGGTAAACGGCTTTCAAAAATATCAATTCGGTTCAAACTAATGTCTATCAAGGTTTTGCTTGCTACTGGAGGGGAGCCCAAGAGATTACCAATGCAAGACAAGAACGACAAGAACATCACTACCTTCCGTAGCATCGAGGACTTTAAGAAATTGGAGCAACTCGCCAAGAATGGTGCTCATATTGCTGTTGTCGGTGGTGGCTTTTTAGGATCTGAACTTGCTGTTGCCCTTGCTCACCGTGGTATGTAATATGTGCATGCATATAGATTTATACTTAGACCATTTTAGCCCAAAAAGAAAACATCAAAGTCACTCAAATCTTCCCTGAAGGTAAAGGAAATGAAATGCGTTCAATACATTATTTTTATTCATTTATTAAAAGATGGAAATATGGCCAATGTCTTCCCTGGTTATCTCACAAAATGGACAACTAGTCGTGTCCGCAAATGTAAGTGAAATATAATTCATACACACCTCCGTTTAATCTTGTTACAGTGGGCGTAGAGGTCAAGGAAAGATCTGCTGTGAAATCAGTTTCTACTGATAAAGAATCTGGAAAGACCACTGTTGAATTAGAAAACGGTGAATCCCTTACTGTTGATCATGTCGTTGTTGCCATTGGCATTGAACCTCGTGTTGATTTGGCGAGAGACGCAGGATTAGAGATTGATGAAAAGAGATCTGGTGTTGTTGTTAATGCCGAATTAGAAGCCCGTCGAGACGTTTACGCTGCTGGAGATATGGTCTCTTTCCATGATGTACAATTGGGACGTCGTCGTATTGAACATCATGACCAGTAAGATCTTATTTGCATCTCTTGTGTGTATATTGACTGTTTGTCATAGCGCTGTCTTGAGTGGACGTCATGCTGGTGAAAACATGGTAGGTGCTTCTCGTGCTTATAAGCATCAATCTATGTTTTGGTCTGATTTGGGACCTGAAATTGGTAATTCAAGTTTAATGATGAGAATACAATAATTGACATCACCCGCACTAGGTTACGAAGCCGTTGGATTGACTGACTCTCAGCTATCAACTGTGAGCGTCTGGGCAAAGGCTACAGCCAAGGATACACCCGTTGCCTCTGCACGTACTGAAGTTGATAGTCCTCGTGCTGCTCCTGGTGAAGAACAACAGCAAGTGTCAACTGGTCAATCTGTTTCTGAAGCTGTTAAGGCAAAGAATCCATTCCAGGATGAAAAGGTAAAGTTTGAATTCATAATCGTTCTGCAAATCTAAATATATTCTAGTTTGGCAAGGGGCTTGTCTTTTATGTTCGTGATAAGAAGATTGTTGGTCTTGTCTTATTTAATGTGTTTGGAAAGGTTCAAGAAGCTCGAGATATTATCAATGCTGGATACACCTCTGATAAGATCGATGGCTTAGTGAAAAAGTAACTGCTTATATTTAGTACTCATCTTTGTATCTAACCTTTAAATATAGATTCAATCTTTATTCAAATGACCATTAGATACTAATTTAAAAATAATAAAGTTCATTTTTGTGCAGTAAAATACCTTTAATAATCCAGCTGAGGGCACTCACAACGTGTTGGCATCAAAAGTTTCGTCCTCAGTTTCACTTTCCGTGTGATGAGCGGACCTCGGATACCCTTTTCGGGTATTTAGAGTGATTCCTTTAAAACGTCATTGTCAACACGAAGGTTCTTGAATTTGTGTGTCTCATGACTCAATTTGCAAAACTCGTTGAGGAAAAATTTACAGCTGCTAAAGAAAAGAAGGCACTCTTTTCTATTGACGCGATACAAGCTGAGAAAGAGAGTGGTGGAATGAAAGTAAAAAGAAAAAAGAGTAAACAGACACTGTTACTTATTCATTGGACCTAGTTTGAAATTACTTGTGCACCTGCTCTTGCTAAAAAGCCTAACAATGAAGACAAATCACAAGAAAAAGAAAACCCATTCTTGAGTCCTAATCCCGATTTGGTTGTAAAAGAACTGGATGAGCACTTGATTCTGTTGAATAAATTTGCTGTCATTCCTAATCACTTGTTGCTAGTAACAAAAGGTATAAAGAATGAACTCTATTGAACTATGGCTTAAATAATACATTATAGAACAAAAGAGTCAAAAAGAACCACTCTTTCCCAATGACTTGTATGAAACGTATAAAATATTACAAGAGTTTGGCTCCCCATTACTTGCCTTTTATAACTGTGGTGAAAACTCTGGTGCAAGGTACGCCTATCTTTTTTAAGGAATAATCTAACAATCAAATATGTATAGTCAAGCACATAAGCATATCCAACTTGTTCCTTTAAATGGAAACAATGGTGTTCAACCACCTATTAAAAAGTTATATGACGAAATCCATGATCGACGTGTGGGTAAGTGGGTGTTTTGTTTAGACGCGTAAAAAGTACCCTTAAATATTATATGCAGGACAAATTTATGCTATAGACAAATTACCTTTTGTTCATGTGATTATGCAGCTTGATACAAATATCATCCGTGCTGCAACCAAAAGAGAAGACTTGACGGATTACTTGAGCCAAATGTTCTTTGGTCTTTTGGATGCCATGTTTCAACAATTACGTGAAAATGCTCAACCGATGAATGCTTCTTACAATTTCTTGATGACAGAGGAATTCATGATGCTTATTCCTCGTGAAAAGGAAAAAGTAGCCATTTCACATGACAACAAGGACTATGAGTTCTCTCTCAATTCATTGGCCTTTGCCGGTATGTTGCTTTGTAAATCAGAAGAGCAGCTCGAAGCAATGAAGGCACAGGATGATCTGATGGATATACTTACCCAAGTCGCCATCAAATGGAATCCTGATGCGCAGAGACTTGATACGGAAAGACAACTAGGCTTAGAAGCTCACCTGGCATAACATGTTTGAAAAAATAATAAAAATATTCTAAATTTGGAAAATTACACAAACGTTAGGTGGGTGCAAACGCAGAAAGACATATATATTTATTTAGTTGAAGAATTTGTCTAAGCTTTCACCCAGATGCGATTCGATGATAGAATTGGTTTGTTGTACCAATTTTTCAACACGGACGTCATCGTCTTCCATGAGTTCAGCAAGGAAGGATATACTTTCAGCCAAGAAGAGCAACCATTCTTCACCAAGACGGTTGTAAAACTCTTGAATACATAATAAGGCAGCTAATCTGATTTCAGGATCGTCTTCTCTGGTCTTTAACAGAACCTTGTGATTAAGAGGTTTCCATAGTGAGTCATTAGAGACTGTGACAGCCATCTGACCGATACAAGGAACGACATATGCTTTCATGCGGCTCAAGTAGTCAGCATTTGTACCCTTGGTAACAACAAGCAGTTGGTCAACAACAGGATCCATAATCTTTTCAAACTTGGCAGCACTCCACAAATTATCGTTGTCATACAAGAATGACTTGTTGAGCGCAGACATGATATAATTCCAGAGAGCATCCACTTCTTGTTCTTCGCTCTTGTAACTTTCCAATCGCATGATAACATCGTCAATCAAGTAGCCAAAGTAAGGGGTAAAGATAGACTTTAGTTTCTCTAAAAGAGCATCCGTTAACTTGTAAAAGAACAAGACTCGTTTTGATGTTTGGTCATCATCTGACAGCTCGTTCGTTGCCCAGTCAACGACCTTGAGGAACAATGGCTTGAATAACGTTTCGTTCAGCTTCATGACAAGGTCGAGGAAAGCAGTGATGATAGAACCTTCCACTTCATCAGCATCAGCATCAGAAAATTCGGCCGTTCGTCGAATGTCAAATGCAACAAGGAAAAACTTGAATAACTGCTTGTAATGCGAGGTCATCACGTCACGAGACATGGTACGGATCGCTTGAGATACCATGGTGCATAATGTCAAAGTAGCATTCTTGCCGTTCTTTACAACCGTTCCAAAGTAACCAAATAGAGGATTCAACAAGATACGAGGTGGTACGTTCGTAGCCAATAGTGACAACACGTTCTTACTCTTGGCTTCAATCGCAGCTCTCTGTGTGTGTGCTACGTCAAAGGTATAGATGGAAGGATGAAGCAGTCCATTGAGTAATTTGGAAATATAGGGACTAATAAAGTGTGGCAACACTTGAACAACGGTTTCAAGTGCGCCCACAACACTAAGCTGAAGAAGGTTGTTTGGATTCTCGGCCTTGACTGTGATGTCCAATAAGTTGATAACAATAGGCATGAGCTTGGGCAGATGAGGAACAGCTCGTGGTCCAACTTCTTGACAAATGACAGTTAAGCATACAAGACTAGAGATCTGCAATTGTGCATTGGAAGATTGAAGACTGTCGGGACCAATGATGACAGGAATGGCAGAAGCGAATTGACCAGGATACAGAGTTCCCAAGATCTTTGCAAGAGAAGCAATACAGAGCAAGGCGGATTGCTTATTGACAGCACGATCTTCTTCACCTGCCACACTTGTAGATTCCTTTTGAATAATATCGGTAAAGGTGTCCACCATGCCAACAAGTGTATCTTCATAGCCTTCGGGTGCATGTCCTTCAAATGAATTGATCTTTTCATTGAAAATGTTCAAGGCCTTGCGACGAATAGCACTGTCAGCGTGATTAGATAATTCCTTGATCACATTGACAAAGACATCCAGAGAGAGAAGAGCATTGACTTTATCCAAGACGTCATAGACTACCTTGAGAATACCTCTCCAAAATTTAGATACGCTGGGATTGGCACCTTCAGATACAGTATATGCGTCGCGGTACTCGGTAAAGTAAGTAACGATCTTCAAAATGGCTGTAATACAGTCCAGATAGAAGGGCTGCATCGATTGGACAAAGTCTTCAGAAGCGTTGGTTTGAGCCATGATCTTGTTCAAATAACCCTTGGAAGACAATAGCTGTGCAATAAAGTTGAGAGTAGCAAGCTTGTACTGACGAAGCTGCTTGCTGTTGTGTTCGGCCAGGTTGAACAAATGGTTATCCTCTGCCATTGTATCATCCTCAGGCTTTTCATTAGGAAGAGCGAGTAACCCGTTTAGGAGAGACAAGATGGCCTTCATCTGAGTTTTGGGAGCAAACTGTTGGCAGATAATTAGACTGAATTCAGTAAGCGATTCAGCATCATTACGGGCACCCTTGGCAAGTCTTTCTGTAAACTTCTCCAAGAGCAGTGAGATAATGGCAAACAAGAACTCGTCTTCACCCAAGGTATGTATCAGGATAGTAAACAATCGAAGACGTCTATGCTTAGGAATATGGAACAAGGCATCAACAAACACCTTGATAATGGGTCGAACTTCCAAAACAAGAGCGGTTTCATCGTCATTGTTGCTCTTTCTGCTAGAGACTACAAGTGGTGGCAGAATCTTTTCCATGGTTTGCTGAATGACTTGGAAACTGTAGTTGTCATCTTGTCGTAAAACATTTGCGCCCATAAAAGTAAAGAGGGGCATAATGTTGTGTAAGACGCATTCGGGATACATGGAGGCAATATTGGCCATCAGCAACAGTGCTTGATTATGTGTCTGTGGATTGCCGGTGATACGGATGCATTGAACAACAACGTCCACTCGAAGGGCTGATTCCTCGACCTTGACGCCCCGTTCTTCAGCATGATGAATGATGTGAGTGAGAGCAGCCATGAGTAACTGGTTAATATATTCCAAAGATACAGGAGAATCACGGAGATCTGCATTGACCATGGCAGTCAAAACTTCAAATAATGACTTCACAAGAGTTTCATCTTCGGCAATGGTCTTGGATTCAATAAGTTCAAGCAAAGTGACAAGCTCATAAAGATCCACGACGACGGGAGCCTTTGTAGGTTTGGTTCTAGCACGCTTTGAGGTAGATTGCGCGCCCACGGTGACAGGAGCGCCCAAGAGATGTCTAGCAGCAGCCATGAGCATACCGTCAAACATCTTGGCAGGAACTTCAATGTTTGCCAACACATTCTTGGAGGCACGAACATCATTTTGAACACCGTTGGTGGCAATATCAATAAGAGTAGAAAAGATCACTTCACGGGCCTCATTGCTCATGGCAGCGAAAAACTCGGGAGTGATTTGTTCTAAAGCGTAGCGGCGAGTAGATACCTGCCAGCCTTCTTCATCTTCACCGTCTAATTTGTCCTTGTTTGCTAGTAAGCGCAAGAAGAGAGGTAATGTCTTGTCATTTCTAGCACCAAGCTCTGGAGCATTGCATGGTAAGTACGTGCGGATAAGATATGACACAAGAGCAGTGCTTTCTGCTGTACGTGGTTGATCAAGTGTCTTTTCCAACAAGGGATAAAGAAGTTGAAGTTTCAGTGGACTATCGATAGTATCCAACATTTTGAGCATATCTATTTTAAGTTGCATCAAGGGAGCCTGAATGACATGTCGAATAAGGAAAGTAAGTGTATGTGTCTTTCTCGTCTTGTACGTCTTGTTGGAGGCTTCACAAAGGGAAAGGTATTCTTTGAACACGCGAGTGATGTAGGTAGGGTCTTTGCTTATTTCATCGTTTCTGTACCATAAGAAATCAACAAGATGAGCAGCTTCGTTAGAAGTAAGCGAAGCAATGTCAGCGCCTTGATTATATATAGCATCTGCAGGAAGAATGGAGGCTTTGACTGAGTTGCGTTTGACGGTTTGGGATGATTCGCCTTCTAGTGTAGTGTCATACACTTTTGAACCGTAAGGCAGACCCTGCGATCTATAGCCAAGTCTGATATGCTCCAAACAACGCAAGGCTTGTGTGCGAACAGAGGTATTTGTGTCAGCAAGATTAGGGAATAAAGCAGGAACCAAATGCTGGAAATCCAATTTCTTAGGAGCATCAATGTATACCTGCAGATAACCTGCTAATACTTGGAGAGCGCGAGCTCGAACGACAGTCGAATGGCGGGAATCAGTCCAGACGGCGGTAAAGAATCGTAGAGCATCATTTTTGAGCTGCTTGTCAATAAGTAAAGTAATCATTGATTCGAATGAAGACACGGTGGGTCCTTCAAGGAAGACGGTGAACAATTTCTTAACAATACGTGCGTATTCATTGTGAGCATTTGTCCAATCGATGTCCTCTTCGGATCTAATAAGAGAACTGACAAGGTTTCTAAGCACAAATTGAGCGAGCTGCATCAGAGTTGAAGCTGTGGTGTCATCTACATTTTTCAGTTGCTTAATAAATTCCTTGGAAGGTAAACTTGACGTCTCAGCAGATAGTTCATTTGGTATCTGCGTAGTATAGAACAAGTGGCGTTGTTTCTGCACAATCGATGCTGAAATAGCATCCAACACTTGGCTGTATGTAGCATACTGTTTTTCACCAGATACAATCGTAACAGCTAATCCAAGAACCAAGAGAGCAATGATTCTATCTGCCTTCAGAGAGCTTTTGACCAAGCTAACCCAGAACTCTAAATAAGCCGAGTTTTGATCTTGTTTGATCACATCTGCTTGAAGCTTAATAAACTTGACTGGTACATCAAACATATTATCAGATTTCGAAGCGGATTTGAAATGCTCAATCATCGTAGCCACAATGAGATCAGCTTGCAATTGAACGCTTTTAACTTGCTTTAATAAAGCAGAGAGATTCTTGGCAGAAGCGGTAAAAATGAATCTGCTCAAGATACAAGCAACTTTTCCATCCTGTTTAGGGTATTTGCTGATAAAATCCGTCAATAAAAATTTGATGATAGCAACGGTGTCTTTGGTGTTTGTCGCGTTGCGTTCTTTTAAAAGGTCGTTTAAAGCAGAAATAATCTTGTCGGCAGGAACATAATTTAAGAGGTGATGAGGTGCTTCTTCAATAACAAACTTCAAAAGAGGACCAAAGTTACCCAAGCAGCTAGAGAATGCATCTTCAAACATGTCAGAGCTTTGTGCTAAAGGATTAGAGGAATCGTCAATGATGGAGATAAGTTTTTTGATGGCCAAAATGCGATTTGTCGGTGAAGGGCTGTTCAAGCAAAGATAGAGCGTCGTGTTGGCTTCAGGAATGACTTCATGTCTTGTGCCCTTGAAAGCAGCAGAGGTGAATTCATAAAGATTGGCTGCAAGTGTAGCATCGTCTTTGGCCTTGGACAATCTAGTATCCAAAACTGAATCAAGCTCTTCAATATATCTCTGAGAGATCATTGCCAAAAGAGGTTGGAACTTTGCAATATATTTGCTTCTTTCTTGTTCTGAACCCTTGGTAGCAATCGAGAGATGTCCATCCATGATGATATTACACAGAAACTTGATGTTGTTGGAAGACAAATAACCTTTAATAACAAGAGTATCTAGGATTTCCAAGTTTTTGGCGTATTGACAAATGGCTGGTAAAAATATTTCAAAGAATCGTTCGGTGGCGTATTTATCTGCAATTTGTAGGATAGCATTGTCAAATCTGGAGCTTCCAATGATATGCTTAGCTGCCTTTTGTGAGATAGACACGAATGCCTCTTGTGTTTGACAGATATGCACAAGGGTCAATAAACAATAGGTGTAGCAGCTCTTTTTATAATTCTTCACCATAGCTTCAGCAAGAGCACAAGAACCTTCAGTGCTGAAAGTAGTTTTTGAAGATAGCTGAGAAAGAATCATGTAACTTGCAATCTGTAATTCTGGCTGATGCTTTGCATGAAGACCGTCAATGACATGAGGAGTGAGAGCAGTGACAGCATCAACACTTGTAGCTGGAATCTGCTTGATGAATTCTGTCATGATGGCTGTGTAGAATGAATACAAGGTCGAGAAGGGAACTAGAGCTTTCGTGACCATATTGCAAATAAAGTCAAAGATGTATCTATTCTTGATCATCTTCTTTACCAAAATAGAGCGCTCCAAAGGAAGTAAGCTTTTCTTGATGGGCAACAAAAATTCCCATGGTGATTTTGCACTATAAATGATCGATCAATACACTTGTTCATTATGCGCAGCTATAGACTTACGGAATATTCAAGATAGATATCATCTTGACAAATGATTTTGTTTCATGATAAGGCAAAATACACTTGAGAACTGATTCAACATTGAAATCCTCGACACGGAAGCGACGAATAAGATATTCTAATACTTTCCCAGAAGGTTTCAAGAGGAAATAAGGTGAAAGTTGACATAAAAAGGCATTGATGCTTGCATCAAGCTTGTCATTTTCTTCTCTTGTCTAATTATAACGTTTATTCTACAAGATCTATAGCAAATAAGGTTGATACTTACTTGAAGAAGTCTATCAACAGATTTCATTTTTTCAGAAAAGAGAGTCTTCTCAAAGGGAGCAAACTTGTCGTCGAGAATGACTAATTCCATAATACCATTGTAAGCAATGGAATATATTGTTTCCAGATCCTGATCAGCTGCTTCACGAGGTGTAAACAAGAAGGAAGGCCTTGTCTTTCTTGATGTCTCGGTCACATTACGTAGATCAAGTGTACCGATCTGCTTTAGCTGCTGCTTCAGGGATGACATGGTTAAAGGAAAAAAAAAAAAGAAAAAAAAAGCAAGAAATCAGCATAAAAAGAAAAGCCAAGCCACAGGAGGTTTTCTCTGTGTAACCATAATATCCCAAAAAAGCTTATTTTTACAAATGCTAAAAATCAGTGCCAGACAATGAAAATGGACCCTTTATATGAACTTTTTTCATTGATCATATTTGTATCAGTTACTTCTCATTTATTGACACTCTTAACCAAAGCACGGAGAGATGAATTAGAATGTTTTGTGTGTATGTCTTTGCTTGGTTTTATTACATCCTTCTTTGTACGGACATTGACTCTAAATAATGGCATCGTCCATTTAAAGAAACAAAAATGATATATCTGACAAACAATACCTTTCTTTATTCCAATTAACAAAGACTCTCGCCTTTTATTCTCATTGATATATATATGCATATATACCCACGTTTTACTTTTTCACTCAATTATTATTCATCTTTCTTTTCCTTGAGTAATGGCTGATGCCCTAAACATCACCAAAGAAAGAGCCTTATGCATACTTTTTTGCAAAGAATATAATCAAGAGAATGTAAACCAACTTGTCAAAAGAATTCAAGATCTTAAAAATATGGATGTTTGCTATATAAACAATACAAGGGAACCTGTCATAGTACCGTTTGATCGTATCCGTTCGGATCCATGGAAATATCAAGCATACACTGTTCTCAGAACTGGCGATAACGAAGTCCGAAATCGACAAACAAAAATAAACCTTGATATTTGTTAGATATTTTCAAAATAAAAATATTTACCAACTATAGGCTGTATAGCCTCTAGCAAAACGGTTGAAAGATTCTTGAACGAGGTATTCTTGGCCGAAAACTCACACAGCGATGACATGTACGAGCGCAGAATCGCGGCACTGAGACTTACCATGAACTCTTTAATCCCATACAACAAGACATTTGAAAAAAGAAGGGAGCTAGCATTCATTCTTTGGTGCGTGGAACATAATGTTAAGCCTGTAAGGGAGATCAAATTTCCGGAGTGTATTCTGTACACATTAAAACACAAACACACAGGTACATAATATGATAAGTTATGCACAGTGTACTTTTACTAAATTCACTCATAGACAATGCGGCCAAGGCCATTGCTAATATCTTGTCTTACCATTAGAAGCGCATAAAGAATTTGAAGGAAGGTGGCCACACAATAGTAGGATATTGCAGGAAATTTATAGTAAACAAGGACAGATATGTCAGAAAAAGATTAATGCAGCGAATGGTCGATAGATTATTTGAGCGATCTTTGGTTGAAAAGGTATTTATTTCACCATGCGTTTCGACATTTGGCTCGATTGCCACAAGGGATACAGGGTTCTATGAACAAATGAAAGACCCTACACATGTTGCAGGTGATATGAAAGGTGTGTTGATAATTTATATATGCATATCTAATAGAGTATACCTGAGTAACTCTTTCAATAGGCCTACTTGTGTACATCTCTGCAACAGAAAAGATGTATCTTGTTGTGTTTGATCTTGCTAGTCTGACCACGGATAAGGATGACCTTTTAAACTATGTTGGGTAAGTAGATGTGCTTTTGATCAAGTGTAGATGGCCTAGCGGTAACATTTAATGGAACAAACAAGAACTTGCAAGGAATAATAGTTGATAATATCCCAGCAAAGAACGAGTATCGCTTTTTCACCAGACATCAACTTTTGAATGATCCAAACGCGTTAAATGATTTTGAAAGAATCTCGTTCCCATCAAAAGATCAAAATAATCCCCCGTTACACGCCGTATGTCTCTTTATAGTTTCTAAGCCATGTATTCTTGAAGTTAACTATAATCTAGCCGATTTATCAAAAAGTAGCGTTTATAAGAACTCAGTGTCTTGTGTCTCTCCCACCTCAGAGGTCTCAAGTCTATCACACGTGTCGACACTCAGTTCTTTTTTTGTTATTTACACAGATAATGAACGTTCAACACGACAAAAGTTTCAATCTACTTGTGGCAGAAGAAGAAAATCTTAAGCAAAGAGCGTTTGCTCACTTTATATATATTTCATAAAAGCACCCAATGTTTGCGCAAATAGTACGCATTCCCACGACTAATTTATCATGGAAAAAACAGACTCTGACTTTTATGACAAGAGTCCCCCACGCAGAGACTTGTAAAAATAAGGAAACGCGTTAACTTTAATAGGAAAAAGGTACCCACAGGTTTACTATTCCAAGTGTAGTCTCGTGTACCTAAGAACATGACCAAAATTGGAGATTCAGCATAAAGGGAAAACCAAGCCACAACAGGAAATTTTAAACTTTTCAGGAATAGGCTGCACATGATTTCAAGTGTTTATGTAAGCAACAACACTTAAACAGTTGTCTCAAACATTGGATGACCTTGTTGGACTCGTCTGGTTTTAATGGGTCGCCTTTTATTGTTTCTATTACCAAAACTAAAAGTAGTGTTGAATGACACCCACATCAGAGTAAAAAAAACTGAATCCATTTATGGGTGACGAATTCCTTTGCTTCGGTGACCTGAACCCTCTCGTGTAATACACAGTAAAGGATATTCATGACTACACCTTGGCGTGAAAATCGCACTCATTTTTTGTAAGCCCATACCGTGACCAAAGGGAAACGAGCCAAGTCATACTCAGCTAGCCACACTAAAAGCGGAATCTCTTTCTAAAAAGATTTTTTTTGGGCAAAAGGAATGGTACGGAAAAGTATAGGGTCTCCGAAACCTTATTAAAAAAAACCATGGTTACAATTTCATCATCAGATCCCAGACTGTGACAAAATGATTTAATTTACTGTCTGATTAAGATTAAATAAGCCTTTTCTTTTTCTTTCTTCTTTTTCGTACTTTTTTCTTTTTCTTTTTCTTATGCATATTTCATCTTTTATAAATCATCAAACACAAGAGCCAAACATAATGCATACTACCATGGCAACCATTCATAATAATAATAATATGATGGAACCACCAGCATATAATAATCAACTGAAAGACCTATTTAGGCACTCAGTTGCGTCTACAGCTACAACAGTGACATCGACGAGCAATTCAACACAACGCCTGAGTACCACTAGTCTATCAGAAGATGATTATTGTAAGTTTAGTTTCGGGATTATCGGAGAGTTAATTGAACAGGAACATTAAATAACAATAAACATTGTCATAGGCCCAAGGCATAGCACTAGTAGCAGTCATCATAGTCACCATAGTAGCAGTAATAACCATTCTATAAAAAGTAAAATTCTCAGCAAAATACAATCAAAGAGAGAGGAGAATGCTATAGCGATTGACCCATGGTGTATATCTGTTCGATATGCACTTGAGCATTCCATTTGTTCAGATTGGATGTATAAATATGAAACCCCTACATTTACGTTTACAAAATCATGGAAGAAGAGATATTTTGTGTTGGTGGATAGAATTGTTTATGTGTTCAAATCAACAAAACCAACAAGTCCAGCAAAAGAGCATTTTGTGTTGACAGCAGACACGTTTGTTTTTGTCACGGAAGAATTTAAAAAGGGATATGTTATTGAACTAAGGAAACCACACTTTAAATGGTATATCCGGTGTGATTCAGTCAATCAAATGAAACAGTGGTTGGAGCTCATGAAAAAGATAGTTGCATGTATCAAGATTGGATATAATGGTTTATTGACTCACTCGATACTATCCTCCATTAAATTGACGGATGATTACAAGATACTTATACCTCAATCCTATCCAAAGACGCGTCCTTCTTCTCATTACTCCAGAAGGTCTATGACTGACATACCCGATTGGGAAACAATGATTATCCCACCACAGTTACCTCCTCCTCGAACAAAACCACCACCAGTCCCTTTACCTACTGTTTCCGAATAATTTGTATATTTTATTTATTCTATTTGTTATTATTTTATTATGGTACATTGTATATTAATTTCATAAGACCCCCCTTTTTGTACATTTAACAACAATAAACATTTTTTTCTTTTTTTACTAATAATAAAATATAATGTATCACATAATCAGTTTGACATCATCTTGTAGTAATCATTATTCTAAAGTCTTCTTCAATGGGTTCAATTTATAAATGATTCTCATTTCCTTAATTATATCATTTCTATATCTATATTGCACACTATCAGTGGGATCATTTCTAAAAATATCCATCATCCGTTTGAAGTGAAGATTGGGTATCTAAGCGATGACCAATTACTTTTATGTATATTTATATACCAACAGTTGTGCCATAGCTATTATACCACTTATCTAAACAACCTTGTCATACTTGTTGTAAACTATCGGTACTTCTTTATAAAGGAAAAACTCCCAGGTTACTATCATGATGTGTTGCAGGTTGTACATTTGAGTAATGAGATAACAACATCAAAAAACTTCACTTGAGGATTGAATTTGTATGATTCATGATGTTCTATAGCTTGTATAATTCTATTTCTTTATGTGTTTTATCACAAACTAACCCAAAGTCATTAAAGTCTCTGACTGAGCTGAGTTTCTAATTGTCCAATGTTCCCCAGTCGTCCTTTCCATTAAGGAATTTTCGCATCAAAAAAAACTTCTCTGCCGTTCGGATTCTTTACGGTAACGGAATGTCTTTCAAACGACAGAATATAGTCCATTAAACGGACTACTGTGACTTAGTTGTACAATTTAGATGGATTATATGGCTGAAAGCTTTGTATACCCTTTGTGTGAGGACAAGGTTTTACTGGCATTTCTTGATTCGCTTTTTATTGTAAATCAGTCTTTTCTGGTATTCGTGTAGTCATAAAAACTCCAGATCAACACAAGTACAGCAATATAAATGAACACAAGTGAATCTTGATTTCAAATACTAGAGTGCCTTTCTCAACACAGTGCTCACGGCACCGTGAAATTTTATTGCGCGCACCTACGGCTTTTCCAAACTGCGTTGCTGAATAAATGAAACTGCATTGCCGAAAGGCTTTCTAGCTCAGCTATTTTGTACGACTCTTGAAAGCTTAACCAAATATAAAAGGCGGGGCTCTTTTGTTTTACAAAGATTAAAGTTGCAGCTCATCTTTGGGTTTCTTTTCCTTGATATACTTAGGAGGCATTATCTGCTTCATTAAGATGGTCAATTCATACTTATGATTACCTAGGTTTTCCTATGATTAGTTTTTTGAAAGTGGCTTTATGTCCCTTTATTTTATACTAATATGGGCAAAGCAAGAAAATGCGCACAACTCAATGAGAAGAGCAACAGTAGTGTATTCACTTTCAATTGTTGAGATTATTCCGAGAATGAGCAATACAACGAGACTGGCCACAAAACACGTTTATATAACGCGCCATGCCCAGTTCTCATTGATCGTGATGAATTCATGCTTTTTATACTATTGAGCTTTCTCTTTTTTCTGGTTATTAATAAAAAAAAAAAAAGTCATATAGAGTCTTATCGACATGTATTTTTTTTGTGTTATTGTGACTGTATCACAAAGATGTGCACGCGAGGGGAAAACGTCAAGAACCTGCCAAAGTTAACACGAATGGATTGAAAGGAAGAAATTGTCAACAAAGTAAAACTGTATAACGACAACTCTCAACTCAACACTAGCAGACGAACGTCAAGCGAGTAACTTTCTGAAATCTGTTTCTTTTGTTACTGCTTCAGATGCTAAAAATGTCAGACTTCCAATCATGGACCAAGATGTCGCCAGCCGTGCAGTCTATATGTTGTAGACGAACACTTTTAGCTTTTCATTTCAAAACAGCTTGAAATCACTGAGAATAGAAATCGAACAATGGATGGGTCTTGTTTGGTTATACACTCTTTCCGGAAAGTAAATTCGCCTGTGATCGAAAATAAATGCACCCAATGGTGAGAACAAAATTCATGTATGAAATGTAAATTCGCCGTCGTCAAGAATATTTTCGTTGTACCAGCCTTGACATCCATGGATAACTGTTTTTCCAAGTTGAGATATCGTATTGAAACCGTTGTAATGTTATCAGAATAATAATAAATACAAAAAGAATATGGCTCACTATCTCATTTGACAGTAATATTAACAGGTGGGCTGTCTTGGAGTTGAAATTAACCTAATATTAGAAATCACCCTCTTTAATCTTTTTGTAGAATCAGAAGAACATGTAGTCGTATTTGGCAATGCATATTCTTGAATAATCACCATGTAGCTTTCTCCTATTTGATATGATATCTTTGTTCCGAGTACTTGATCCTGAAGCCTGTTTGAAAAAGAAAAACATATTAAAACACATTTTAATTGAGTCCTTTTTTGCTTCTTTACAGCAGTTATCAAATGTCTCTCTGAATGTTCAAAGATTCACCAATCAAAACTAGTCTGCCCTCATGGTCCTTGCTCTGACTCGCTTGTCTCGCCCTCTCTGCTCTCTGGCGTGTATCTGGAACGTTCCTCAATAGTCTCTTCTGACACCCTGGATTCTCTCAGTCCTCCGTTCCTTTTTTAACTTTCCTGGGTAGTTATCGCTACCCTCCCCAGAATGCACCTTGGTGGTAAGTAAAGCTAATATTAGGATATGTGCTCTAATACTAACATACTTTTTCTACATATACTCCTTATTTCTCTCTCTTTTGACATAATGTCGTTTTATTCAAACATATTTTTCTTTGTCGTCTTTTTACATAAATAATTTTTTTATTTTACGACAATATTTTATAAAATTAACGTCAATAATTAATAAAAATACAGTATTAAGTAGCAAACGCACCTTAAACGCTTATAAAGGGGGCAACTGATACTGAAAGCAATGCTTTAGCGTTGGCTGAAGACTTCAATTTGGCTTACGAAACAAATCAAACTGACCTGAGTGAACTGTAATGTAATTGAGTTTTAGAGAGAAGAAAAGGAATAAAGATTATCGTATAACAAAAATGTAATGTCTCTTTTATTCAATAATTCTATGGGATATTTATACTCTTTGGATATTCACAGTTGTTCGATGTTCGATAAGTATATGGTTAACTTGGATTCCATATTCATCTTCGGATCCGAATTCTGTTTTAGTCATTTGGTGCGACTTGCTTCTTCGTCACACCAACCCAGTCATGAAAAAGAGTAATGCAACATTTAAAAAAGGGGATGCTCGTCCAAAAAAAAAAGCCTTTTTTATATATTCTCTGTTTCTTATACTATCGAAGGCGTATATGCTGGAAAAAATTGTTTGTCAAAAGTGTGGCTCTGATTGTAAATCTATTGTGGACTTCAAGAACGGTTATTTATTTTTTTGCTGCGAAAACCTATATATTGAGGATGTAGCGTGGCAAATAAAAGATGATTCAGGAATGCTAGAACAATCAATACATTGCTTGTACTATTACAAGTTAAATCAAAGCCTTGAAGATGCATTAAAGAATTTCAGCACGAATGAAGTTGAATTGGCTTAATAAAACCATGGTTATTTATAATGACGTGTACAAGAATTATCATAACAATACGAATAAAATAAAGCTTTTCTGTTTAATACAGAAAAGAAGTAATGCTCTTTTGAAAGTTGTCTGAAAGGTTGTCAAAGTACCATAATCATTAACCACTGCCGAGTGTAGCCCTTTTCTAATCCCTCTCTTAAGCTGAGTTTTTCGTGGCTTTGGTTGGCGCCTTTTTTTTTATGGAAATACCAAAAAATCTTGTTTGATTTCAAGTATAGCAAATTATGCCTAGTTTCCTTGTACAATTTGCTCAGGTTAGTTTTTATATATAGTCATTAATATTTTCTTTTCTAAAGAAAGAAATGATATAGTTCCATGACGAGTTCCGATTACCGGAATTGCTCGCACTTGCAAAACTTGAAAATGTAGATATTAAATATGAACCTGACAACTATAAACTGAATGTAAAAAGAGAAAGAGAGAGAGGAAAAAACATCATATAGACTATAAGCTTATTCTATTGTAGAATCCTTTCTTTAAAGTTGAACTGAACTCGGTACAAGACGCACAAAAGCTTGTTAAACGAGCTATTCTGATCAAGTAAGAAGCAATTATACAAGAGAATATACATTTATACTTTACATATAGACACATTTTTGAGCTTTGGGGAGAAGGATCAACCTATGAAGAACTTCATTCACAAGTCAAAAAGACGTCAGATCGTTGGAACGAATACATGACTTGTTCTTTCAAATTTGTGGTATCAGCTTTTGGCTCAACTATTAATGCCAAAGATCAACTAAAGATCATCAATTCATTTTCCTACCTTGGATTCGAAGGACCCATTGACATGAAAAATCCAGACGTCCAGTTTCATGTATTAGCTGACCATGGCATCGAGAATGCTTTTACCAACAAGCGTACTCAAACTGAACCTCATTACATTTATATGGGAAAACTGGCAAGTGTGACGACACACTTTGATAACAAAATCTAATGTATTTCTTAGGTTGCTACTGGTAGTCGAGAGCTTGTCAACAAGTACAATTTAAAAAAGAGAAAATACTTGGGTACAACATCTATGGATGCCGAATTATCACTTGTCATGGCAAATCAAGCATTAGCCGCACCAGGAAAGATTGTGTACGATCCATTTGTGGGAACAGGCAGCTTTTTGTTCACCTGCGCTCATTTTGGAGCTTATACATTGGGATCAGATATTGACGGTAGACAGATCAGAGGAAAGGGCGAGAAAGGTATTCGCTCCAATGTGGAACAGTATAACTTGCAGGGCCGAGTATTGGATACACTCGTGTTTGATATTTGTCATAATCCTTGGAGAACGACGGAATGGATAGATGCCATCGTGACAGATCCTCCCTATGGTGTCCGTGCAGGAGCCAAAAAACTAGGGAGAAATGATGGTAAAGAGTTGGCAATGAGAACTTATGATGGTATACCAATGCATACAAGGGATGACTATTATCCACCTACAAAGCCATATGAAATGTCAGAAGTCCTTGTTGATCTTTTGAAATTTTCTGCTCGACATCTTACAGTGGGCGGACGGTTGGTTTATTGGTTACCTACTGTTGTAGATGAGTACTCCAACACGGATGTTCCTCAACATCCATGCATGAAGTTGGTGGCAAATAGTGAGCAAAACTTTGGACAGTGGTCTCGAAGATTGATTACTATGGAAAAGATCAAGGCATGGACTAAAGAAGATGATTTAACAGAGACCGAAAAAGCAGAAATAATTGAGAAAGGACAAGAAGATCCAAAACGACCAGGTCATTTCTTGTTCCGTGAAAAGGTAAACAATCTTTGTGTGTTTGCATAAACGATAATAACGCTATTGAATATAGTACTTTAACTTTGGACGTACTTGATTCTGTAGATAACTTGTAGAATAATAAAAAGATTATAGAAAGTACGCACAAAAGTATCGTTTTTATCAAAAGATACTATTATTTTTTTGCCTAATTTCAATGACAAAAAAAAGGCACAACTTCATTTATGGATCAACTGACATCATGTCTGGAATTTGACGTGGTGCAAAAAATTGGTGTGACCAAAACAATGACTTTATACTTTTTGTAAGGACTTTTTCGTTTTTTTTTTTTTATTTTTTATTTTCTTCTTCAAAATGACGACTGTTCATATTACAAATGGAAATGGTGAACAAATTGTAGGAATATTACAAGAGAAATCTAGAGAGAAAAGACTTGTCCTAATTGTTCATGGAGAACAAGGTACACATAAACCGTACACTAGAGCTGCGTATTATTTACTTTTATAAGGACATAAAAATCATTTATATCAAGAAAGCTTGGCCAAGCAGTTACCATACAGCTCTTTTCGTTTTGACTTTTGTGGTAACGGAGATAGTGATGGTCAACCTGGTTATGACCATATAGAAGTAAAAAAAAAACGTGTCTATACTGTGTCGTATTAAAATTTAATATAGAAAGATGCTGAAGATATCCATTATGTGGCTAGTCATTTTGAGTCACACGGATATGAAATCTATGCCATCATTGGCTTTGGCAGAGGTAATCATGAAAATGTAAAAACATATGGGTCATTGAACACACGATCGAACAGGCTCTCTTAGTGGATTAAAATATGCAAATACGTGCGAGAGACCATTAAGTCATTTCGTTAATATCGCTGCGCCTTTTCTCACGAAAGATGATGCATTGATTTCACAACAAGATAAAGCGTCTTTAGAAAAGAATGTGAGTAGAGCCTCTAGATGATATAGCAACTGATAGATACCATCATAGGGATACTTCATGTGGAAGGTCTATCAGAAAGGAAGATTAAACGATTTCAAAGTGAATCGTGAAGCATACGAGGCTTATGCTGCTTGGGATAACTCTCACGGTAGGACAGTGCACCTTTGATGTGACCATAGTTAATCTCTTTGTATTAGTCATACATATGCCTAAAGCAACGTGTGTCTTAACTATTCACAGTATAGACGATAAGGTCACACACCATAGCGTTGAATCTATCATTGGAGTTCTAACAGAAAAGTGATCGTATAGGTTGTACCTGCATATCACGCGGCCATGTTTGCAAACAAGATTTCAAATCACACACTCATGTTGCTACCCAACACAGATCACCAATTTATGAGTCACCATGATGACTTGATCGACATTATTCTGAAATACTTTGATAAACACGAAAAGGATGCTTATCGAAAAGCAGTGGCTATGGGTCAACATGTCAGTGTGGTCATTCCTCGTTGGATTGATGTGGAAGGAGTCATGAATTTCAGAGATGTTGGTGGCTGGCCAATTAAGGATGGCAGTGGATATATACGAGAGAGAATCATCTTTAGATGTGGACAGTGAGTAGTGATTCATGATGAAATCAGTTATAATGAACTTATTTTTTTTGCAGTCTTGCAGGTATCACGCCTAAAGGAATAGAAACTCTAAAAAGACTCAATGTCATTGCTGTCTTCGATTTCCGTTCAGAGCCAGAAATTGAGAGACAAGGACATATGCCGTAAGATAGATAAACACTTAAAGCGAAATCCTTATTCACTTGAACAGAGATATTCATGGTGTCACTCATGTCCCATCGGCCATGTTTACCAAGGCAGATTATTCACCAGCAGCAATGGCTAGTCGATGGAAGGGCTATTTTGAAGGTCCCTATGGATTTCCTAAAGTGTACTCTGTTATATTAGAAAAAGGAGCACCTTACTATAGAAAAATATTTTTGCATTTGCTCCAAAACCACTCAATTCACTCCAACAAGTCGATTATTGTTCATTGCACGGCAGGAAAAGATCGCACGGGTATCTTTTGTATGTTATTGTTAGGTTTATGTGGGGTGGATGATGAAATTATTGCAAATGAGTATGGACTGAGCAGCCTTGGTTATTGGGGTAAGATATACCTAAAAAAAAAAAAAAAAGAATGATACTCATGTACATCTAGAACCTGAAGAAGAATTACAAAGGAAGGCGGTTCATCTGAACGTAACAGTGGATGATGTTCGCATTGTTACATCAGCACCGTAAGTGAGATGAATGCAAGTAAGAATAATATTAACACACATTAGATACATTGCTATGAAGGAAACGATTCGTCTAGTAAAAGAGAAATATGGAAGTATTGAAGGATATATAAGAAATGAGTGTGGATTAAGACAAGAAGAAATACAAGGAATTAGAGATTTAATGATTGTTCCAATTCGATTTGAAGAACGTCAATTGTTTAGACCAAAGATTTAACTTGCAATTTAATAACAAACTTGGGGTCAGTCCTTTCTTTTATAACAATAATAATTTCCGTATTTCTGTTCGTTCTCTGTCTCTTTTTCTTTTTTTTACATAAAATGAATACCCTACAGAATAATTCTACACCTTTAGCCTTACAAATACCAGAGATCATATGTCAAATATTGTCATGGATCATCGAAGACAAGTCGATGAATAATACATATAAACAAATCTATCAATGCCTATTCGTCAATTCACTTTGGCATGATTGTACATCTCGATACTTGTGGAAGCATATCGTATTTGAAGATAGCAAATCAGAATATGAATCATTTAAAAAGTTTACATCCACCATAACTCAAAGCAACGTAAAATATTATAAAGCGATTCGATCCATTCAATTGCGTAAAATCAAGGAAAAATCTCTGAATGGCCTCTTACAGCAAGTAGCACCGTGTATCAACCGATTAGAAAAGCTGGACTTTTATATCTGTGATTACCTTTCGGACATTTCACTCGACTTGTTTGTGAAAAATAACGTCTATTCGACCCTCACTTACATATCTTTGGCTGGATGCAACAAGATCACGGATAGTTTTATCATGTCTGTTGCGCATCATTGTCCAAGACTATCACACTTGGACCTACGAGCCTGTGGCCAAATATCCGATGCTTCCATCTCTGTCATTGCTGAAAAATGTCGAAACTTACATCACTTGAATGTGGGAAGAGTGCGAGATAGAGACAGAATATCGATCCAATCTATTTCTTTGATTGCAAAATATACCAAAGTGGCTGTTCTAGGCTTAGCTGGATGTGATATGACGGACGAATGCTTGGTGCTGCTTGCTAAGCACAGAGGAAAGAAATTAGAACGAATATCGGTCAATAACTGCTATAAACTAACCAACAAGACCATTCAAGCCTTTGTCAAATATTGTCCAAACTTGTCTGTGTTTGAAATGAAGGAGTGTCACTGGATTGACGACTGGTCTTGTGTTGCAGAATTGGTTCAAAGGCGCGTTCTATTGACTCTATGTGATCAACAAAATAAAGCTTGTGTCGAATGGGCGCGTAGGCATGGGAGGGTCATGAATGTGAAAGCACCAGTTAAATAAAATGGACTTTATTCCTATAATCTATGGTTTTTTCTTTTTCGTAATCCTATAAACAAGTCGAAAGATGGGTTGCATATATTTAAAGAATGGGATAGTCGATGTCTTATTGAGTGCGGCGGCATCTGTTTTATTATTATTATTACTGGGTGCGACTTTATTTTCCGTCCTACATCTTCTCTCCTTTTTTTATCCTTTTTTCT